ATTTGCCCCTCTGAGTGGCTCCAGGTCTGCTCGCTTGTCTCCAACCACATCCTTTCCCGTCAGCCCACCTCCCGCCAGGTGGGGAGGAAGCAGACCGAGGGGGCCAGTCCTGTCCAGAGCGGTAGCTCCGCCCTGGCCCCCGGGCTGCACTCCGGTCCCCAGCATCGCCCATGGTGGCAGGAAACTGCGAGAAGTCGCTCTCACTTCCCGGGAGGTGAACTGGGGACAGCGGGCCTCGCTCCATCATTCCCGTGACACCTCCCTAATCACCCAGCGTGCTATTCGTCTGGGTGTCGGCACTGCCGCATGCCTGTGCCTTCAATTAATGATCCGGGAAAACTCCATGCAGGGCCTGGCCCGGCAGTGCAGCAGGGACTGCGGGGTGGGCCAGGCTGGTGAGGACCCCCCCCCCCAGCAAGTGCAGAGGGCCCTGGTCCCTTGTCCCCAGCTGTTCCCACCAGCCCATGGAGCCTCTTTAGAAACCCTACCAGGTGGCAAAAGACAGGCCCCAAGGTGTGTGTATACCAGGGACTGGGGTCTAAGTCAGGGATGGGCTCAGGGAGCCCAGGCTAGCCTGCAGGCCCTGGAGGGTTGGGACCCCAGGAGCCCAAAAGCAGGGCTGAGGTATGATCAAAGGGGCTTCTATCCAGGCCAACAGGCTGTTTGTGGTCAGAGGGGCGAAGCAGGGGAGGGTCCCTGGGACAGCTAGGATTCTGGCTGGGCCTCTTCCCTGTGGCCGGGCCCTGGTCTCTCCCAGGCCTGGGTGCCCTCCATTCCTGATCGTCCTGAGAGGACAGGTGAGGCAGGCTGGGGTCCCTGAGGTGAAGAGTCTTGAGGGGCCTGGTGTGATCTGCAAAAGCCAGGCCAGACCACCCCTGGGAGCCTCACTCCCAGGCCCTGGGAGGGGTGGGGACCTGGGCAAGGGGCAGAGAGGCCACCAGGCTAACAGGACATTCTATTTGGATCGACTTGAATTATTAAGTGGTTCGTGACTTATTCTTGGCTCTGGGGCAGGCTGTGGTCTCTGAAGATGGACAGCATCTCAGCTCTATTTTTAAGGTTCTGTGGGAAGAAGCTGAGACGCCACCCCACTTAGGCCCCACACGCCCTTCTGCATGGGGTGAGGGAGCCAGGCAGAACGGGGGGCCTGGGGTTAGAGGTGGGCAGGACGTGCCGCTTTGAAGCCTCCCCAAACCCCATCCCCGCTGCTCTCCGGGTCTCCTACAAACATCCCCAGCCAGCAGGTCCCCATCCTGCCTGCACCCCCACCCCTCCTCCACTTGAACCCCCAGCCTGGCCCACCTTAACCGCCTCTCATCTCTGAAGACCTTGGTGTGGCCACTGTTAGGACCCAGGGTGTGTGAGGCTGTAGCTGAAACCCTGCCCCTGGTCGTGTGCTGCGCGCTGTCCTGCACGGGGTCCCTAGGACCCACGCCCTCAGCTGAGTCGGGGGCTGGGCCCTGCACCTCTGGGGCCATCTGCTTGGGGAGTGTGGGAGCACTGGAGGCAGCCGTGTGGAGCCCGACCCTGTGTGAACCCTGCAGGGACTCTGCCCTCCAGCCTCACTGAGCCAGGTCACCTTGGGGGGGGGGGGTGCCTTCAAAGCCATTCACAACCAGATGGACAGCGAAAGAGGACTCAAGTGACTGAACCCGGGAGAGAGCGGGCACCACCTCCCCCTTCACAGAGACGAGACCACCTCAGGAGCTAAGCCGGCTCGTTAGATAACCTGGAGGACACAGGCCGACTCCCAGAAACGCTCCAACCGCCAGCGGATTCCAGAAGAAACGAGATCCTCACAGACCTGCAGCGACACGGACGTGGTGATCCAGCCACCGCCCCACAGAGCCGCGCGGCCAGGTAGCTTCAACGGGCCAGCACCAGTCCTTCTACCTCTTCCATCACGGCGGGGGGGGGGGGGGGGCACTTTCCAACTAGTCCGAGGCCAGCACCACCATGACAGCGACAAAGATGTCCCAAGAGAGCTGCAGACCGACATCCCTGGTGAGCATGCAGAATCCTCCCCACCACCAGCAGGCTGAGCTTGGCAGCTCAGTGCAGGGTCACGTGCCACAACCCACAGGACTCACCTCGGAAACGCCAGAGGGGCTCAAACCACAAGGACCCCCGTGTGACCCACAGATGAAGGACGACGACCACTTCCATGGGTGCAGAGCAAGCACCAGATGTAGCCAGCACCCTCTGTGCCCACACGCTCATCAAACGAGGACTGGAGGGGAGCCCCCGCCGGGGGAAGGGCGTCCACCGTCTCCGGGAAGCCCTCAGCAAACTTTCTCCCCAGTGGAGACACGAGGATGTCTCCTCGCCACTGCTATTCTGCGTGGTCCTGGAGGATCTGCTCACGGCCACCAGGCAAGGAAAGGTACAAAGGCACCCAGACTGGAAAAGCAGCAGCAAAACTGCTCTATGATCTTAGAGAACACTCCAAGCACAAACAAATGCACACAGAGTTCACAAATAAGCACCAAGTTCAGGACACAAGATAGTCAGCTTCATTTCAACGCACTCAGCGCACGGCCCCGACGCCCCGACAAGCGGCGCCCCGCCGGAGCATCGGGACGAGGTGCGTGTGAGCGGCTGTCACTGAGGGACGCGAGGACGCTCCCTGGAAGCTGCGGGACGCTGCTGCAGGGACTGGAGACCGGCTGTGAGACGGCAGGGCTCCCCAAACTGATCCTGGGACCCCACGAACCCCAGCTGCCTTTCCCTGCAGACAGCCAAGCTGGTCCTGGCTCGCATGGAACTGCAGGGCTCCCCAAACTGATCCTGGGACCCCACAAACCCCAGCTGCCTTTCCCTGCAGACAGCCAAGCTGGTCCTGGCTCGTATGGAACTGCAAAGGGCCCTGGGCAGCCACATACACACATGAACTCAAAACGGGCCAAAGCTCCACATGTCGAGCTGAAACCATGAGACAGGAACACAGGAGACCTTCACGCCGTGGATGAAGCAACAGTTTCCTCAGTGACACCAAAAGCATGAGCAACAACGAAAAATAAAGTGAACATCAACTTTAGAAATGCTCACAGACCAGAGGGCACCATCAAGAAGACAGCCTGAGCTGGAGAACACATTTATACGTTACATAACTGACGAGGCCTGGCACAGACCACGCAAAGTGATCCTACTCAACAGAAACACAACTCAACTTAAAAAGGGTGAAGGGGCCTGGCCAGTGTGGCTCAGTGGTTGAGCGTAGACCCTGCACCAAGAGGTCACCAGTTCGATTCCTGGTCAGGGCACATGTCCAGGTTGTGGGCTCGATCCCCAGTGGGGGGCATGCAGGAGGCGGCCCATCAATGTCCTCTCATCGATGTTCCTATCTCTCTCCCTCTCCTTTCCTTTCAAAATAAATAAATAAATAAATGGCAAAGGATCTGTGTGGACATTTCTGCCAAGTTGTACAAATAGCCAGTGAACAAGTAAGAAGGTTCAATGTCACAGGGACACACAGATCAACGACTGAGCTACTCCACCAGCCAGCACGGCGGAGCGAGAGCCACGTGCTGGCGAGGCCGAGGGCGAGGCCGAGGGCCTGCAGCCGTCACGAGAGGCCGCGCCGTGGGCCCTGCGTGGGGCTCCGCTGGGCAGCCCTGCACAAGCCGTCAGAGCTGCCGGGAGCTGGGGGGACTGCTGATGGGACCAGGCTCCATCACCTGCTCCTGGGAAAGTTCTGAGCCAGACGGGAGGGTAGTTGTACCAGATTCTGAATGTACTACAAGCCACTTAATTGTGCACTTCAACAAGTTTAAAATGGTGATTTTTATGTGACTTCAAACAAAACCAAACAAGTGCTCAGGTAAGTGGTCTGCAAATGTCACCAGACTGGCCTGCTCCTCACTGCAGGGACGGGGACGGGGGCCCCTGCAGAAGAGAACGTGCGGCTCTCAGCCCACAGCCTGGGAGGCCCCCACGCCCCGGGTCATCGAGGAAGCCGACCTTCGAGCAGAAGCTCCCGCACCAAAGGGAGCCCATGCTCATCTCCGCACACCCCTGAGCTGGTCCGGGGCCCAGCTGCCGACACTGCCCCTGGGCCGCTCTCCCCTGGGCACGGCTGGGCACACGTGAGTCAGAGCTGAGGCGTGGTGCCGCCTGGCCAGCCCGGGCAGGCCTGCGTTCTGGGGCTGGAGCAGCAGGAGCAGCGTGGCGGGTGGTGAGGACGCTCTACCTTCCGACCCCTTCCTTCCCACTGGGGAATTAGCGTGGCCTTACACCCCGTGGCCGTCAGCCCTGGCCCCTGTGGGCCACACTCCTCCAAGCGCCATCTGTCCCTGGTCAAGGACTGACAGCCAGGCCCCGGCCCGCTCACCCCACAGGGAACACCAGTCTGAGGGGGGCGGGGCTAAGCCTCCATCCCGTGCTGCCCAGTCTGCCCCGCCCCTGCCTGACACGCTCTGGGCAGGCCCTGGAAGGCTCTGGGCAGGCCCTGGGGCACCAGGAGGGACCGAGAGCTCTGCTGAGTGTGCACGAGGCCTGCAGGGGCGCAGGCGGGCTCCTCCTTGGGCGCCAGGTAAACGGGAAGGAGGGCCTCCTCTCAGCAGGCGCAGGCTCCACAGGGAGCCCCAGCGTGGGGTGGAGGGTGGGCTGGCAGGTGCCGGGCGCGGGCAGCAGACTGGGCCGCACTGAGAACAGGGCCTCTGGGTAAGGAGACGGCCTGGGGAGGGACCACACTAGCAGGGACAGGGGAAAACTCTTGGCCTGAGGACCCAGCTGGATGGGCCACCCACCCTGCCGAGCCTTGGCAGGGCCTGACACCCCGCCCCTTGGGCACTGGTGCCAGCTGTCGGGCAGCCCAGACTGCCCTGCCTGCCCCCCGCCTGTCCAGGCTGCCGCCCTCCCTCCTCCCCAGCCAGAGGCAGGTGGGCCCGGCCGGAGCGCAGCCACCACAGCCCGGACCCTCCCAGGTGGGGGCAGCAGCAGCTGTGCGGCCGCTGGGGAGGAAGGGGCTGGTTTAAAAACGAACACGAAGCAAAGTGAGCAACAGTGGCATGTGTACCAAAGGGGACAGCCCAGCTGCTGAGACCCCAGGGGCACTTCCAGAAGAACCCAAACTCCTCCCACAAACCCCGAACCCCTCTTCATGGCTCCTGGGAAAGCCGTGCGTGCCTCTTGGGTCTGGGGCTCCGCGGTCGAGATGTCTGCTGGGCCTCGGGACAGTGACCGTGGAGCAGGAGCAGCAGCCACGGTCATCTGCGCAGGGTTGCTTGCTGCGGCCCAGGTCGCAGTCTGAGCTCACAGAGCCCCAGGGCCAGGTCCTGCTCTGAGGCCCGAGCACAGGGGTCTGGACCTTCCGGGCGTGTCCTGGGGCCTTGGCTGTGGGCCTCAGGGGCCCTGCCCTGTCCCAGCTCCGCGGGGCCTCTCGTGGAGCACACCTCTGGTCTCTGTGCTCTCTGGCTCCTGGCAAAGATGGAGGAGAAGCAGCATCACGCCCGAGCCTGAGGTCCCCTTGCTCACCAGGTGGTCCGAGAGGCTGCCAATGGCCAGGATCCTTAGACCCAGATGGCCTGCCCCACCCCGGGAGAGCTGGTGTCTCCGCCGCACCTGCCCCGCTCAGAGCAGCTCGGCCAGGCCCCGGACAGCCACAGGCCGAGGGAGAGCAGCACAGGGAAGTGCCTCCTGGGCACTCGGCAGGGCCAGCTCCCAGCCTGGACATCAGACAGGCCCAGAGCCTCTGCCGACGGAGACCAGCCGCCGTCACTGCCCTGCCTGGGTCCTCATCTGCACGGAGCACAGTGCTGTCGAGACCAACCTGCCCGTCGCTCCATGAACGCCAGGCTCGCCCTCACCGGACCCAGCAGGGCACGAATCCTCAGCCGGCCGTGCAGATGAGGAAGCCGAGGCTCAGAGAGTGTGACAGACGCAGCTGGTCCTGCCGCCAGGACGCGAGCCAGCCCATCAGACTCCCACGCCCTTGGGGGCCCCTGCGCCAGTGCCACAGGTCCTTGGCCCAAGGCAGGCAGGGGCGGCCCTGACAGGAGGCAGGCCGTGGATGTCCAACTCAGGCCCCCAGCATCCCCCTGGCTCAACTCCCCCGTCCCTCCAGGGACACCGCACACCTACCTGGCTGAGGACTCCTAACCGACCGCCAGCCTCCCCCATGCTCACCTCTCCTGCCCCGGTGTGGGGGGTCCAGGGCCTCCCAAGGTCCTGCGAATGTAGTCTCGGGAGCGGATGTCAGCCTGAGGAGAGGGTGCTGGCTGGGGTCGCGGCCTGGCCTCTGCCAAGCCCTCCCCTGCCACCTGCCCCCCTGAGAAAGCCACAGAGGTCATGTCAGGCTGTGGCAGGCCCAGCCTGGGCCAAGGAGCAGCAGTCCCAGGGGTTTGTAGGTGACAGGACAGGCACTCTGGTCTACCTCCTGTGACGGCAGGACCCCAAGGGCCAGAGGTGGGGATCCTAGGCACCCCCGCCTCTCGGCTCTCGTGTCGCAGAATGTACGTGCTTCCTTTCTGCAGGGATCACCTGAGGCCTGGCCTCTCTGCGGAAACCCTCTCAGCCCAGCTCGTTTGCCCTCACTCCTGGTCATCGTCCGTCTCCTGTCTAGTGTTAGCCATGACCCTGTCCCCAGGGAAGTGCAGAAAAGTTCCACAAAGTCCCTGGAGTGGCAAGGGGCACATGGGCCTCCAAAACTTTGCTGCTGAGCTTGGCCACGTGCTGCCCCCACCCCAGAAGCCTGGCACCACGACAGGACACACAGATACGCCCAGATGCCCCTGCCCCAGCGGGAAGGCACCTGTCAGAGGAGCGAGGCAGCACCCACCTCCCCTCAGCCGGGCACAGGGGCCCATGAACACCATGGAGAGGGAGCAGACACTAACCCTCTATCCTGTCCTGGGAGCAGACACTAACCCTCTCATCCGGTCCTGGGAGCAGACACTAACCCCCCTCTCATCCGGTCCTGGGAGCAGACACTAACCCCCCTCTCATCCTGTCCTGGGAGCAGTTGGGAAGGCAGTGTTGACAATCAGGAAGAAAATGGTCATGGACCAAAAGAGCCAGAGTTGCTCGGCAGGGCCTCACCCCCACTTGTGGAAGGGATGGGACTGTGGGCTCTCGGGAACAGATGGCTGACTTTCCTCCCTGGGAGGGTAGGCCCAGGTACTCAGCAGGCTTTTCTCCAGACACATGGTCCCCACCTGCTCTGACCGCCCAAAGCACTTTACAGGCCTTCCCCCCACAGAATGGGGTCACTGTCCACTCTGGGGCACAGCGAGGCACCGAGGGGACAGTGACCTCCCCACTGCACAAGCACAACAGAGTCCTAGACTCTGAGGATTGGGGGAGAAGTTCAAGGTTGTGAGGTGGGGGGATGGGGAAGCAGAGCCCTCCTGAGCCAGGACACACACCCAGCTGAGGAGGCCCAGTGGGGAGAAGCGTGGACACTTAGGGAGTGTCCTCTTAGGACCACCCGAGCGAGGCGCCTTGGCCCTTAGCAGGGGTTGAGCCACATGCTGTGCGGGCTGTTGCTGCCACCTGGAGGCTGCCCTGCGCATCTGCAGCCAGGAGGTCCCCAGGAGGACAGGGCTCCGGGGCCAGCGAGGCGCAGCCAGGGCCCGGGATCAGCCGCCCACCTGGCGCACGGGCTCCGGGATCCGGAACCTGCAGCAGCTGCGGGTCAGGCGCACGGCTGCCTCCAGACTGATCTTGTGGCCCACGGACACGTAGAGGGGCTTGGTGCTGTGGTCGTGGCTCTTCAGGGCCTGGGGCCAGGAAGGGGAGGTCAAGGCACTGGAGGGCAAGAGGGAGCTGGGGTACATGGAGCACCCTTGGGACACCTTCCCGCTACATGTCCTAGGCACAGGGTGGGGCCAGCAGGGGCAGAAGGCCCTCAGCCAGCAAGGTGGGGACAAAGTGAAGGCGCAGGGCACGGCCGTCAGGAGTGGCAGGGAGAAGGGGACCGCATACGGGGGTGCTGACCTGGGCCCCCCACCCCTGGCTGAAAGGCCTGCCTGAGGGAGCACAGGCCCCGGCCACTCACCACACCCAAGATGGCTCCGGAGCGTCCCCTCAGAGGGAACGCGTCCCCTCTGGCACGCAGGAGGCGGATCTGGAAAACGAGGACACTCGAAAGAACACTTTTCTCAGGGAAGTCCTGCTCGTTTTTAAAATCCGAGCAGCCGCTGGGCAAGGAAAGAAGGGCCTGACCCTGCGTGCGGCCGCAGCATGGGCAGGGGTCTTGGACTCCGCCCAGAGTGGACCCGTCCAGTGCTGCCCACTGCACCATCCCACCCTGGCCAGCCCCTTGGGCTTGGCTCTCCCCTCGTTCTCCGGCAGAGACGGCCGAGCCTGGCGCAGGGTGGCAGCCTGCCCAGGCCACAGTGGGATGAAGGCCAGAGCCTGCCCCGAGGCCACCGACTTTCTGAGCTTTTCTATCCCGCTAGGAACTTGGATTCACCCTAACAAACGTTTTTAGGGTGGAGTGAGGATTCGCCCACTGAGTGGGTCTGGGGCCCTCTCCCCGCAGATGGGGGACTGCCCAGAGGAATGAGAAAGACATGCTCTCTGCTCTCCGTTCTGCTATCCAGGGGGACAGCTGAGGGTCACAGCTTTCTCAGGAGTGAGGCATCACATGCCAGTGGCAGCCACAGAGGGCGAGCACGGAGATGCCCAGGGGGAGAGGGTGCAGAGAGCAGGGCCTGGAGACGGGGGTCGGGCAAGCACGGAGCACTGCACAGGCTCCCAAATGTCCCGGCCCAATACCCAGAGGTGCTGTCCCCCGTGGGTGACACCTCAGGGGCAGGGAGGCTGGGTGAGGAGCTCAGAAGGGGCTCCGCGAGGTTCCACCGCCCACGGGAACATGCGGGGCACACTGAGAAAAGTGGGTCTTCCTGACCCCAGGCCAGGGGCGAGCATGTCAAGTCAATCCACAGGCCTGCTCCTCACCTTGTCCTTGTGCAGAGCGTTGTTCTCCAGCCCGTCCACCTGCAGGAGTTTCTTGGCCACCCCGACGCAGGGCAGGTCTGTGAGGACGCCGAGGTGGCATGCTACCCCGAAGCCTGCAAGGAAAGGGGGGTGGTCAGTGAGCCGAGCAATCTAGGGATGGCGCAGGTTTGGGGGCTAACCAGAACCTCACCGAGTTTCCCCAAGTGAACAGCCCTGTCGCAGGCAGGGTGCTGAGGAAACAGGACTGAGCTCCCACCTGACCCTGGATGTAACCCTCTGCCCCACATTCACAGGTGTCTGGCTGGGCGGAGGCCTCCCTCTCTCCCTCTGAAAAGTTCGGAGCCCACTTAGTGCTCACGGTACTTCACCCCTTTCTGTCATTTCTAGCACCTTCTGTCTTTCTCTCCCCTCTGTGGCCACTGCCAGGGCTTTGGGTCTCTGTCCCAGCTCCCCTAACTCTGGGGCTCCTGTAGGTGGCCAGGACTGCAGGGTTCCGGCCCAGGGCTGGCCTGCTGGTCCCACACCAGCATCCAGGTGGCAGGTGAAACCCTGTCACCCTTTGGCTCCCTCTGCTGCCCGACCTCCAGGCTCCTGTCTGAGAGTAAAACAGCCCCTTCCCCTCCGTTCTCCCCTGCACCAAGGTTCCAGTGCCCAGGTGCAGGTTTCCACGGCAAGTGGGCACTATGGTCTGTCCCTGTCTGGTCTGAGGCAAGGATCTGTCAGGACACAGGTGGGCCACCAGTGGGCCAGGCTGACTGAGCTCAGGCCTGGGACTTCTGGTAGCGTTCAGGACCAAACCGGGCATCTGAGAGGAGCCAGTGCAGGGTGCTGGGGACAGCCGTGGGGCAGGCAGGAAGACGGGGCATGAAGGAGAGTAGAGTCTTTACTAGTAGGTCCTGACCAGGCAGCGAGCCCAAACAGGAGTTGTCAGTGCTCAGCTGGAGTGAGGCGCAGGTGTCCTGTGAGGTCCCCCCTTCCCACAGCCCTCCCGGGCCACCTCTTGGGAGCAGGATCACCTCGGTGGTGGAGCACCCCATTTCCATCCACAAGGAGGACCTGAAAGAGCCACAGGGAAAGGGAAAGTCACAGTCAGCAGTGCTGCTCATCAAGCGGCGACATCAAGGAGCAGGAGAAATAGGGCTACCATCTGAGCACAGTTTTTGAGAAAATCCTATCCCTGTGCTCAGTGCAAAGAACACCTCCTCCAGGAAGTCCCCAGGGCTTTTCCCTGTGGTGAGTGGTGGGGCCTGTGCAGAAACAGAAGTAGAAACCCTTTGGGGTACCTGCCTGGGGCATGAGGCTAGGCTGCTTCTCCTGCAGTCGCCGCACTGCGTCCACCAGGAAGGGCACCTCTCGGAAGGCCAGGAAGCCGGACAGGTACGGGGCTGTCAAGCTAACCATGCGGCACTCCTCATACACCACCTGTCACCAGGCAGTCAGGTTGTCGCTGGTGGGATAGTCCTGGCCACCTGCCTCCCCACACGCCTTCAGCCCTTCACCCATCAGTTCTTTCCACGGCCAGCTCCCTCTCCGTCTCCCAGGCCCACCCCACGACCCCTCCCTGTCCAGTGCCCGCCTCTCTCATTAGGGCTTGCGGAGCCAGAGGGGCTGCCCCGCCCGGGGTTACCTCGAGCTCAGGGTAGCTCAGCACCACCAGGGAGGCGCAGGCCCCGGCACTGTCGCCCTTCACGAAGGACACGTCCACGCCCCCGACCCGCTGCAGGCCCGCGAAGGCGGGGTCCTGCTGCCACGCCTCCGTGTTTCGGTCCACGACAAGGGCCTTCAGCATGGCTTGCTCCCTGCGGACACACACATGCCGCGAGCTGCTCGGCCACCCCGCCCACAACTGCCGCAGGGGGGGGACTGTCCTGCCCCCGTGCCCGTGCCCGTGCCCGCCCCCTGGCTCTCCGCCCCTCCCCCCGCGCCCCCCGCCCCCTGGCTCTCCGGCCCTCCCACCCGCTTCCCGGCCCCGCCCCCGGCTCCTCCCCCACCTCGGCTTCCCGCCCCCGCCCCTCCCACCCGCTTCCCGGCCCCGCCCCCGGCTCCTCCCCCACCTCGGCTTCCCGCCCCCGCCCCTCCCACCCGCTTCCCATGCCCGCCCCCCCGCCCCACGTGACCGGGGACGCGCGCCGGAAACGGACGCCGCTACCCCGCCCACTACCGCTCCCGAAAGCCCTGGACCCAAGAGCCGGAAGCGGGCCCGGCCCCCGCCGCCCCAAAGCCGAGATTCCGGGGTCGCCGCGGCCGCGTCCCTAGCTCCGGGGTCTTGGTCGTCTCCCGGCCTCATTACCGTTTCCAGCGCGACAGGGTTTCCCTGGGCAGCCTCCCAACCGCTTCCTGGGCCATGGCGCGGCCCCGGCACCGCTTCCGGTGGCCTCACTTCCGGAGGCCTCGCGCGCACGCGCCCGGCCGGCCTGTTGCCCTGCGGCGCCCGGCGGGCCGTCTCGGGGCGGGGCTGCGCGGACGCCGCCGCCTGCTGGCCGGAGGTCCCACGGGCACCCGTCCTGCCCGCCGCCGCCGCCCGGGGCGCACAGGGGCGAGGACGGCGGCCGGGCGGGAGGGTCCTGCTCGGAGCCCGGGGGCAGGACGCCACGCGGACCCAGATCGACAGCGAGACGCGCGCGTTTGCTGCGCTTCCCTTGTACACGGCGCGGGGACCGGGAGAAGGGACCGGCGCGGGCGCTTCCCGCGTGGACAGAAGGAGCAGCGGGCTTGGGGAAGCGGGCACGACCCACGGCCAGGGCCAGGGCAGCCTGGGGCCGCCCCCCGTTCCTGCTGGTTTCCCAGACTCCGGTACTGCGGGTGCCCAGGTGCCGTAACCCGGGCGGCCGCGCCCCGAACCCCATCGCCGGGCGCCTGCCACTCACTCGGCGCCGTGACTTCGGTGCCAGGGACTGTGGGCAGGTTTCCGAGGGACCGGTGCGGGGCTTGGGGAGCCAGACCCTCAGCTTTGACTGGGGGACCCTGTGCGCGGAAAGCCCCAGGCACCAGGCCGCGCGCCTGGGGAGCACAGGCTGCTCCCCGAGCTCCTCGGTGGAGTGGGCATTTGTGCCCTCTTGGTGCCAGGCCCGGGGCCCCACGCTGGGGCTACCGCTCCCTCCCGGTGTGGAAAGAGGTGGGGTGAACGTGACATGGGAGCCCACTTTAAACTGGCCGGTGGGACAGGCCTCCAAGAGACCACGCGAACAGCACGTGCAGAGGTCCTGCGGTAGCAAAGAGGTTGGCATCTCCACGTGCAGATTGTGTGTGATGTTTCAATTGTGTGCTTAAATAAAAAGACATTTTCAGGGGGAGAAACGAGGTTTGCGTGTGGGGGGCACCGACAGGCAGCCAGCGAGGCTGAAGGGTAGCGCTGTAACCCGAAGGGCATTGGGAGAAGTACGTGGTAAGAATGTAGGCTGAACGTAGATCTGAGGAGGAAACCGTGGAAGACCATTGTTCTCCAAGTTCAGGACAGGCTCCGCACAGCGCGTGACAACTGGCAGGCCTTGGGTTTCCGGCGGGGAGAGGAGCTGGGTGCCATTCCTTCAGCGCCCGCAGCACACACACCACACGTTGACCTGTACTAACTCATTTCTGGGCACCGAGAGGTACTTTCCAGGTGGGGAAACTGAGGCTGAAAGAGGTTGAGTGGCTTGCCCGAGGCCATAGAGCTGGCCAACAGGAGAGCCAAGGTGTCCTCTGGGGCCGTCTGGGCTGCACTGCATGTCAGCCTTGTCACCTTCGAGTGATGAGGTCACCAGGGACAAGGTTGGTGGTCCTGAGCAAGTAGCTGTGGGCAATGCTGGGGGTTGTAAACACTGGGAGAAGTTGAGGTGTGAAGGGAGGGGCTGCTGAAGGCAGGTCTGTAGGTGCAGACGGTCAGCGGCAGCTGCGGTGCTCCAGCTCCGGGCTCCTCTTCCACTTGCCCTCTGCTCTTGCCCCCAGTGGCTCTGGAAACACTCCCAAGGCAGTGGGTCAGGGCTGCCCCAGAGGACCCTTCAGAGTCTCGTCATCCTTTGCACTTCCCAGGTGCTTTTCCAGTTGGAACTGGATCCGCGATGCTTAATGAGTGAGAAGGGACTAGAAAATGCAGAAAGCAATATAAATGCTAATCGTGGCTGGCTGGATTGTCCTTCAGTGCAAGGCCTCAGGTTCTCCTCCCTGCTCCCATCTCTTCTCTCTGGGGCGCAGCGGCACAGGGAACACTCGGGGTCAGTGTAGTGCGCTTTGCCTGCCTGGCCTTGTCTGCGGTGATGGTTTTCACTGCACGTTTGTCTCTGGGTTGGAATTCACTGAACCCAGGAATGACTAGCTCACGGGGGTGGAGAGATGGAAATGAAGAAATAGCCCGGCCAGTGTGGCTCAGTGGCTGAGCTTCGATCCATGGACCAAGAGGTCGCCAGTTGGATCCCTGGTTGGGGCTCGGGGCCAGGTGTGGCACACATTCCCCGTGGGGGGCATGCAGGAGGCGGCCGATCGATGTTCTCTCTCATCGATGTTTCTATCTCTCTCTTCCTCTCTCTAAAACCAATAAAGGAAAAAAAAGGCTCGTGACAGTTAAACGATGACGTCCTGTAGCCCGTAAGGAAAGGTAAGTCACTCACAAGCACAGTGAGCTGAATGAGGTCTTAGAGGACAATGTGAGGTTCGAGGACCTGCAGGTGAGTCCCCATCAGCCTCGTGACTGTTTCTGCGCGGGCCGAAAGCAGAAAGGGCTGTGCAGCTGGGAGATGCCCAAACGCAGACCGACAGGACGAGTGACAGGAGGGGCAGGGACACCAGGAAGAAACAGAGGAAGGGGGCCGGCTGCTCCCCCGCTTCCCCGAAGGAGCCCTTTCTTATTGGAAGAGAAAATGCAACTTTTCCCTAAAGGCATGTCTTACCACTCAAACCTAAGTGGGCAGCTGGAAGCTTACGGTTTCTCTGTCATGTTCTGTTTCCTTTTACTGGGGAACTCTTTGCCCCACCCCACAACCCACCAGCATCAGCTCTGGGGGACTGTCTGGGACACTGCTCCTGCCCAGGCAGGGGACGGAGGACGCCCCTGAGGCCGAGGCTGCCGCTTTTGGGGAGCGGCGTTAAACTCCGGGGTTCCTCAGCTCTGCTGTTGCCTTTTACCCTTGTGTTCTGAACCAGAGTGTACATTTTCTGTCTGGAACCTTCCCCGTGCTGGACACCTCTACAGGGGCATTTGCATAGTGAGGGACACAGGTCCCCAGAGCCAGCTGAGGATGGTCTGCCCCCAACAGAGGCTCTGCCCCCACAGAGACAGTTCCTTGGCAGCAAAACTCAAGTTTATTAAACAGGTATAACAAGTATAACAAAATTTGCATTTGTGTGTGCTAGGCCTGCGCACTTTTATACAAATGAGGTCACGCTGGATAACGACAGTTAAGGCTTTGAAAGCATAGCACACGCAATAAGACATCTTAATTTAAAAACCTTCATAAAAGCGGAGAGAAAAGTCCCCGTGCCCCCTCTGCTGAAAAAAGGGTCTTCTGCTCCAGTGTGGCAGTGAGGCACCAGAGTGGCACCTGCTGGCCTGGCCGGCTCCTCCCGCCTGAGGTATCACGGGACTGCCAGGTGCCAGCTGGAGGCCTGACCAGGCAGCCCCCTCTCCTGAGGCAGCGGCAGTGATGACGTGGCGCTCCAGGATGCAGACGCCGGCAGGAGTGCCTTTGCATAGTCGGGACGATGGGCCCACCAGATGACAGTGCAGGTGGGTCGTAGCAGGTGAATGCCCAAGGCACCTGGATCACTTGTACTCCCCTCGCCAAGTGCGACAGTGACGGCAGGGTGCGGGGTTCTTGGTGTTGGTGCCGGTCTCATCACCCATGGACCCGCTTTCAAGTCCACGGAGTCATGAACTCACTCAGAATGTACACTGAGGACCTTGCCTGGCTTGTAAACAGTTGTTTCTCAGTGGTCACCCAGGAGAACAGGAACTGGTCCAGAGAGGTCAGTAGGCATGTCACTTCCGGTGGGGACGTGCATGGGGTTGGGGCTGGGCGCCCTTGTTCCTTTTCCAGAAGCCCCACTGGCTTTGCGTTCTCTCTGAGTCTGTCTTTACGCCTCGGCCAGGAGCCCAAGCCAGCACCGGACACGGGCGCCCTCGGGGAAATCGAGGCCGGGCGGGGATCACGTGCATTTGGCAGAATGCCAGTCAAATGCTTCCTGCAGAAATGCCAGGAAGGGCTGTGCCCCTGACCCGAGTCCACACGGACAGACTTGCATTCAACATTTCAAAACACCGGAGAGAGGAGGGCATCCTCGTGCCAGTTCCTTCATTGCACAGGTGAGGAAACAGCCTCAGAGCGTCCGCAGTTCTAGTGCCCGGACCCTGACTGTGTGGCCGTGGCTCAGGGCAGGGCCCGCGTGAGGTCTCGCTGGTTTGGCTCGAAGTCCCATTGCTCCCAGGAAGCCCTGACGTGTGAGGAGGCAGCAGAGCCTTTGTTCTGTGTCCTTGGGAACCTAGGAACATCTGTACAACACTCAGAAGTTAAAGGAATGGAAGAGAGAAGAAAGCCAGGTTCTCTTCTGTGAGTGCAGAACACGTTAGAAAAACAAAAACAAAAGCGGAAATTAGTAACCCCGCTGCCTCTCCCTCGGACCAGGTAGTCGTCTGAGGAGGAGGCGGCCTGGGGCTGGGATGTTCCAGTGAAGAGGCTGGAGGCCGAGGCAGCCTGTCCGTTCGGCCGGGGCGCAGAGGACGGTGGCGCTCTCAGACCCCCTCTCGTGACCAGCGGCCGCCACCCGCTGAGGACAGGTGTTCCGGGGCAGAGCCGGCGCCCGGGAGCAGCTCTATCTCGCCTGTCGGCTCCGCTTCAGCCCAGCTGCCGTCTTCCACACGGAGACACAGTTGCAGAGCAGAATCTCCTCCGGGAACTGGGACTCCAGCTCGGGGGGAACGTCACCATATTTAGTTTCCATGTAGCTCACTAGAGTGTCTCTCAGGCTGAAAAAGCAAGGACAGGAGTCGGCCTTGAGAACAGCCTCCAAGATCACCGACAGACACATCGGCAGCCACCCTCCCAAGCCATCGATGGACCCGAAGGGCGCTTGGGACCAGAAACCCTGAGGGTCAGCTCCTGGCCGCCCTCGGCCGAGGGGGTGCTGGCGCCGGAGCCTGCTGCTTCCCGCGCGTCTGGGCACACCGCAGGACGAGCCCCTCGCCGAGGCCCGCCCAGCAGGGCGACCTGCCACCCAGCAAACAAAGCCCCCCCAGAACCGCCGCTACTCTGTTCCATATAAACAAACATCAGGCGTCTCTAGGAATGGGCTCCTTCTCCTCCACCACAAGTCCAGCGGAGTAAAGACTCCTTTTAAAAACATTTTTTTAATTAATTTTTTTATCCTCACCTGAGGACATTTTTCCATTTTTTTGTTCAGATAGAGTGGAAGGAAGAGAGAGGAAGAGAAAGAGAGAGAGAAACATCGACGTGAAAGGGACACATGGAGTGGCTGCCACCCACATGACCAACCAGGGCCGGGGACAAACTGCAACCGAGGTGCGTGCCCTTAGCGGGAACCGAACCCGGGTCTCTCTGGACAACAGGCCGATGCTCTAACCGCTGAGCCAAACTGGCCAGGGCTAGTGAAGACTTCTTTAAAAATCTAAAGATTGGTTGGCTGGTGTGGTTCAGTGGTTGAGCGTTGACTTTGCACCTAGAGGTCGCCAGTTTGATTCCCAGGTTGTGGGCCTGATCCCCAGTGAGGGGCATGCAGGAGGTGGCCAATCGATGTTCTCTCTTATCAATGTTTTTTTCTCTCTCTCTCCCTCTCCTTTCCTCTCTCTCTAAAATAAAAAAAATAAAAATTCAAAGATACAGCACCGGCTGATGTGGCTCAGTTGGTTGGAGCATTGTCCTGTACATCGAAAAGTCTTGGGTTTGATTCCTGGTCAGGGTGCATACAGGAGGCAACCAATAAATGTTTCTCTTTCACATCAATGTCTCTTTCTCAAAAATCAACAAAGGGCCCAGCCAGTGTGGCTCAGTGGACTGAGAGGTCCCGGTTCCATTCCCAGTCAAGGGCACATGCCTGGGCTGCAGGCTTGATCCCCAGTAGGGGGCGTGTAGGAGGCAGCTGATCTATGTTTCTCTCTCACATTGAGGTTTCTCTCTCTCCCTTCCTCTCTATCTCTCTAAAAAAAAAGAACATATTTTAAAATAAAAATTGGGTTGTCTTTTTTTTTTTTTTTTTTATCCTCACTTGAGGATATTTTTCCATTTTTTGTACAGATAGAGTGGGAGGGAGAGAGAGTGAGAAACATCGACGTGAAGGGACACATCGAGTGGCTGCCACCCGCATGACCAACCAGGGCCGGGGACAAACTGCAACCGAAGTACGTGCCCTTAGCGGGAACCGAACCCAGGTCTCTCCGGACCGCAGGCTGACGCTCTAACTGCTGAGCCAAACTGGCCAGGGCAAAAATTGGGTTGTCTTGAAAAATAAACAAATAAATGTAGCCTCAGGTGAGGATTTAAAAAAAAATCCAAAGGAAAAAAAATTAAAAAGCCCTGGCCAGTTTGGCTCAGCAGTTAGAGCATTGGCTCACGGACCCAAGAGTCCCAGGTTTGGTTCCCATTAAGGGCACGTACCTTGGCTGCAGTTTGTCCCCGGCCCTGGTTGGGGTCATGTGGGTGGCAACCAGTCGATGTGTCTCTCTTCATATCGATGTTTCTCTCTCTCTTCCTCCCTCTCGCCCTCCTGCTCTATCTAAAGATAAATGCAAAAAAAAAAAAAAAATCCAAAGATATAAATGTGTAGAGGTACATGCCACGCAGCACAATGGAGAAAACTGGCAACTCTGCCTCGTGCTGGCGAGGGAGCTGGGGTTTAACGTCTGCGTAGAAAACCAGCCAAGTCAAACGCCTGCCTCACACCACACACGGTCCACTGGTTGGCCACACAAACAGACGACTGAAATCCCTAGACGCGCAAGAGGCAGGAGCAGCAGACTGTCTCCCGGCCTTGGGATAAGAGAGACCTTAGGACTCTGCACCCCTCCAGAGGGCCCGCAGGAAAACCTTGTCACTCTGGCTCCGTGACATTCAACACCAAGACAGAGCCTTTGCAGCAGAACCGATGATACGTTAATCAGAATCTTTTAAGATCGAGAAACATTATCAGCAGATGTCAAGTGGTCACTTAGAGGAAGACATACAAAGGGCTGGTAAACAGAAAAACATCTTCAGCCTCACTCGTGAGTAGGAAAATACGAGGGAACACGAGACACCATTGTTTGGTGAAAGATGGCTAGTATCCATCTCACGCTACACGTGGGTGTCGCTTCTGCTGGGAAATTTAAAACGAATGCCTCTTTGACTTAGTAAGTCCGCTTGCTCTAAGGAGAACATGACTTTTGTGATTATTTTAAAAGATCCAGTAGAGACAGCCACCCCCAAAGCCAGCCCTCGGGTGTGCCCTGGCCACGGTCACGGCAGGAGCCTCGGCGGCCCGAGGGGGCCGTACCTCCACTGGGGGTTGAAGTCCTCCTTGGTGCGGGGGTTCTTCAGTTTCAAGACGATCATCTCGTGTAGCTCCAGAAGGAAGGTGTCCAGGCTGCTGTGGTTCAGGAACGTGCTCAGCAGCTTAGCATTTTCTGGGCTGAGCTCAACTCTGAACTTGGCGTCCATCTCCCCAAAGGGCTCCTGCGGCGCGGGAAGCAGCAGTGAAGGGGGGCCCAGGGGTGCGCGGCTGGCCCAGCCAGGGGGAGCGGAAGGCGGGGCTTACCTTTCTCAGCCGCACCTGCTGCTCAGACCTGTGCGCAGAGAGGAGTTGCCAGAGGGCGATGACGTGCTGGAGCTGACACCTGTGGAAGGCCTGCGCGGGGAAGGGGCTCCTTAGGACCGGCCGCCCAGTGCTCTGCCCGCGGGCGCTTGCATTTCTGCTGAGCTCATCCCAAGTCCCTGGGCACGGAGGCCACCCTGCTCCAGCCACTAAGGGGCCGCCTCTCCGAAAGGCTCCCGCCGGCGCATCTCGGAGCCCGAGCATCAGTCAGTGTGCAGGTGGCGGGCGCCCTCAGTCACACACGTGGCACGGGGTGGCTGGAGTCTTCTGTTCCCAGCGCACCTGTGACTTTACCTCCAGGGTCTGTTCTGTTTCCAGGCTGCCTAGACCAACCCTCTCGGGGCGGTGCTGACCTCCTCCAAGACCCACCTTTAACACCTGCTCTGTCTGGTCGCCCATGCGCAGCTTGTCCTGGATGTACATGTTCAGGTCCATGTTGGGGTCCTCGCCAGCGGTGCTCAGGAAGCCCAGGGTGACCTCTATGACAGACAGAGCCTCACAGGCGTCGCTGTAGGACTGCAGCTGCCCGCAGATGGCGCTGACGGCCGCGTTGGGGAGGGGGCTCTGGGAATGAGAGGGCAGCACGGGGGTCTGTGGCAGCTGTGCAGCAGGGTGGTAAGACGCCCACCTTCTCACCGCCAGGGCCACAGGGACGGGCTCTCCGACACCAGCCTCCAGAGTGGCAGCAGTGTCCCAGCCGCTTCTCAGACACAGATGGGGACTCGCCAGACCCTCAGAGCAACTCGTGAGGAGGTGCTCATGGACACGCGCACACACACACACACACTCACTCAGCACGGACACACCAGACACAGAGACCACACACACACATGCACACGGCACACACACACATACTTGGCATAAACGTACTACACACATGCATACACACTGAGCATGCACACGTCATACACACATGCAATGCCACATACACTCAGCAGCATCTCAGAACATGCACATGCCACACAAAGATACCACACACACACACACACACAGGCTCCCTGGCTTCTGCATCCGCTCACCCGGCCATGTCACCAGGGCCCGCGGGTTCAGAACGGAAACACCCAGCACGAGAGCCGCCCGTGCGAAGGGGCCAGCCCGTGTCACACGCGCACGGAGCAGGCCGCGCACGCTCACCTGGGCCATCTTGTCCCTGATGCCCATGAAGAGACGCTCGTGGTCCCAGTCGCGCCTGTACACCAGCGTGGGGATGCCCTTGAGGGTCAGCTTGGGTTTGCCCTGGAGGAAGCGGCTGATGACCTGGCGCTGGATCTTCTCCAGGTCGAACTCCTGCAGGTTCTCCTTGCCCAGCTCCACTCGGTACTGGCAGTTGGACAGGATCAGCGGCATCAGGTCCCGCTCCACCTCGTAACTGATGACGTGCAGGTCGGTGACCTCGGAGGCGTCGACGGAATAGCTGAGGACAGCAAGACACCGTGCTCGGGGGACCGTCAAGGGCTGTGGCCCTGGACCCTGGGCGGCAGGAGCCACGTCCTCTCCTTGCTGTGCTCGGAGTTTGAGCCGATGGAAGGACACATGGCCTGTGGACACTCGTGCATGGGGCTGGACGAGCGTCGGCCCCGGGAGCGGGCGCCTGGCCTGCGGACCCTGCTCCGGGCCCTGGGCTGAGAGGGCAGCACCCGCGGGCGGTGCGCTCACCTGCTGTTTTCCCTGGAGAACTTTTCGACCGTGTAGACCATGTCGTTGTGCAGCCTGATCAGGTAGCTGACCAGGGCTGTGGAGCAGAGGCCCGCGCCCTGGCGACGCGGCAGGATGACCTCGAACTCTGAGTCGAGGTCCAGGTCTGCGCTGCAGCAGTCTTTGGGCAGCTTGATCTCGCCTGGAAGGGCAGGGCTGTCCTTCAGCAGAGGTGGGGCTCCCGCTGCTTCCCGCTCAGCATCAGGGCCCGGAGCCCGCAGCAGGTGCCACAGCATGAGGGCTCCCAGCCTGGCTCGGCTTGGCCCCGCCCAACCCACCCCACCCAGCCCCGCCCCACCCAGCCCAGCCCAGCCCCACTCCACCCGCCCCACCCAGCCTAGCACAGCCGCACCCAGCCCAGCACAGCCCCACCCCACCCCGCCCCGCCCCAGCCCCACCCAGCCTAGCAAGCCCCACCCCACCCCACCCAGCCCAGCCCAGCCCCGCCCAGCCCCACCCAGTCCAGCCCAGCCCCGCCCAGCCCAGCCCCACCCAGCCTAGCACAGCCCCACCCCACCCCACCCCGCCCCAGCCCCGCCCAGCCCCACCCAGCCCCGCCCCACCCCAGCCCCACCCAGCCTAGCACAGCCCCGCCCAGCCCTACCCCGCCCAGCCTGGCAGAGCTACACCCAGGGACGCTCTAAAATCCCGCCCCCAGGTCTCTTCTGTGCTGACCAGTCCCGTGTTCTCATCTCCCTGTGGTTTCCACGTGGACAGAGCCAGGAGGCCCGAGGCTGGGTTTTTCGGGCCCTGCGCCTTTCTGTCCCAGACAGCTCCACCCACAGATGCAGGTTCCCTGCAGCGCGGACAGGGGCCTGGGGACAGGCTGTGAGGACGGCTCCTCCTGCCGTGCTGTGTGGAAGGGGAACGTGCCACTCACCGTGGGTCTCCAGGGACCTCCTCAGCTTGTTCCACGTGGACAGGAACACCTGGACTCTGTCTAGGAGCAGCCGCTTCAGCCCCACTGTCAAACACACGCCGGTCCAGGTCAGACCAGCGTCACCCGAGACCTCTCACCAGCGCGACCCAAACGCCGTGTGAGCGCCCGGGCTGCGTGTTCCGGGGTTTACACGCCCCAGCTCATGCGAAACGCGCCCAGTGCCCCGGGCTGCCCCACCCCCAGCTGGAGTGGCCCTCCAGCCAACACTCAGGTGCGCTGCCCTGTGACCAAAGTCCTACCTGAGTGGTGGCTGTCAATGAACCCTCTGATGGACTGGTACTCAGCTTCCGACACATTCTGGAATTGTTTCACTAGACCCCTCTGCAGGGCCAGAATCTCGGGCAGGAACTTCACCAGTCTGAGCTCTGCTTCCTGGGGGGGAGACCACCCGGTGACACCTCTCATCTGCGAGAGAGTGTCGCTGGGGGAAGGACGTGGGCTTGTGTTTCCATCTGTCTATGTGGTGCTCTGTATGTGAGCCTTGAACACGGGGGGAGGCTGCCCACTTCTTCAGCAAGCAGCTCCGGATGGCTGCCCTGTGTCAGCACGTCCTGCATCCCGGAGCCGGTGGAGCCGGACAGAGCCCTCTCTCAGACCCACACGCCCGCCTCGGGGCCACGTGACGGCTGGGTGCGGGGAGGGCAGCCCACCGCCCAGGGCCCCGAGTCCAGCACTGGTGCCTGTGCCACCCCAGGTGCCGAGCTGAGGCCCTGGACCCCAGAATCTTCACCGGTGACAGAGCGTGGCTTTCACGTGAAGCCCTACTGCTGTGACCACCGAATTCCTGCGGTGTGTCACTTCCTGCTGAGCTGTGAACACTGGTCCGTGGACGGCAACGGCTCCGTGGAAGGAAAGCTCACAGACGGAAGGGCACGGCGGTATCTCTGGTTCTGACTGACACGGCCCGTAGGTACGTTTCGTCTGCCCCCCTGCCCTGCCCCTCGCTGAGCCCTGATCTGTAAGCCCGGACGGCTCAGGAATGGGGAGATTTTGCCTCATTTTGGACGTTTTTCATTCAACCCCCAGGCATGGGGTGGGGGATGGAGAGGAGCGGACGAGGCAGGAGAGACTCCTGCTCTTTCTTGCTGGATGACGGGGAGACGCTCCCCAGGGCCCTCCGGGTCTTTGCGGATTCCTGCTACCACCACCTGAGCTCTACACCCCCATCCCTGCGTCCCCTGCTGCAGACGGTTCGTCCAGGTCGAACATGGAGGCGGCCGGTCAGCTGCCCCGGCCTCGGTCGGCGGGAGATCAGGCGGGTGGCCACGGCGAGGCGCCTACCTTCTGCAGGAACTTCCAGAGGACAGGCATGGTCTCTTTGCCGTTCTTCTGCTCCACGATGTGCCGGAGGTACTCCACGGTGATCCTGGTCCTGCAGTTCCACATCTTGGAGCAGTGGACCATGCTGCGCGGGGGCAGGCTGGACAGGAAGGACGCCGGGTCCCCGAACACGATTCTGGCCACCGGGTTGGAGCTGACACGCTCATCGCCACTGATGAGAGTGTTCACCGCCAGGAGGGTTTTATCTAGACGCTAGGTGAGGAAAACGTACGGGATGCTCGACGCGAGGCCCCACGGAGGACGGGGGGTCACCTAAAGATGACCAGCGGGCGAAGGAGGGCATCTGACCTACGCGTCTTACACGTACTCAAACCCCCACGGCTCACGCTCGCTCTCATTCACACGCCCGTCTGCAAGTTGCTGTCTTCCCAGGTAGAAGGACGCTCAGACCGACACCACTCCCGCCCTTGGACCCACTGATGTTTATCTCCTCGTGGGCTTTGTGACCTTGGCTGAGTGCCCCCCGGTGGCTGCCCAGGAGAAGGCCCTCGTGCGGTGCAGAGGTCGCTGGCACCCCCTCACGCACCTCCAGCACAGGTAAGAGGAGGGCTTCCACAGCCTTCTCCCAGGAGTTCCTCTTCTCTCGGGTCGACAAGACCGCATCCACGTCGAACGCTCCTGCGGAGAAAGGTGTGTGGGTTGCCCAAGGAACGAAACCCACAGCGGTCCCCACGGAATCAACACCACGCAGCTGTTAAACCGAGATAATGTTCCCTTTTGCGGGGGAGGGATACATATCTTCCGAATCAACCTGCGTGTTATTTTATTTATTTATTTACTTATTTATTTTTTATCCTCACCCGAGAACATTTTTGATTTTATCTTCAGATAGAGCAGGAGGGAGAGAGGGAGGAAGAGAGAGAGAGACGTTGACCGGTTGCTGCACACACGACCCCAACGAGGTTGGGGACAAACTGCAACTGAGGTACGTGCCCTTAGCGGGAACCAAACCCGGGACTCTCGGGTCCGCGGGCCGATGCTCTAACCGCTGAGCCAAACCGGCCAGGGCTTAACCCGCGTATTTAAAAATGGCTCCTGCCTGGCCGGTGTGGCTCAGTGGTTGAGTGTAGACCTGGCACCAAGAGGTAGCCGGTTCGATTCCTAGTCAGGGCACATGCCCAGGGTGTGGGCCTGATCCCCAGTGTGGGGCACGCAGGAGGCAGCCCGTTGCTGTTCTTTCTCATCGATGTTTCTCTCTCCCTCCCTCTCTAACTTCTCTCTCTGTAATATCAACAAAGAAAAAAAAAATTAAAAATGGCTCCTGCCGTGTGCTTGGTGAAGATCCCCGGTCTCTGACTCTGGACACTGCAGAGCCTCCCACATGCACCGGACACTTCTGTGCAAATGAGCGACTGTCGCAGGCCTTGGCCCGGCAGGTGCGTGTCTCCGCCCACAGACACACCGCTTCCTGCTGCCCAGCGGGCATGGCGCCACCCTCATCCTCCTGTCTCCCCTAGACCGGCGTGCTCTGCTGCCCACGGCCCCCGCCGGCCCCTCGCCCAGCCCCTCACTCTGGCCGGAGAGGTGGCCCTGGTCCTCGAGGAGGCTGCGCAGGACGATGTGGACCACGGTGGCCGCGTCGTCGGCCCCCTTGCCCAGCGTCTTCATCAGCTGCTGCAGGTCTCTCTGGATGTGCTGCTGCAGAAAGCTTCTCGGGTCCCTCACCGAAGGCTTGATGATGTTGGTCAGAGCCTGTGGGGGCCAGGGGACAGCACGTCAGATGAGGCCTGGCCTGGGGCGGAGACCAGGAGGGAACCCCGGCCCTGTCAGGAGCCGGGCTCGGACACGAGCGACGCCGGCTGGTTTTCCCCGGGAGGCGGAAGGCGGAGGAGCGGACGGGCAGGCTCGGGCTGGTGGTGGGAAGCAGGACTCAGAGCTGGCCCTTCCTGCCGTCGCGGTTCAGCGGCTTAGAGGACACGCCTGCCCCGGCCGCAGCCAGACGGGAGAGACCGTGATGGCATCCCCTCTCCGCGCCCAGCTGGACACCGGACTGCGCGCTGAAGACAGACTTGCGAGGGCAGGTGCGCACTTTCCGGTGCCGGGACAGCGAGGGTGGGCGATTTCGTGTCTCCGTGCGGGGTGGCAGCCCACGGGAGGGGCTGGGGCCTCTGAGGGAAGGACCCCGGGGCACAGGGCCGGGCAGGGCGGCGCGGTACCTGCGGGCTGTGGGCCGCCCCCAGGAACATCGCCAGGTGAGTGAGCAGCCTGGCGAGAAGAAAGACCCCCGGGGAGAGCTCGCGGTCCGAAACCACCACCTGGTCCCTGGCGGGTGGGTTTCCCAGCACGTGGCCCGTCTGCGTTCTGTCTGCGCTCTGCCTGGAAGACAAGGTCAAGGCTGAAGGTCACTTCTGCTCCGTTCCAGGGGCACGTCCAGGTCCTTCGGGCCCGCAGACTGGGTTCATGTGTTGAGAGAAAATCATGCCGAGCACTTTCCCTGCTAAGCCCAGACCGACTTCCTTCCTTCCTTCCTTCCTCCCTTCCTTCCTTCTTCCTTCCTTCCTTCCTCCCTCCCTTCCTTCTTTCCTTCCTCCCTCCCTCCCTCCCTCTTCCTTCCTTCCTTCCTTCCTTCCTTCCTTCCTTCCTTCCTTCCTTCCTTCCTTCCTTCCTTCCTCCTCCCTTCCTCCCTCCCTCCCTCCTTCCTTCTTCCTTCCTTCTTCCTTCCTTCCTTCCTCCTTCCTTCCTCCTTCCTTCCTTCCTTCTTCCTTCCTCCTCCCTCCCTCCCTCCCTCCTTCCTTCTTCTTCCTCCCTCCCTCCCTCCTTCCTTCTTCCTTCCTTCCTTCCTTCCTTCCTTCCTTCCTCCCTCCCTCCTTCCTTCTTCCTTCCTTCCTTCCTTCCTTCCTTCCTTCCTTCCTCCTCCCTTCCTCCCTCCCTCCCTCCCTCCCTCCCTCCTTCCTTCTTCCTTCCTTCTTCCTTCCTCCTTCCTTCCTTCCTTCCTTCCTTCCTTCCCTAATCCTCACCTGAGAACATTTTTGCATTTATCTTCAAATAGAGCAGGAGGGAAAGAGGGGGAAAGAGAGAGAGAAACGTCGGTGTGAAAGGGACACATCGAGTGGCTGCCACCCACACGACCCCAACCGGGGCCGGGGACAAACTGCCACCGAGGCACGTGCCCTTAGCGGAACCGAACCCGGGTCTCTCCGGTTTATAGGCCGATGCGCTAACCGCCGAGCGAACCGGCCAGGGCCAGACCACTTTCTTTCAGGAGTCGTCTTCTTTCCAGAACCACCGGCCTGGCCGACGGGTGAAAAGAAGCTGAGCGACGGGGCTGCGCGTGCGCCCGTCTCCTGTGCCGCCATCGAGGACGGGACCCCAGGCCTGGCGAAGGGCTTCCCACCACGCCCAGACGGCAGGTGCGGGTGACAGACGTGTCCCGCTGCAGAAATACTGGGGATCCTGGGGCATCCCTGCGGTCCCTGGAGACACCGACCACACCAGCAGAGCCAGGTGCTGTCTCGAGGCAGCACCGGAGGGCGGTGTGGCTGATGAGACCAGGTGTCTCTGGGCCTGCGGTGTTGGAGAAGACTGACGTCCTTCCTTCACCTTCTCAGGAAGAGGGAACTCAGAGAGTCTACCCATGGGATGGCGTCTGCCCAGACAAACGCCCGCTTGGGTTTGCAGACTTGAATGTCCCTCTGAATTAGGTCACCTGCCTACGTCAACAGGGCTCTGGCCCCAGGCAGGCCCGCGGAAGACACTGCACTAACGTGTGCTCACGTTAAGGACTCGTGCGTCTTCTGCTTGCATTTAAGAACCCGGGGGCCGGTGGCAGATCCAACATGTCACTGCAGTGTGACAGCAGGGACCGGGCCGGGCCACCCCATGTCTCTACAGCAGGGACACTGCACTCCCTGCCAGCTTCCCAGCTGCAACGGAAACCCCCACAGCCGGTCTGAGCGAGCGGCGACGCGGGCACGTACCCGATGGCAGTGAACCCTCGGTTGGCCTTGTGGTTCACCCCTCCGACAGGCGCGCCACAGTCCACGCAGACGCTCTGCTCCATGGGCCTGCCACACTGGGACAGAGGCGGGCACCGTCAGTGCCGGGCACGGTGCGTGGGCATTTGTGGGTCTGGGGCACATGTTCCACGCAAATGATGTGGGACGTGGGCATATTTGGACTTCCCTTCCCAAACAGAACAATGACGGTGCCCATCCAGTCTTCCCTCCTGGGCTTCGTCTGCTCCCAAAGTGACCCCGACTGCCAGCCTCAGGGCTTTGTTTTCGGGCACGGGGAACGTGGCCCTCAACCCCACCATGGACTTTTGACTTCATGAAACAGGACAGGACCTCCCACCCTCCCCAGCCTCCCCTGCAGCACCCACGTTAGACTCAGGGACGAGGAATTCACAGGTCCTTCCCCCACGGGCTGGCGAGCTCTGGGTCCCTTTGTCCTCTCTGAGCTAGTGCCAGCTTCCGGCCCAGTCATCAGTTTGCCATCACAGGGGACACCTATCCCTGCAGCAATTCTGTCTCCAAGGGATCCATGACATCTTTGGATGTCACCCTGGGGGAGACGGGGTGTCCCTGGCATCTGGTGATGCTGCTCGCCACCCTCCGTGCACGGGCAGCCCCCATAAAGACACGTGCAGAGAGCCGAGGCTGGGAGCCTGGTGGGATGCCCTGTGCTGCTCAGGGTTGGATGCACACCTTGAACAGCCCTCAGAAGAGTCTGCGTTCCCCTGGAAGGTTGAAGCCCTCATGGTCCCCCTCCTCCACACCCCAGACCGGAAGGAGCACACCTGTGAGCCCCCCAATGCCTGCCCCGAATACAAGACTCACCTCTCCTACAGTGCACGGGTGACCTCTGGGACACACTGTTGAAAGAACAGGGCACACGTTGGCCGACGGTTCACCCAAGGGCCCGCGTGGCCAGAGGGGCAGTGACTGTCTCCTCTCTGGCCTGACCACACCGGACGCCCAGAGCAGGGGGACTGTCTCTGAGCTGAATTCTACGAAGCTGGGAAATGAGTTCCAGGCCCCCCAGGTTACGGGGCGGCGGGAGGACAGTGTTCTCACGCCTCTGTTCTCTTTGGCTGCTTTTGACCATGAGCGTGTTTTATAACAGCTTTGAAACTAGTGGGAAAGGGTTCTTCACTCTGGCACCAGCAGAACGTCCACCGAGCCAGGCCTACATTGCTCTGCCTCCCAGTTTCGTTTTCCTAAAGGAACTACCTTGGGGACAGACGCTGGGACAGCCCCAGGTGTGGTTCTCAGTCCCCCTCCTCCAGGGACGAGACACACGTCCTGCAGGCCCACCCGCGACCAGGAAAGACATGACGAGGGTCATGTACACCCTCCTGCACACATGCACGTCCTGCCACAGCACCCACAGAACCCACGGCACCCGCCACGTGGGCCCTCACTCTCGGCCCACGGCTCCCGTGGCATCAGGAGGTTCGTCACCACGCAGAGGACAGTGACTGTCTCGCCAACACTTACCGTACCAGTAGACGTATTCCAGACCCTGCCAGGTCCGGGCTTGAGACAGCAGGTCCTCAGGCATGGTCGGGAGAAAGGCCCGCTGAAACGGGAGAGGAGGGGGCGGTGTCGTCGGTCCCGCACAGGCTGGGTCTGCGCACGCCCCGCCCTGGGGCCACCGCACCACCGCCAGGCCCGGTGCCGTCTTACCGCCATGGTTTCTGGGGAGAAGGCCAAGTTCTTCAGGGGCTCCAAGAGCCTGTTCTGCCCACAGAGGAGGACGACGGCAGCGTGAACGGCCACTTCGGTCACGGCGCCTTCCAGGCTGTCGCCGGGCACCATCTTCAGCAGCGGCAGAGTGTTGGTCGCGAGGGATTTTGCAAAATCTCTCATGTCAGGGGACAGGGCCTGGCTTTCTTCAATGAATTTGTTCACGGCCTCACGTTGCTGACAGAAACACGTGTTTCAATATCAAAAGGTGAAGACGACCCATCATCAGTCACGCATCTGACCCCAGACGCCCGTCAGACGTGGCGGTGAGTGGGCCAAATCGTCCCCTCGGAGGGGCGTTGTCCAGGGAAGGAAAGGCTGACATGCAGATGCACCCCAAGCGCTCATTCTGGCACCCCCTTCCGGGCAATGACTAGTGCCGTCCATTCTTGGCGTTAGTTCTGACTTCCCTCTAAAAGCTCTGGGTGAAGCAGACAGAGGTCCCTCCACAGAAGAAGGGTGAAGACCCCCAACCCTGAGAAAAAACTAGGCGCACAATTTGTGTTTGTGACATTTACTTCTATTCAGAAAGTGCCCCCGAGCCCCGGGTGGACACTCACCTCCGGCGTGGGGCGCAGGCTGGCGTTGCGGGACCGGTACAGCGCGGTGACCTCTCTGAAAAGCGCCAGCAGTAAGCACACAGCCTGCCGCGTCCGGGAGTTCCTGCAGGCCTGGGACAGCGGGGACAGCGCGGGAGGCTGGGCAGCGAGGTCCAGCTCTACCCAACGCCCCAAGCTGGGCGGGGGCTTTCCCAAGACCCCACAGCCTGCACCTGAAGGACCACCTTTGGGCCTCAGCTGAGATGGCGAGGCCCATCAACCAGTCTACCAAGCTCAGTGCGTGTGTACCGGGCGCCTCGTGGCAGCCGCTCTTCACCATCCACCCCCTTGCGGACGCCGTCACTGGTCCGGGAACTCTTCCCGAGCATGGGAAAGATGTCCCCCTTTGCTGGCACGACGCCAGGGTAAACGGGGCTCGAAAAAGAACGTCGGCCAGAACCCTCCAACGATGATTAGAAAAGCCAGCATCTTTCTTAAAACAAGCACACACAATCCCGGCCGGTGTGGCTCGGTGGACTGGGCGTCGTCACAGGCCCGGGTTCGATCCCCAGTCCGGGCACAGGCCCGGGTTTCGGGTTCAATCCCCAGTAGGGGGCCATGCAGGAGGCAGCTGATCAATGTTTCTCTCTCAGATTGATGTTTCCATGTCTCTCTCCCGAAGAAATTCAATAAAAACATATTAGGAAAAATAAGTGCACACAGGGTCACATGCACACAGAACCAGCCCACGCAGGACGGTGGTACGTGGCTGAGTGCTGCTGGTCCTGCCCACACCGTGTCCGATCAGAGCGACCTTGGAGGACGCGACAGAGCAGGGTTGGGGAGGAAGTGACCAATGCAGATGTAGCGCAGTCGGCCTGTGACCACCAGCGCGGCTGCCACCCTGCGGGACGCCTTCCGTGGCACCAAGGGGAGAGCACGTTCGGAGGGGTGCCACTGCGCCGAGGAGCCTTGACCCATCCTACCTCCAGAGCAGTCGGAACGGCCAGGGGACTGCTCCCCAGGACAGCTTTGCCCACCGCGTCACGAACAGCCTTGTACTCCAATCCGTGCACCAGGTAGCGGTCCATCTGGCTCGGGTGCGCCTCCTGCAAGCCCAGGAACACAGGGTTCACCACGGTGGGGATGGTGGGGAGCTAGTGACACAGGACCTCAGAGCCTGATTAGCAAAGAGCCGTCCGCACGGGTGAGGACGCAGTCACCCCTACAGGTGCAAAGGCGTGGAAATAGGTTGTGTGCCGGCCCCAGGCAGCACGGTGCAGGGCTGGGGAACTGGGGGGCGGGGCGGGGGGCTAACCCCACAGTGGCCGCCTGTCTCCAGGGGCCAGGTGACGTCACACTGTCGCTCTAAGCTCCAGCTGGCAGTAAAACAGCCGGGGTTTTAGTGCTGTGTTACAGCCCAGGACAGTAACAACGTGTTCACTCCTGAGCATGACGGAAGGACCCCCGCGCGGCCCCAAAGCCAAAGTGACCCTGGTCCTCCTGGTCTGTGACTGCCGAGACAGAAAGGCCTCGTCCCACAAGCCGTGGCACTGCCCCTGGGCCGAAAGCAAAGCCACAGAAGCCTCGGCCGGGCCCGACTCGTCGGGAGGGACGCCGGGAAGCAGGTGGCAGGGCAGGGCCCACACACCGCTCTTCCCCTCGCAGGCTGCTAAAGGCCGCGGCAGCAGGGTGCCTGGGGACAGAGGCAGCCCAGAGCAGGTGCAGGCCTTCCCCTGGGGGGGGGGGCGGTCAGGGAAGGAGGGACAGGTGGCACAGTGCCCAGGCTGCAGGGCAGGCTCCTCACCTGCAGGACAATGACTTCCTTGGGGAACACCCACTGGGCCGGGTGGCCGGGCCGGGAGAAACCGTGCACGAACTCCATTCCCTGCTGGCTCGCGAGCTTCCGCACCAGGTACACCCGGTACCAGTCGTTCCTGGCCTGCGTGCAGAGGCGCTGCACCTGCCCCAGGTACTGCCGCCTGTCCTCCGCCATCTCTGCGGAGCCCGGGACAAAGCGGTCAGCGGCGGGGCTAAGGGCCCTGTCCTCCCCGTCCCAGGCACAGAGCTAGTGAAACGACCTCAGAGTGAGACACTGACTGGGAAGAAAGGGGCCGGGAGGATCCTGAGGGCCAGTTTGCCCTGCTCCCCGAATCTCAAAATAATGGGGTCTCTGAGCTGAGGCAAGGAAAGGGGCAGATGAAGACTTGTCCCAACCTTCCCAAGGCTCAGAGAGGAGGTCAGCAGCCCTGTCCAGGCAGAGGCGGGTCCTGGCCACCTCCTGCAGGTGCTCCACAGAGGCCTCCGGGGCGGGCTGCCGGCCGCGCCCCCCGGGCAGACACGCCTGCAGGAAGCGGCCGTCCTCCTTCAGGGCCCTGGCGGGCTCGCTGGCCCAGAGCGCGCTGTTCTTCTCATGGATGGAGTCCTAGGGGCCAGGCAGAAAGAGAGGGTATATTCTTTGACATTTCTTTAAAAGCCTCACGAGAGGCTCTTTAATTGATCCTAAAAAGAGGAAGGGAGAGAGAGAGAAACATCAATGTGAGAGAGAAACATCGACTGGTAGCCTCTCTCGCGCCCCCTGACTGTGGGATCGAACCCGCAACCTAGGTAGGGGCCCTGTCTGGGAATCAAACCCACAACATTTTGGTGTATGGGACAAAGCTCCAACCAACTGAGCCATCCAGCCAGGGCGAATACTGTTCTTCTTATTTCTTTCTTTATTAATTTTTTTGCTTTGTTTTATCCTCACCCGAGGACATTTTTGCATTTATACTCAGACACAGCGGGAGGGGGAGAGAGAGAGAACCATCAATGTGACAGAGACACACTGAGTATCTGTCACCCACACGACCACAACTGGGACTCTGGTCCGTGGGCCGATGCTCTAACCACTGAGCAAAAGTGGCCAGGGCAAATACTCTTCTTTTTTATTTTATCCTCACCCGAGGACATTTTTCCATTTTTTTGTTCAGATAGAGTGGGAGGGAGAGAGAGGGAGAGAGAGAGAGAGAAACATCAATGTGAAAGGGACACATCGAGTGGCTGCCAACCGCACGACCCAACCAGGACTGGGGACAAACTGCAACCGAGGCACATGCCCTTAGCGGGAACCAAACCCGGGTCCCTCTGGACCGCAGGCCAACACTCTAACCGCTGAGCCAAACAGGCCAGGGCCGAATACTGTTTGTTTTTTTAACATGCGAGCCTCAACCCTCCAAAATGTCTCGTGTGACCGTGGAGAATAAAGGAAGGATGTAGAATGTTGTGGGTTTCAGTACGCATTTTTTGCATCATGGAAAAGTATTATCCCTTTTTACTTGAGGGGCAAGAAAGAGGGGACAAAGAAGACTGATGAGGAAAAAAATTGTGTATCATGTAAATTTTTTCATTCGCATTGTACGATGTTTGGAAGTGACAAAAACACAAAGAAAACGAAAATGGAAGGTAGCCATCGCCCTCCACCTGGAGCTGGGCATTGCAACTTCAGTGGTGTGTTTTTCTAGCTTGCTTTTTATTTTTTCCTCACCCACATAAATGCCAATGTGGACCATTACCGAGGGCAGAAGCCCTGTTTCCTGAAAGGGTGAGTAACGTTTTAACAAAATTAAAACTCCATCCTGACCAGTCATTCCTGCACGTAAACACCTGAGCAGTCTTGTAAAAATCCCCAGGACTGAAATCCAGAGGAACCATGAAGATAAGGGGTTAATGGGGGCCTTGGAAAACTTGGAGGGACCATAACAAAGAGACTGATGACTGCCCCGACCTCTGTAACAAGCTCATCTCTACCCTGCAGCAGACTCCTCCCTCACCTCGGTAGCGGTTCACATCAGCCCTGGGACCACAGGGCGGCGCCAAGAGAATGCAGTTTTTGGCAGATTCTGTAGTTTTGTGCCTATGCAAGCCTGAGAACAAAGAAGGCTGGAGCGGATACCTTCTCGGATCAGCCCGCCCGCACCCAGGCGCGTGCAATAAAGCCCGTTTGCTCTTGTGGATGTGATCTCTCGCCAGCTCGGACCTTTGGTTTCTGAGATCATTTTTTCTGCGGGGACCACCGCGATGGTTCCCCGTAACAACTACAGTGCTGCTCTGTGGATGTTTGGCAGCACTTCGCTGTGGCACGAACCACAGGCTTCCCAGGGAAGGGGCAGCGGGCTCACCTCCAGACAACTGCTGAACAGCACGTACAGCTCCGTCTTATCCTCCGGCAGGAACGATTTCCTTTCCAGCTGGGTCAAGTACTGCTGAATGTAATCCTTGACTTGGTGGAAGCTTCGGGAAGAGAGTAGGAGAGCTGACGATCAAAGGTCTGAGAATTCATTTTGCCGAAACAAAGTAGCTACCTGCTCCTCTCTCGATCTCCCTGTGTACACACAGGTGCACACACCCACACAGTATGGAACGTGATTTTATTGGCAACACTGTAGCACAACACTGGAGGGATAGAAAATGCCTTATTTCACACCAGCTGTTCTCAGACACCTTGGTTTCAGGACCCCTTGGCAGTCCTAAGCATTACTGCAAGCCCTGGCCAGTGTGGCTCAGCAGTTAGATCATCAGCCCCTGGACCAAAGAGTCTTGGGTTCGATACCGATCAAGGGCACGTACCTCAGTTGTGGTTCGGTCCCCGGCCCTGGATGGGGTCGTGTGGGAGGCAATCGGTCGCTGTGTCTCTCTCACATCAATGTTTCTCTCTCTCTAAACAAAATCAATAAAAAAAAAATATTAAAAAACATTTTTTTAAATAGTTGTGGCCTCAGAAGGAAGTGGCAAGAAATATTCAGAGTGATGAAAAGCAAGAACCTACAACCAAGATGACTCTATCCTGCAAAGCTGTCATTGAGAATCGATGGCCATAGAAAGAGTTTCCCAGACAAGAAAAAGTTAAAGGAGTTCGTCACCACCAAACCATTATTATATGAAATGATGAAGGGTCTTTTTGAAGAAAAAGATAAAATATATAAACAAACAAAATGGCAATGAATACATATGTATCAACAATGGAATCTACAAACAAAATGAACAGGCAGAACAGAAACATTCTCATAGATACAGAGAACATTTTGTTGGTTGCCAGATGGGAGGGGGTTGGGGGAATGGGTGAAAAAGGTGAAGGGACTAAGAAGAACAAATTGGTTGCTAGACTGACAAACCTCAAAGGGAAGGGGGTTGGGGGGGGGAGAAATAAACCAAAGAACTTATATGCATAACCAATGGACACAGACAACAGTGTGGGGAAAGGTGGGAGGGGATGGGAGTGGGGAGGAGGGGTCAATGGGGGAAAAATGAGGAACATCTGTAATACATTCAACAATAAAGATTAAAAAAAAAAAACCTTAAAAAAAATAAATAGCCGTGGCCTCACGGACCCCACAAGCGTCCAGACACCCACACTTTGAGAACCAGTTCCCTCTCGCGGTTTCCCAAGAGCTGAGGCGAAACCCTTTTCTCCGAAGAAAGCTTGGTCTTCCTCTCTCGCGAACACTGTATCCAGAGCTCTTCACCCAGGACCCCTGCCTCAGGGGCTCCCGGCCCCGGCCCCCTCCCCGCCGTCTGCTCGCTTCTCCCTAAGGGAAGCGGTGGCCGTGCCCAAGGCACTGTCCCGTGCGGACCGGCCGGCTCACCCCCACGCAGAAGCGAGGCAGGCGGGCTGTCCCCGGAGGGCCGCCCCGACCGTGGACTAGCCACTGTCCTGCAAGGCGCGCTGGGCAGCAAAGACCAGGCCGCGAGGACAGAGCACAGTCTGGGCCCCGGGAGGCGGCTCCCTCACCTGTACTTCAGGAGCAGCTTCAGGACCACGGAGCGGATGACGGGCGTCTTATCGACGACGTCGTCGAACGGAGACAGAGACTTGGTGAGTTCACAGTGTCCTTAAACCAGAGAGACAGGCACGGGCGCCGTTAACATCAGACACACACGAGAGGGACGGAGCTGTCAGGTCTGTGGGAAGAAAGTCACTTACGCTGGGGCGCGTCTCGTAAGAGCGTCTTCTGCACGAAGAGTAAGGACAGCAGAGCCTCGACCACATCCTTGTGCGGGGGACAGTTGTCTTTGAAGCACATGGTGGACACCAGGTCCACGAAGAAGCTGGTGCACAGGTGTCGGAAGTAGGCGTGCTTCTCAGTGGCGTGCCTTGGGGACGGGTGGACAGCAGTCAGACGCTTGTAGGATGGGCTCTGAGGTCCCTCCACACAGTGCTTAGGATGCCTGGGGCACTTGGATTTTTTATAAATAAAAAGATACAAGTATCTGCCCGGGCCGGTTTGGCTCCGTGGTCAGAGCGTCAGCCTGAGGACGGAAGGGGCTCGGGTCCGATTCTGGTCAAGGGCCTGCACCTGGGCTGCGGGTTTGATCCCTGGCCCTGGTCAGGGCATGGGCTGGAAGCAACCACTCGATGTGTCTTCTCACATCAGTGTTCCCTCCCTCTCTTCCTCTCTCTCTGAAAATCACTGGAAAGTGTATCCTCGGGGGAGGATCAACAAAGAAACAAAAACAGATGCAAGTATCTCCTTACGCTGGTTAGAGCTGGTCTGGAGAATGGCACCAGGCAGCGGTCACTGAGCGCTTGGACCAGCCGGCCACACTCTTAACATCCTAGGAGTGAGACACAGGCCCCACCGAGGGGTGTGCCTTGTGCGCCTTCTTAGGGGGCTCAGGAGGGGGGAAAGGGGAGGGAACCCAGCTGCCACGGGGCTCCTGCTGACGTGAACGACCGGCCCGGAGCGGGGCCTCAGTCACAGGAATAAACAGCGGCGACACAGTAAGAGGGTAAACGCCTAAACCCCGAGAGCTGCTTGTGCTGGCTTCACCACTGACGACCCCTGGTTTACCTCCTCCAACTGTGCCGTGTCCCCGGCTGCACACGTGCGTGTCTCGGGGACACAGTGACCCCGAGGCACATCCTCTCTCTCACGACTGTCCCGAGTCAGGGTGTCTCAGGCGAAGAGGTCTAGCTCTGAATAGTGTTCGCGAAAAAGGGAGACAAAGAGAGGAAAGGGTGTCTTACTTCAGCTCCTGGGAAACCTTGAGGGGGAACGGGTCTGGCAGTTCGGTTAAACAGAAGGGACAGGCCATCTGGCCGCTGGTGAGCCACTGCCGGATGCAGGCCAGGCAGAAGGCGTGATCACAGGGCAGGCAGATGGGCTCCTTCGTGTCCTCCAGGCAGACGGAGCACGGCCGGATGCCGAACCTGGGGCGCAAGGGCAGCGTCAGCGCGCAGGCCGAGCAGCGGGCTGGGAGGTGCTGTCCCTTGAGGGCCCCACACCGGAGGTCTCACCGGGTGAAGGTCCTGCTGGCCTTATCCTTACACTCACAGAGAGTGGCCATCACTGCCCGGAAAGGCCGGATGGTCTTGATGTCCGAGTTCTCTTGCAGACACTGGAGGAGAAAGGCAGAGACCGGGAAGAGAATTAGCAGCGGAGAGGGTGGGCTCGGCCAGGCCAGGCGAGTCAGCCCCGCCCCGCAGCAGAGGCGCCCCGCCCTGCTGGCGCTCAGGACTGTCCTGTCCGTCTACAGGCGGGCCCCGTGTCTGCGGAGCTTTCTCTAACTCTGAATGCTCCCGGCAACGGTACTGCCTTCGGGAGAGAGACGACATTCCCCACTCCGATCTTCCCTCTTCCTGTTTCTAAGGTCTTAGCCCCTCCTCCCACTATGACAGATTTCAAACTTTAAACTATAATATAACATCCACCTGTGTATTGACCACCAAGCTTTAAGAAATCTTTTTTTTTTTTTTTAAAGCCTGACCCAAGGATATATTTCTATTTATCTTCAGACAGGGTGGGAGGGAGGGAGAGAAAGAGAAACATGGATGTGAGAGGGACACATTGACTGGCTGCCTCCTGCACGACCCCAGCCAGGGCCTGGGACCGAACCACAACGGAGGTACGTGCCCTTGACTGGAATCGAACCTGCGACTCTTTGGTCTGCGGGTCGACGCTCTAACCACTGAGTAAAACTGTCCAGGGCTCATTTTAAGAAATCTTATCAGTTTGGGAACATTTGCTTCAGGTCACTTTTTCTTTTCTTTTTTAGAGAGAAAGGAAGGGGGGGGCATCAATGTAAGAGAGACACATCAATCGGTTGCCTCCCATACCAAACCCCTAAACCCGAGCGTGGCATGTGCCCTGACCGGGCATCACACCGGCGACTTTTTATTGCACAAGACAATGCTCAGCCAACTGAGCCACACCGGCAGAGCTAGATCCCTTTGTAGAGAAACAAAATGTTAACAACACCGTTGCAATGCAAGTGTATCCTTCCCCTCCCCAGAGAGAAGGGACACTTGCAGGTGTGGGTGAAGATACTGTTATCATTTGAGTAGTTTGGAACTTTGCATCACACTGTATCCAAGCTTCTGCAACACACTTTCTCCGTTGCTAAGTGAGGGTCCGGACCATTCATGGTAACTGCCGCATGGTACCGTATGATGGGTATACCAGTGATCTTTTCCTGTTGTTGGGCTTTTAGAATGTTCCCAATTTTTCACAGGTGGTGGCTGGGCTGGGTTGGGGCCCCTGGAGGCCTGGGCGGAGCCCTTCCTCCGCCCTCACTTTCTCTGTACGAATTGTTTCTGCCCTGACCTAGCACTCAGGACAGGGCGCACCACTGGGCAGATAGCACGGAGAACCCCGTGGCCTATGAGATGAAATCACTTTCCTTTGCACTTTATTTTATTTTTTAAAATATGTTTTCATTGATTTTCTAGAGAGGAAGGGAGAGAGAGGAACATCGGCCGGCTACCTCCTGCACTGGGGATCGAGCCCACAACTCGGGCATGACCGGGAATCGAGCCGGGACCTCTCAATCCCCGGGACGACGCTCAGTCCACTGAGCCACTCAGGCAGGGCCCTTCGCACTTTAGATAAAGCTGTCGGAGCCGAAAGGAGCCCGGACCCTGCGGGTCAGGCTGTGCCCGGGTGCGTTAGCCTTCGTGGGCAGACCCTGCCTGCTGAGCCCGGGCGCGAGCGCGCACCTTGTTCAGTAGGAAGACGAAGTCGGTCACCAGACCGCGCAGCTCAGGCACGCGGCTCTCGATCCCCAGGCGCACGTGCTCCACGAAGAGCGCGACGGAGAAGACGCGAGTCCACTGGCCCCTGTGGAGAGAGGTGCCCCTGCTCAGCTCTGACGGAAGGGCACGAGGCGTCACACGGAGGGGCAGAGGGTGCAGGCGGAGGGGCAGCGGTGTGAGCCCCGCGCTGTCTCCCGGCCCCCACCACGCCGTCTCCCACCAGGCCAACTCCCGGCCCCCACCACGCCATCTCCCACCAGGCCGTCTCCTGGCCCCCAGCACACCGTCTCCTTCTCAACTCTGCGCGGCTGTAACTCGGGGTCACACTCTTGTCTCAGCCTGTGCCTGGTGAGTCCCGCCACTCCCGTAAGGCCAGCACAGGACTTATCCCCCGGGGACGACCGCCCTGTGAGTCCCTCGCCGTCCTGCTTAGGGTCCTTTCCAGCTGCTCCCCAGTCACAGTGCCCCCATTGGGAGCACAGCAGCCACCCACCTTTCTGTCACCCCATCATTCCTGTGCTCCCTGAATGCGGTTTCTTCTTCTCTGGGTCTCTAGCATCAATGTGAAGCCTAGTGTGGGGTGGGGGGCATGATGGAAGGGAATGGAGGGGAAAAGGGCTCCTTCCATGCAGGGACCTGTGTCCTCTTTTTCTGTGACAAGCCCGGGGTTCGCTGGGCTACTATGAAGGGACCTGACGCCGGCCGCAGAAGCTCACCTGACTTCCCGGATGAGGTCCCCGGCCTTGCTCTGGTCTGGCGCATACCCGTCGGAGCAGAGCAGGTCCAGCGGCATGGACAGGTTCTTCACCATCTGCAGCCACGCCTGGGGACTGGGCTTCAGGAGGTCCCTGGTCAGCAGCTCGGCGCAGGCCACTGCTGCAAACGCGTCTAGAGTCTGGGAGACCGGGAACAGGCCCGTGACGCCGCGGGGCCCCGGCCGTCAGCAGCCGCGCTCCACATCAAGGCCCGCAGCCCGTCCTCACGGCCTCAGCACGGCCGACACTCGACGTGTGTCTGCACATGTGCGGGCGTCTCCCCTCGCAGCGGCCCCGCCAGCGTCCCCCCGGGTGGCCCGCAGGGCCCCTCCCACCCACTCACGGAAGGCCACCCCTGGCGGGGAGCACCCAGGGCCCCAGGAGGTCATACCATCTCGGGGCCAGTGCAGTCGTGGTGTTGTGAGGCTTCGGTGAGGCTGTCCAGGACCGGGGGGTGGAGAGTCAAGATTCTGGAGAAGTTCTGGAGTCGGATCCTGAAACTCTGATAGGCCAGGTGCACCCACGGGAGGGACAGCTCCTCCATGGGGCTTTCTGCCCCCAGCTGGCGGATGCAGGACCACAGGGCCATCTGTAGGAACTGGAGGGGAAAGCAGCCTTCCAGTGGGTGTTCGTGAATATCACACTCGCAGACACAGATACACACACATAGACAGAGATAAACACACAGAGAAACTCACACACACAGATACACACGCACAGATAAATACACACACATAAACATACACACAGATACACACGCACAGATAGACACATACAGAACACACGCACATACACACGCAGAGATAAATACACACACAGAGATAAACACACATATAAACATACACACAGATACACACGCACAGATAGACACATACAGAACACACGCAGATACACACACAGACACAGACATACACACACAGATACAATCACACAGATACACACGCGTGCGCGCACACACACACACACACACACACACACACACATATATATATATATACATGCTTCTCCCAGGGGAAAATCAGGACTATTCAAAATCAACAGAAAAGAAAATTAAAACTCACACGCACGAGGACCGTCCCGGGTCTAATTCCTGGTGGTCCCTTTAGCCCTGTTATATGCAGACCTGTCCTCCCTGTGGCCCTAAGTCAGGGCCAGAGCGTGTTCCTGACCGTCCCCACCTGGCATCGCCCACTTCGCCGTGAGGCGTGTCCTTTCCGGTGGCTGCACAGTCACCCATCCGGTGGCCGTACTTCAGTTCGTCCAGCCCTTAGTTTGGGACACTTACCTGTTTCTACTCTTCCGTGTTTAGGGACAAAGCTGCAAAGAACGCACCTGGTCTGTAGCCACGCTCCCAGGACAGAGACGCCGGCTCGGACCCGTCAGGCCCGGCTGGCCCGCCGGGGGCGCTCGGAGGCCCGCGCGGCTCAGCGCAGTGGCGACCGCGGGACAGGTGAGATAGTATCTAAATTTGCTCAGGTTCTTTTGATTTAATAGTGAGTCTGGGCAATTTTACAAGTGTTTTCTGGCAGTCTGTACAATGCTGTTATAACTTTCACCCGTTTTTTAAAGTTGGGGGATTTTCTTACTGAGTCCGAGAACGCTTTATTGATTAATCTTATTGGTTACATGTGCTTCTCAGATACGCCCCTTTCCCTGCGCATACTGACGCTTAAAGACGTGACTCTTTCCATAGACGCTTCCCTTCCTGTTGCTACCCTGTGACGTCAGTTAAACACTCATTTTCCTCGAGAGAAACCAAGCATTTGGGAAGAGGCCGCTCCAGGGAAACCGGCGGACTTGGCCGTGTTCCTGAAACCCTCCGCGCGGCGGGGCCCTGGGGCGGGCTGCGGGCGGGTCCTCGGCGCACGGCCGCCCACACCCCGCGCCTGCAGCCCGTCCATCCTGCCCGCCCCGGCTCTCACCTCCAGTTCACGCCCCGCGGACACCCTCATGGTCAGGAGCAGAAAGTCCCGGAGGTAGCCCTGCAGCAGCTCCTGCCGCTCGTCCGCCCGCCGCCGCGCGATGAAGCTGCCCAGCGGGGTCCGCTGGAAGATCTCCACCAGCTTCCTGGGCAGTTCTGCGGGGGAGACCACGAGTGGCCGGGGTGAGGACGCAACCCACGCTGTCCCCTCGCTCCGGGCACGCGGCCTCTGTGGGGAAGGGTCTCCGCGACAGCAGCCAAGGACAGTGTGCGGCAGGCTTCTAAGAGCGTTAGATACTTTCCCAAGGGAACCACAGACGCAGAGGTAGAATCGAAGTTAAATTTCGGTCGCGGACAGCCTCACAAGCCCGGAAGGGTATGACGACCTGAGCTGGACCAAGTGCCTGCCTAGCAGGCTGTGACACGTCCCGGAACCCCAGGATCCGGGAGCAGGTGGCCTCCAGGGGCTCACATGCTGCTCAGACCAGAGGTCTGCCTTCTCGGCACAGGGTGCTCCCCCACGGGGCATCGCCGCGGGGCGTGGCCTCGAAACAAACACTCTGCTGGGGACAAGCTGCTTCGTTTCCCCAGAAAAAGGGGCGGGAGGCTTACTCAGAAGAAGCAGCTCATCTTCAAGCATCCCGACCCGTGTGTGTTTTTTTTTTTATCCTCACCCGAGGACATTTTTCGATATTTTGTTCAGATAGAGTGGGAGGGAGAGAGAGAGAGAGAGAAAAACATCGACGTGAAAGTGACACATCGAGTGGTTGCCACCCACACGACCCAACCAGGGCCGGGGACAAACTGCAACCAAGGTACGTGCCCTTAGCAGGAACCGAACCCGGGTCTCTCCAGACCGCAGGCCGACGCTCTAACCGCTGAGTCAAACCGGCCAGGGCATTTTTTTTTTTTTTTTATCCTCACCTGAGGACATTTTTCCATTTTTTGTTCAGGTAGAGTGGGAGGAAGAGAGAGGAACAGAGAGAGAGAGAGAAACATCGATTTGAAAGGGACACATCGAGTGGCTGCCACCCACACAACCGACCAGAGCCGGGGACAAACTGCAACCGAGGTACGCGCCCCTAGCAGGAACCGAACCCGGGTCTCTCAGGACTGTAGGCCGACGCTCTAACTGCTGAACCAAACCAGCCAGGGCCCGACCCGTGTGTTTTAAAGGCAGTCCGTGTCAATCAATTTTGAAAAGATTATTTCATTATGACCAGCGACTTTTCCCAAAGCGCTGTGTGACTAATGGTGTTCCAGCCCTGGCTGGTTTGGCTCAGTAGTTAGAGCATCGGCCCTCGGACCAAGGAGTTGCAGGTTCGATTCCAGTCAAAGGCACGTACCTCGGTTGTGGTTTGTCCCTGGCCCTGGTCAGGGTCGTGCAGGAGGGAACCAGTCGATGTGTCTCTCTCACATCGATGTCTCTCTCTCTCTCTCTCTCTCTTCCTCCCTCCCTCCCACTCTATCTGAAGACAATTAGAAAAAAAATATATTGGTTTTCCTGGAACACCGATGGCCAGACCCCTGGTGTGTGATAGCAAGGCGTCGGGGGCTCAGGAGGGACGTAGACAGTCGTCACTGGCCGTTGTTGAGAACGGCCCAGGTGGGGACACTCCTGGGCCCTGGCCGTCCAAGAGCCTCGAAATGGGCCTCTCCCTGCGGACCACGCCCACCACGCCCCTGGTCACACCTTCGGCCTTGGAGATGTACTGCGCCTGGACCCACAGTTCCTCTATGTAGTCCCTGATCCTCCAGCTGAACGGGATGGTGCTGTGGTCCTGTTCTGAGAGCGTCATGTGGCTCGGCACCAGGATGTGGGACATCTCGCTCTGTGACCTGCACTCGGCGAGGGAGGACAGTACGGCCCGTGAGCTGCCACTTGAGACACGAGACAGAAGCCACCCGAAGCCGAGCTTCTCGGTCCTCAAGACCGCTCGTGCCTGAGGCTACGAAGATGGGCCGCACAGCTCACCGTCTGCTCGCGAGCCAAGGACAGCCCGGCCCGGCAGACAGACAGGCACAGACCACGGCTGGGGCAACTCACACCGCTCGTGGGTGCTCACACTGCTCACTCACATCTCTCACACGGCTCGTGGGTGCTCACACCGCTCACAGTGTTCGTGGGGTGCTCACACCACTCCTGGGGCGCTCTCTCACACCGCTTGTGGGTGCTCACACTGCTCACTCACAGTGTTCGTGGGGTGCTCACACCACTCCTGGGGCGCTCTCTCACACCACTCACTCACACCGCCTGCTCACACCGCTGCTGCAGCAGGCTGCCCTGTGACCACAAGAACAAAGCCCATGTTCACCTTGGACTAGCCGTCACAAGAGGAATGTTCAGCAGCTTAATGTCACTGAAAATAAACATCCAAAGATCTCTCGCCCAAGACGGAGAATCGGGCCTGGCCAGAAGCTCCAGGTTGCTGTCTCTGTCGATGACCGACACCATGCTCGCCAGCAGAGGGGTCACGGCGCCCTGGACTCGCTTCCAGAGGGTGTGCCTGCAGCGGGGAGACAGGGCCCGGCTCGGAGGGTGACCGAGGCAGGAAGGCACAAGGCTGCCCTGCGGCTCACTGGGGGTCGCTGGAGCGTGTGCACGGGGCCTGGATGTGATACGCAGACGTGTTGTTTGCATGAACCCTGCCACCCTGCTGCTACAGTTACGTTTACATACAACAGACTACAAAGCATTGAAAAATTCTTGTGGTGCCCTGGCCGGTTTGGCTCAGTGGTTGGAGTGTCGGCCTGCGGACCAGAGAGTCCTGGGTTCGGTTCCCGCAAGGGGCACATACCAAAAAAAAAAAAAAATTCTTGTGGTAAAACATAAGATGTCTACTGTTAGGTAGTTAACATTGGGGAGGAAAATGCAGGAGCTATTTTTTTTCTTTTTCTTTTTTTTATCCTCACCTGAGGACATTTTTCTATTTTTGTTCAGATAGAGTGGAAGGGAGGGAGAGAAAGAGAGAAACATTGACATGAAAGGGACACATTGAGTGGCTGCCTCCCACACGACCCCAACCAAGGCTGGGGACAAATTGCAACCGAGGTTCGTGCCCTTGACCAGAATCGAACCCACGACTCATTGGTCCACAGGCCGACGCTCTTTCTGTTGAGCCAAACTGGCCAGGGCTCAGACGCTATTTTCAAAAAAAGAAGATACACACTTTATTTTTTAAAAACAGAGCACATAGGAACCTGGAGAGAATTCAAAGCCTTCTGCAAAGGAAGCAAAGTGTGACCCTGATCACAGAGCTCAGTCGATTGAAGGGGGAAAACGCCGAACAGGCAGAGTGTGGAAGCCACGACGGTGAAGGGTAGAAGCGGGAGGGCCAGGTGGGGAAGGCGCACCCGGACAGGGAGGGCTGCACCAGACAGGCGTGCAGACACGTAGCTCTGGGTGTTGGAAAAACCCGAGTATAAAGACGGCAGGATCTGCACTCGACTCCTGAGAGGACACAGGAGGGCAGTCCAAGACAACTGGAGAAAGGGGTTTTATTGCCCAAGGACCATGGGCACTACTGAATTCTCCAGGCTCTGGTCCTTGTCCACCTCCAGCATGGGGTCTGGGAGAGGAATCCTCCTCCCGCCCTGCACACATCGCCACAACCTGACACAGCGTCCGTTTGCACGGTGTGACGCGAGCGCAGACGTAGACACAAACGTAGAGAGAAGACTTGGCAAACCCCCACGTAACCACGACCCCGACCATCGTGTGTGTGTTTTTTGCGGGGGGTGGGAAGACCACTTTGAATCGCTCAGAGAAGGAAGGTCTGGGCGCCCTGACCTCGGCGGGGAGAGGTCGTGAGCGTGGCTGCCCGACCCCCACGGTGTCACGGCCCCACGGGGGCTCTGACCAGGTACCTGAAGGTGCCTGCCTCCTGCAGGGCGTCGGGGTTGGAGGCTTCCCGCACCACCCAGTCCTTCCTGTCCAGCGTGTGGGTCTCCTCCTGCTTCGTAAGCAGGTCCTGGAGGCGCATCTTGGCTGCCCGCAAGAACGCGGCTGGAACACGGGAGAGGGGAGGGGCGTTGGCCGCGTGCCGGGACCCTGCACTGGGCCACCTGCGGGGGCCCGGTCTCCCCCGGTTAGAGCCAGGCCTGGGACCGCTCCAGAGGGCGCAGCGGGCAGGCCCTGCCCTGGAGGGCCAGCTGGGCCCTGGGACACACCTTTGCGCTCATCGTCCTCATTGAGGTGGTCGAGCAGGATCTCCACCCGCCTCACGTTACGCTGGTGGTGCGGGCTTGGGTCCTGCAGCAGGCCCACCGCGCTCTGTATGCAGCTGCGCAGCAGGCTGCCACTGTCCAGGGCCTGCGCCTGTCACGGGCACAACCAAGCTCCCGTTAGCCTGGCTGCGGACAGTCCCGTGGCACCTGCGGGGCGTGCCCTGGACAAAGGTCCCCTGCTGTCCCCCTGCCCAGCTCCCCTCAGAACCCCGGCGGGGCGGTCGTGTGAGCACGGGAGTCAGCCAGGTGACGGCAGGAAGAGCCCACGTCAGACCCTGTCCTGGAGATCTGTGTGCTTACGCAGCACGGAGGAAAGAGGGGATGGGCTACCCTGTACCCTGTGTCTGGCCCTCAACTCCCAGGGGGCACCCAGCAGCTCCTGGGAGACCCACGGAGTGAGAGAGCTGAACTCACGTGGCTTCTCGGGGGCGCAGGTGGGTCGACTTCCATCGGCTCCTCATGGCCCTTGCTGGCCCCGTGTCCCACCTTGGCTGCAACAGAAGCAACACGTCAAGCTACTGCCAGGCGCGGCCTGAGTGCCGGTCCCGTGCTGTCGGGCTGTGTGCAGGGCACTGGCTAGCGGCAGATCCCGGGGTTCCAGCTGCAGCGGGGACCCAAGGAGAGGCCAGGGCACGGCGATCCGCCTCTGGACCGCCCCTCGGGGCTCCTGCAGCCGGAACCCCTCACTTTGGCCTCACTCTGAGGGCTGATGCAGGAAGGGACTGACGTATGCGACAGGTACTCACCCCCAGAGCCTCCTGCACCCAGACCTACTTTCCCCGCTGGAGACACTGCCTCCTGCTTTGCCTTGGAAAGCAGTCGGGGTGCCCTGGGAGTCGTCCCAAGCTGCTGCTGCAGGGCGGGGGCAGGACTCGGGGGACAAAGGGCGTGGCCCGGTTCTCACGGCACGCCACAGCACTCCCCACGGCCTGGTCGCCAAGCCTGCCACCCCCCATCCCCACAGGCTTTCCCGGAGACGTACCCTCGGGTCCGCCGTGGGGATCGAACAGCTGGCTGATGGTCATGCCCTGCAGCTTGGTCACATCCGAAACCATGACTGTGGACTGCCGGAGGTCGTCAATGTGCACAGACTGCCACAGCCCTGCGAAGGCAACGCCCCCGGAGTCTGCGCGCCCGCCCGTGAGGAGCAGGGAGACCCCAGGTCCCCGCGGCTCCCACGCCGCTGCCGAGGGAACTCGTGTCCTGAATCTAAACCCTCGAGCACACGCAGAAGCCCCGCCCCACGCTGCATTCTGCACCTTGAACAGAAATCACGCCGGCTGGTTACCCCCAGTACAGGGCCGTGGGGCACGGTGGCCTCCCGTTACCCACGACACTACTGGAGTACACCGTTCTTGGCCTGGTTCTAGAACACCAGCTTTTTGACATAACACATTTTTGGTGAGTCGTTTTGCAGGAGAGGGGGCGGGGGAGACGCGGGGGGAAGCTTGATCTGAGATGGCATCCCCCCCACCCCAACACAGGCACCCAGTGTCAGTGTGTCCATGACAGGTTAGCCGGGAATGCCGGCATCACCCGCACGGTGCCCGGTGAGGACCCAGGGACCAGTGGGGTGCTCATCCAACGGAACAGGGGAGACGCTGCGTGGAGGCAGCGAGTCCAAAGGGGACACATGCCAAAGGCACCCACTGCCACAGCCTTTGGTCCCAAAGTGGGGACCCATCCAAGGGCCTCTGAAAGGGACACTGTTGAGGTGAACGTGGATGTCCTCGTTTCGGACTCGTGCACCCCAGGCCGAGGCAGAAATACGTCAGATGACACTATGTCACCATTTCCCCCAAGGTGAGTGTCCTACCTCCGTGGAAGCCCACGTAAGAGGTTCCGCTTTCCATCCGGGACAGTTTGGTGATGAAATAGATGAAGATACAGCCCTGGTCTCCCTGGATCTTGTTGATCTCGTTGAGAGCGGAATACCTGTTTCAAAAACACGGAAAAGCAAAACCAGGCAAGGCCGATGAACAGCACGGACGCGGCCGGAGCTGGCGTGTTCGGTCTCACTTCTTCCGTGTTAAATTCACTTCTCACCCTGTGGTGACCTCTGTGATTGCCAGACAATGAGGGCACATGCTCTCTAACCGGGCGTGTTTCTCCCCCCATACCTGGGTCCCTCGGCTTTGAAGAGGCATTTCTTACCGGTCAGAAACCCTGACCTGCGGCCCTCGACGGGCTTCCCTGACCCTCCTCAGGGCAAGTCTAGCGGGACCTCGCATTTCCGGGAGCAGGGTCTGGGAGCAGACCACCGGCGGCCCAAGAGCCCTGACATGGCCCGTGGCTTCCGGTGCTTTGGACGGTCCAGCATCATGGGGAAGGCACTTTGGAAAGCACCCATTTCATCTACGGACACTCACACCTCCAGTAACACACAGGACACCACTTACGTCCTGTTCCTACCCTTGACCTTGCAATACATCCAAACTGTGTCCTTTACAAGGAATAACTACCTCCCTGGCCGGTTTGGCTCAGCGGTTAGAGCATCGGCCCGCAGACCAGAGAGACCCGGATTCGGTTCCCGCTAAGGGCACGTACTTCGGTTGCAGTTTGTCCCTGGCCCTGGGTGAGGTCGTGCGGGTGGCAGCCACTTGATGTGTCCCTTTCACGTCGATGTTTCTCTCTCTCTCTCCTTCTCTCCCTCCCCCTCTATCTGAAGATACATGCAAAAATGTCCTCGGGTAAGGATTAAAAAAATAAACGAATAACTACCAAAAGACGCCTGCAAACCCACGCTCCACGGATAGTCTCACGTCCCACGGACGCCCTGTGATCCATACTTCACGCCTTTCGCCACATTTGCACGGTCACCAGCCCCTCCCATCACCACCCCTCCTGTTTCAGTTTCCACAAAAGGGAAGACGGAAAGGGAGGGTCGTTCTCATCGTCATTTCCGCGTGTATGGTGACACTGCGCTGTTTCAGGGAAGAGACTCTTGAGGAGCTCACAAATAAATTTCGCATTTCCTATGCGATGTCGGAGAAAAAGAACAAAAGCGTACTTGGCCGAAGCGATGAGCTGGGCACTGTGAACACCATCTTCGAAATCTGTCTGGATGATGAGGATCTTGCCCGTGGCTGAGCCTGTCAAGCAGTTTCTAAAAAAGGGGAAATTAGGCAAGTGAGTTCTCCATCCTAAAGAATGGGTGGTAAAGCCCCTACACCCCTGAAGGATGGGAACTATAAGGACTGCATAGGGAAAAAAACCGCCCAAGAGGGGTTCTCCTCTATAAAGTGAACAGACAACCCAGCCGAGAAAGAATGAACCCCAATAAGCATGTCCCAATGAAATCTGAGGACCAGGTTTCTTCCTTCTTTTTTTTTTCTTTATTGATTTTAGAAAAAGGAAGGAAGAGGGAGAGAGATAGAAACCTTGATGAGAGTGAACATCGATTGGCTGCCTCCTGCACACTCCCCACTGGGGATCGGGCCACAACCTGGGCATGTGCCCTGACTGGGAATCGAACTAACGACCTCTTGGTGCAGGGTCGATGCTCAACCACTGAGCTGCACTGGCCGGGTGAGGAACAGGTTTCATAGAAGGATGTTCATACAGAAGAAAACAGTGATGACAAGGACACTGAGAGTTTAACAACTGTCTTCCAGCCGGTGTGGCTCAGTGGTTGAACATCGACCCTGCACCAAGAGGTCGCCGGTTCAATTCCCAGTCAGGACACATGCCCAGGTTGTGGGCCTGAACCCCAGTGAGGGGCATGAAAGAGGCGGCCAGTCGATGTTCTCTCTCATCGATGTTTCTATCTCTCTCTCCCTCTCCCTTCCTCCCTCTCTAAAATCAATAAAGAAAAAAAAAAATATATATATATATATATTAAAGAATTTAACAACTGTCCTTTTCATAGTGATGGGACCTCATGTTCATTAACCAGTGCTGGTGACATCACCAGGGGTCACTCCAGCCACATGGGGGACAGACAGCGCAGCCAGGGCCGAGGACACAACGCAGAGGGAGGGGACAGGGGACCTCACCGAACTTCTCTGAGGAATGAGTACTCGGTGTCAAACTGCTGTAGCGACAGGATCATGGGTTTCAGGGCCCTGCCGGTTACTTCCGCTTCTAGAATCTCACAGTCATGACTGGTGAGCAGTCTGGAGAAAGTGGTGATCTGAAAAGTCAGGGAATGTAAACTACTGGCATGTCTCCTAGGTTTAGATCCCAGAAACATGAGGCTGTTTAGCAGATACCTTCTGTGGGCGTGGCAAGGTGCTGCTGGCACACAGACAGAAAAGAATCCAAACCCAGAGTTCTAAAAACGAGGCAGTGCTGAGGGGAACACTCCATGATCAGAAGGCACGAGGAGAAGACACCCTGTCCCTAGGGTGGAGTCTCTTGCTCAGACTCTGGCATCTTCTCCTGCTTTGGTCCCAACCCCAAATTCTGACAATCCCTTAGGGCTCAACACAAATGCCACCTCTCCCCTGGCATCTTGCTTCACACTTTCAGATGAAGTTGGCCAACGATGGCCCTTCCTTCCTACGGCAACTCTCTACCACTGGGCCACGACACTCAGTGCAACCAAAACACTCCTTATGGGAATGTGGATCTTGCGGCAGCGGCTGGATCCGTTGTTAGGCTGGCCTCACCGCTGAGCTTCCGACCCGATATCCAACTGCACCATAGTCATGTCCACCTTGGTGTTAGTGGGATACCAAAGGGAACTTGCTACTGCTCCCCCAAACTCACTGCTCGTCTCAGGATTCTCTATTGTGATTAACCAAACCTCTGGCCATCCAAGGAAAAACCCAGGGAGTCATCCCCAGACTCCTCCATCTCCCGCTGCTCTTACACGGGGTCAGTGGTTCCCTCTGTCCATTTATTCCTAACTACTTCTCATGTCCACCCACCGTCATCCACTCTGAACGCTATGGCAGCTGTCCTGTGGGTATACATTTTCGATGATAGTCTCTTATCAGATTGCCCCCCACCTGCATCTCCACACACATTTCTCCATCACTCCCCTGCTTATAGGATGGATCAAGCTCCCCAGTGCTGCTGACAAGGCCCTCGTTGCCGTCCCTCCAGCGGTCACTTGTCCCCACCTCTCGGCACTCACAGCGTGAACGGTAAGCTCCATCCGTGACCAACTCCTGGTCTCCTGCACAGACTCTGTTGTTTCACATGCTAATACCTTCACCTACAGTAGCTTCCCAACCACACTTCGCAATCTGTTTGGGGGCCAGCTCTTAACGAAGACCCCGTCCAACCTCCCAGCCTGACCTGCATTACCCCCCTTTGCCTGGACACTATGAAAGCAAGGGCTAGAACTGTGACAGGCGTTCACGTGCCCAGGGGCCCGCGCACAGTTCCCGGACACGGGCCTTCCTGTGCTGGGGCTGTGGTCCCACCGAGAGCTCTGCACAGGCACAAGCACCCGGACTTCGGTCAACCCGAACTTCTACGAACATTTAGGTGCCTTCACACTTTAGGTGAACAGGAAGCAAACATCTCAACGTCTCCCTTAATGATTGCTGGACACTGACTAGAGAAGATCCTTGGATTTCTGACACCAGGGATCAAGGTCTCTGAGGAGGAAGAGGGTGAGAGTCAATACCCTGGGAGACAATTACCTCCGTGAAGACGGCATGGCGCCCCGGATCCAGCGCACGCAGGTGAGCCTGGAGGAAGTCTGCAAAGGAGTTGTGTTGCTGCGTGTAATAGTACACGTTTGACAGGGACCGGGCAGCAAACGTGTCCAGGGCGGAAGCACTGAGCCGGACCACGGCGTCCGGTGTGGCGCAGTCCAGCAGCACCAGCTTGGCATCTTCCAACGCCTGCTGGTAACACTCGTGGGTGAAGGCCCTGGGACCGAGCCTCTCTATGACCTGGAGCACCACAGAGGCGCAAGTGTCCGAGTGGTAGCCGATGAAGACGTCAGGAGGGCTGTACCTGGCTATGCTCTGCGGTGCTTTGATATCGATGAACTTGTCCACCCAGGCCTTGAGCTCCTTCACAATGTCCTTCTGCCATTTCTCCAGAACGGTGTTGATGTCCAAATAGTGCTTCTCTAGTCGGTTGATGAGGGGGATGGGGAAGTGTTTGCAGACCACGTCTTTCTCTTCGATGACTATCAAGCGGAACTGTGGGTGAACCCGACACTTGACCCGGTGGGTCCCCAGACCGAGGTCCACGTACTTCTGACCCCCGAGGTAGACGTAGTACTGGTTGAGGGCGTCGTAGAGGCTCTCGTAGAGGCTCTGCAGATTCAGCAGCACCACCGTCTTGCCGGTCTCCATGCAGATTTTCACGCGGTTGATGTTTCTGCAGACCTGGGTGTACTCCTGGTCCCTGGGGAAACTGGAGCCAAAAATGATCTCCGGCTGTTGGTCCTCGCCGAAGAGGGTCCGCTGCAGGATCTGCAGCGCCACGTAGTTCCTGGTCAGCACCAGCAGGTAGCGGGACTCGGAGTCCCCCGGCTCTTGGCCTGGCGCACTCGGGAGGTCGCCGTGCACGTTCTGCCTGATCAGCTGCATGGTGCTCACCTCCTCCGAGAGCTTCGCCTCGGGCAAGCTGGCCGCGAAGATGTCCAGAGCTCGGATCTCGTCGTTGCCGCTGAAGTTGCGAAGGACGGCCTGCGCAATGTCGTGCGGGGACAGGCTCCTGTTCGAGGCCTTCGCGGTGGCGAAGACCATCTTGATGAGGCTGTAGTAGTCGCGGAGACCGAAGAACTCCTTGTCTTGCTGGCTGCACACCGTTTCGTAGGCTTTGGCAAAGGGTGCGAAGTAGCCTTGGATCCGCTCTTGGACGAGGGGCTCTGAAGAGCAGATGCCCCTGGCGCTCTGTATGAGCTCCTTCTTATTGGGGCTGCCACGGGACACAAAAATGCCCCGGTTCATCTTGGCGGGGTCCAGAGCCCAGTTGGAAATGCCGATGAAGCCAACCTTTTTGTGGGGGGCAGGGTCGTCTTCGATGCACCCGTCTTCCAGCAGCGGGTGCAGAGTCTTGAGGGGCATTTTGGGCGAGTCTTCGGCCAGCCCGACCTCGTCCAGCACCACCACGGAGACGTGCTGCTGCAGGTCCTTGTCCTGCTGTAAGCGGGCGCAGTGCTTGAAGGTGCCGATGATGCCCTGGGGGGTGGAGTGCGGGCTGCACTGGAAGGACACCAGGTAGACCTGCTTCAGTCTCCGGAACAGGTCCGAGTGGGCGGCCTGGCCCTGCATGGCGTCCGCCACGATGGTCTTGGCGAGAGATTTGGAGCTGCCGGGCTTTCCCACCAGGAAGAGCGGGATCTTCAGCTCGATGCAGATCACCATCATGAAGACGTTCTCCTTCAAAGCCAGGTTCTTGGCGATGGTTTTCCTCAGAGACACACCGTCCAGGAACAGGTCCTGCGTGCGCGTTATCTCGTCCAGCAACGCCCTGCCGTCGTCGTACGGCCGCGGAAAAAACTTGCAGATGGCCTCGCGGTACAGCTCCTGCTTCTCCAGCGAGGCGTGGTAGCACACCCCGACGGCCAGCACCAGCGACCAGAGCACGGGGTCTCTGTCGAAGTCCTCCGGGATGGCGTCGGACGCGCAGGCAAAGGCCTCCAGCTTGGACAGGAGCATCTGGCTGTGGTCGTAAAACCACCCGAAGACTTTCACGCAACGCTCCACGTCCCGCAGGCTGACGAAGCTGCACTCGTTGTCCCTGCTCCTCATGAAACACTGGGAGGCAGAGAGCACGTCGGTGATCACACGCGTCTCGGCTGGGCCTATCGCCGTGGCGTCCACCAGCCTCTGGACGATCTGCTGGATGTAAATCTTCTCCGTGATGTCATTCAGCTGCCCGAAGTCCCACACCAGAGGAACCAGGCTTGGCGGCAGAGCGTGGACGCGGTACACCAGCTGCCTCAGGGGGATGGCGCCCAGCCGGTCCTTGGTCTCCTCGGCGCTCACCCGGTAGCCCAAGCCGGCCGCCTCCAGGCGGGAGATCATCTCCTGGGAGTGCTTCCGGTACGGGTTGCAGGCCGCGATGATGTGCAAGCCGGAGTTCTCCGCCAGCGGCAGGCCGTCCACCGTGCGGTCACACAGGACCTCTTTGATGCAGCTGACAGCTTCCGTGGTGTTGGCCTCATCGAAGAACAAGACGGTGTCCAGCTGATGTCTGCTCTTATTGATGAGGGCAAGTCTTTCCGCCTTCTTGACTTGGCTGTAGATCATGGCTGCACTCGTTCCCCCGTGGACCTTGACCAACTTCATGGTTTCGGCGTCGACACCCCCGCGCCGCAGGTCGCTGAGGAACTTGATGAGCCTGGTTTTCCCACAGCCGGTCTCCCCCATGACGATGACGGGGATCTCACAGCGGAAGCGCATCTCGATGGCAAGGAGCTTCAGCATGTTGTCTGTTGTGAGCTCGTACGTGTCGTCAGGGTCCATGGGCCACTGGATCCCGAGTGCCAGGCAGAGTCGCTCCAGTTTCTCATCCCTGGGCAGCTGATCAAAGTCGATGTTGAAGGGCACCCTCTGCAGCAGCAGCCCCTGGTACAGCTCCACCGTCATGACGTTCTCCTTGATCACCTTCCTGGTCCCGTGATGGATGGCGTCGACGGTGCCATTCTTGTTGGGCTGCAAGTGGAACCCTATGAACGTCATGGTCGTGCGGTCATGGTTGAAGAACACGTACGGGTGGGGCTCCGATTCCCACCGCTTTCGCAGAGAGAAAGGGGCTATGTCTTCTTCCCTGACCCCGTCCATCCTGACCACGTGCTTCCCTGGGCTCTGGTCGGACATGTGGAGTGTCGGTGTGGCGAAATCTCTTGCCATGAAAATCATGAAGGTCACCACAAAGTTCTTGAAGCCCACCAGCGTGTCCCCGACGACCGCCGGGTTGCAGAAGAGGGAGGCCTCGCAGTCCCTGAGCTGGCAGTTCAGGAACCGGGCGAAGTTCCAGAGTTCCGACCAGGACGGGTCCATCACCCCACAGTAGATGAGGAGGTGCTGCAGGCACTCCACGGGGGTCCCTTCCACCCGGCCCTCTTCGTACTGAAACGTGTCTAGGTTTTGTTTCTGATGGAACCGTTTCAAATATTGGAACGGTCGCTGGAAATTCTCGCTGCGGAACTCAGTCGGATCCATCCCCGGCTCTCTGGGGTTCCGCCGAGGGTCGAGCTCCATGCTGATCACTTCCTTGGGAGGCCGGCAGGTGACTTTGGGGAAGATGTCAAGAAAACTGAACTGGGGGGCACGGGTCCTCTGGAAAGGAGAGAGATGGATAAAACGGTTAAGACGGAACCCTCCACCTGGCCTCCATCAGACAGACCTCCGTGAAAAACCGCTTTTCAGAAAGCGATTTCTGTGGACACTTCTCGGCATAGGTGACCGATGTCTGCACTCGGTCACCGTGGGAGCTGCGTCCCGCCAGGAAGTCCATGCTGCCTGAGCTTGAGGAGCGAAATCTCTCCATCATGCGTGTGTCTGTGTGAGCGCGCACGCGTGTGTGCGCAGGTGCATAAAATTCCTTTTGTTAAGAAATGTATGTGATGGCCCTGGCCGGTTTGGCTCAGCAGTCAGAGTGTCGGCCCGAAGACCAAAGGGTCAAGGGTTCAGTTCCCAGTCAAGGGCATGTACCTGGGTTGCAGGTTTGATCCCAGGCCCCTGTCCTGGTTGTGTGGGAAATAACCAATCAATGTGTCTCTCTCACCTGGATGTTTCTCTCTCCTTCCTTCCCACTCTATCTAAAAATCAATGAAAAAAATATTCTTGAAGATTAATAAAAAAAAAAAAGAAAGAAATTTATGTGATGGCCTTGCTTAGCTTGGCTCAGGTGGTTGGAGCATCATCCCCGACACAGAAAGGCGGGTTCAATTCCTGGTCAGGACATGTACTCGGGTGGTAGAATTGATCCCCCACTGGGATGCGTATCGGATGCAACCGATCAATGTTTCTCTCTCTCCCCCTTCCTCTCTCTCTAAAAAAAACAATCAAAACATATTTTAAAACATCACCTTATGTGATAAAACCTTATGGGATAAAAATCTCTTTTCTGTTCTGACTGGGTCCCAGCAAGACGAACTTACCTCGCTCAGAGGTACAGCTGCTACTTAACCCAGACACACAGCATCCACAGCAAAACAAAGCAAATTTAAGATGATGCTAATTATTATTATTATTATTATTTTTTTATCCTCATCCGAGGACATTTTTACATTTATCTTCAGATAGAGCGAGAGGGAGAGAGGGAAGAATAGAGAGAAAAATATCGACGTGAAAGGGACACATCGACTGGCTGCCACCCACACGACCCCAACCAGGGTTGGGGATAAACTGCAACCGAGGTACGTGCCCTTAGTGGGAATCAAACCCGGGTCTCTCTGGACTGCGGGCCGACACTCTAACTGCTGAGCCAAACCGGCCAGGGCTAAGATGATGCTAATTAATAAACCTATTTTTATTTTAGGCATTTAAAAATGTGAGTTTAAAGATGAGTTTTTCTTGACGAACCCTGCACTCAGCCACCTCTTTGAGGCAGAAGTCGGGATGGCAGACGGGTCTGAAGGGACCCCCCCCACCCTGAGGGGACGGCCCTGCGGTGCGCACCAGTTTTGACGACGTCCTAGGCAGAGCCGAATGCCCTTCCAGGATTTCGACGACGTATAAGTGGTATGGGTTTCGAAGCCACATTTTCCCGCTGGTGTCCATTAAGTACTGCAGGATGAGGAGTTTGAAAAGAAATACCCAGATTCCAGTCTGCACCTGCAGAGAGAATCACAGGGGTCTGTAAACTCGCGTGCGAAAGACCAGTTCCCCCAGCCGCAAAGACCTTCTCGCTCTGTCCGTTCATACGATGAGACTGATTATCAATACACGATAAAGAAATTCTTTATGCTGGGGAGGAGGAGGGGCAGGACGTGGCCCCGGGGCTGGAGTCCAGGGCACTTACAGAGGAGGTCACGTCAAAGTGGAACATCATGGGTCTCGTCTGATACTGGGTGCCCAGGTAAGGCAGCAGGGAGCCCAGAACTTGGTCTTCATCCACCTGAGGGTCAATCAGTCGAATAATTTTCAGAGGTACTTTTTTCCCCGTAAACTTCCTTTTCAGCGCTTCATGCAATCGCTTCACGTAGAGAGACTTTCCTGTAACATTAAAAGACGGAAATCAGGTGCCAGGGCTGTGGACGAGAGTGAGAGTATCTAGAAAGATTCAGTACACGTCGCTTCTCTGTGTGCACAATTCAAAACCGATGCAACATAACCCGGGATTAAAGGGCCCTCAGCTCTCCGGGCTGTTCCCTGCTCGGGGGGGCCCCTGCGGGGTGCCTGGGCCCAGGGCTCGATGTGAGTGTGCCGTGGGGGGCGGGGGGAGAGGCACTGTGAATGAGAGGACGTCACCAGGACCAACTTGGTGACGGAACAAAGGGAGGCACAAGGGGCATCTGTTTCTTCTCCAGACAGATTTCGTCTCCTCCTGCTCTCATAACCCACATCAGCCCCGAGGTGGCCAATGGAGTTAAAAACAAACCCACCAAGGAACTGCGGAGAAGCCTGTTTTGAGAAAGGTGGGTAGGCTCCCAGGAGCCACCTGAGCCGGAGCCAGGTGAGTGTCCCCTCCCAGCTTGGCTCTAATTTGCAGATGAGCCACACCTCCCCCAGACTCATCATCGGAGTCGCCTCCCACCCGCGTGGGACAGGGAGGAGCCACCAGGGGGCCCGCCGGCCCCCGCAGCGATCATTAGATTATTACCAACACCGGCTCTCTCTGAGGTCACGATCCCCACACACATCTGGTTCCTGAAAACCGTGGCGGCGGACGTGACCCCCGCTGGGACCTGGTAGTGATGTTCCAGGTAGGCCCGGATGGTGTCGAGGGGCGCCTGGGGGGTGACGGGGACTTTGTGCTGGCTGAAGGCCGAGGGCAGGTAGCAGTGTTCCCGCTCACAGTCGCAGACCATGACGAGCCGGTAGTCCTCCCGGTGAGGCTGCGTGCACAGGCTCAGGAAGAGCGCCTCCGCCCGGCAGGCCACCTCGTAGCTCAGCTGGTCGGCGTGCAGCAGGCTGTAGATGCCGCGTCCCCCGGAGCCGGGGCTCAGGCAGCGCCGCAGGAGCAGCGCCACCTCCTCGAATGTGGTCCCCGGGGTGCACAGCAGCACCTCATCGTAGGTGGGCAGCGGCTGCCCCGGGCTCTGCGCGTAGACAGCCAGGGCGGCCAGCAGCACCTCCGCGTGGTCACAGACGATGAGGTTGGGCTGGCCGACCTGCAGGCCTTTGGGGAGCTCCCGTGTGACCAGCTGGCCGTCCATCTCCGCCAGGCGAGCCAGGCAGAGGCCCAGGGCCTCCAGGTCCAGGCAGTGAGGCAGGAAGGCGGGCATGCAGGTCAGGAACTGGTGCATGATGACCCTCAGCTTGCCCGCCAGGCTGGGCTCACAGATGAGCATGCGCAGCAGCTTGTTCATGACGGTCTGCGGCGGGCGTCCGGCGGCCTCGCCATCGGGCCCCCTGCAGGCCTCTGCGACGTCGCGGGGGCTGCATTTCCGCTTGACAAAGGACAGCATGGTGAGGGCCTCGTGACTGGGCGGCTGCCGGCTGAGCTGCGCGCCCAGGTACACCAGCTGCTCCGCGGTGTAGTAGTTGAGGTGAAAGTGCTCAGCTCGCTTCTGGGCCACGAAGTCCTCCCACTGGCCCAAGAAATGCTCCATCTGCCGGCACACGGCCTCCAGCAGCGAGGCCAGCGGCCCGCACCCCATCAGCTTGCCCGGCAGCTCCAGGCCGAAGTCCATCCGCACGTGCGAGTCCTTCCGGGAGGAGCAGAACACCTCGGCCCTCCAGCCCCGGAACAGAAAGTTCCCGGCCGAGTACAAGTTTATGAAGGACTCCATCAGCCTCTGCACGTTGCAAAACACCTGCAGCGAACGGAAGCCGGAGGCGGCGTCACAGAGCTGACCAGAGAGCAGAGGACGACACCGACCTGGAGTCTGCAGGACCCCTGCCCCCATCGCTCGGGCTCTTCCCCAGGGAGGCCCGAAGTTGTGAAAACGGCTCAGGCGTGTAGCAAGTGCAAATGCACGTGAAAGAAAAATCTCAGAACAACGCCGAGACCCTGTTTTCTCGTCTCGGTTCCTTCCGACCTCCGGCCTCCATGAAGCCTGCTCGCCTCTCTGTGGTTTTGCATTCTTGCCGATTTGAATAGTAAGGCGATTTGATTTAAGTTTCTAAGCACCGTGCCCCCCGGGTCATCTCCCCTCAAAGTGGCGGATTCCCTGACAATGCTCTCTCCAGATACACAAAGGAACCACTAACCAAAGGGTCTGTCACACCTGAGCCGTCCCTTCGGGTCATGAGGTCGGGTGACAGGCACCCTGCAGACTCATGAATTTCAGAGAAGAGCAATTCCAAGCAATCCAATCCAAACTCAAACCCTCCTTACTGTCTGGGGCCACTCAGCAGGGAGTCCCACGCCCCACAGCCTCGATGACGGAACAGAGCCCCCACCTCGGAGAACAACTCGACTTCAGCGCTGTTGTGGTCTTTCTTGCCAGACATCAGCATCAGTTTGTTCAAAAGTTCCTTTAGCTCCTCCAGGGAGTAGATCCGCGGCTCCTTGCTGCCTCCGAGAGTCTCGGAGAGGAAGAGACGTAGAACCGTGTCTGGGGAAATCTGTGGAACAGGACAGGTTTAGAGGTGGCTTTCTGGAGGGAGAAGCCCCCCCCGATTCCCAGCGGCAGGCAGCTCACCCTCCGGCCGTCGGAAGGCGCTTCGATCACGTAGATGCCTCTGCTGTTGATGTCCGTAGCCAGCGCCAGGGACGAGCGTTCCACAGACCCGTGACTCTCCTTCACCGTCCTTAGCCAGTCCAAGTTCCGGGCGGAGTCACGCTGTCGGGCAGGGGAGAAAACAGGGATCGTGTCCTTCCTCTCTGCCCCGGCCCCCCCCTCGGCCTTCCGGGGCGAACGCTCCCGGCCCTCTCCGGTCTGAAGTGGGGGTAGGGCCTCCCCACCCGCTGCCCAGGACCCGTGCGCTCCGGCCGCCGTGCTCAGGACCCTTGCGACGTGGTGCTACTGTGTCCCTGTGTCCCACCTGTACTTGTGTCCACCTGGATAAAGTGGACAGAGGCTTTGTTCTGCTGGGCCCCCAACTGGGGGTGGGGGGCTAGAGATAACAGGGCCGTAACCCTTCTGTTCTAAATGACTTTTTGGGGTCCCCAAGTCCAGCCAGACGCATTGAGGAGAAACTACAACAAAGGCCTTTTGTTTGGACATGAGCATCCAACAGAGAAAAACAAATCCTACTCCCCTGCTCCCCAGTGGATCCAGCCGTCCTGGGGATGTGTCTGCTCCTAAGGCAGGTCAGGGAGCAGGGGTCCTCGGACCCCAGGGAAGACGGTTCCCTTACATGAAAATGTGTACGTCTTCTAATAAAATACTAATCGATCCCACGTGTGGAAAATACCAAAGAGTATACAAAGCTAAGTCACAGTTATCACCACTCAGAGAAAACACGGGTAACATTTTAGGAGGTTCCAGTCTCCCCCCACCCCCCGAGTTTTGCATAACAGAAATTAGACCGACTTACATGCACTTTCCTATCCTATTTTGTAACATGTGAAAACATTTTCATACAGGAAGAAACACTGTCCGCAAACACTGTGTCAGCGTCTGCACGGAAGCCACACAGCGGGGAAGACCTGCGGAGCCGCGGGCCGGAAGCCAGACTCACCAGTTTGGCAGGCAGGTGCGTGTCGTTTTCCAGAGCCTTCCAGAGCTCCTTCAGCTGGTTCATGAAGTCGCGGAAGTCTGCGCTGGGGTCCAGGTTGTAGAGAAGGGCGGTGTAGCCCTGGACGGCATCGTGGAAGTAGGCCACCCGGTCCACGTCCATGTCGTTCTCGCCCGCAAAGATGAAGGCCAGGTCCACAAACACCTTCAGCTCGTTGATGCCTTGGGGCAACAGGCGCGTTGAGCCTGGGGCCACACCCTGCCGGCACCAGGCTCGTGGACAGCGATCTTTCGTGAAGCTATACATGGGTGTTTAGTGGATTTTCAGGTGTTTTATCCTCTTTTACTTTCCATAAGAACCCTTCTCTTTGCCCTGGGCGCTGTGGCTCAGTGGTTAGAGCGTCGGCCCACGGACCGGAGAGTCGCGGGTTTGATTCCGGTCAAGGGCACGTACCTTGGTTGCGGTTCAAGGTCGGGTTGTGCAGGAGGCGACCAGTCGATGTGGCTCTATCACACTGATGTTCCTCTCTGTCTCTCTCTCTCTCTCTCCCTCCCTCCCACTCTATCAGATGATAAATAGAAAAATATCCTTGGGTGAGGAATAAAAAAACAACAACAAAGAATCCTTTTCTTTTGCTTATTTGGATGCCACGGACCAAGAGCAGTGTCCACGCACAGGCACCTGCGTGCACCGGGCTCCGTCTAATCCATGTGGCATCACCATTTTGTAAACATTTAAGCCTCGCACAAGGATATTTTTCCATTGATTTTTATTTTTATTTTTATTTATTTATTTGCTTAGATAGAGTGGGAGGAAGAGAGAGAGAGAGAGAGAGAAACATCGACGTGAAAGGGACACATCGAGTGGCTGCCACCCACACGACCAACCAGGGCTGGGGACAAACTGCAACCGAGATATGTGCCCTTATTAGGAACCGAACCTGGGTCTCTCTGGACCGCAGGCTGATGCTTTAACCGCTGAGCCAAACTGGCCAGGGTGTCCATTGACTTTTAAATAGAGCAGAAGGGAAGGAGGGAGGGAGAGAGAGAGAGAAACATCTATGTGAGAGAGACACATCAATTGGTTGTCTCCTGCACGACCCTAACAGGGGCCAGGATCAAACCTGCAATACTTCAGTCCTTGGGCCAACTAACTCTAACTGCTGATCCAAACCGGCCAGGGCAGGGGCCAGATTTTTAAGAAAATGACCCCCACCTGTTCACAGCAAGCGTAGAGAGTGGGGGGAACAGTAACCAAAAAAATAGTTTTTACACCAGAGCATGAAAAATATTATCCTGATATAAATTCTATCAATAATCACACACAGCATGAAAAATATTATCCTGATATAAATTCTATCAATAATCACACACAGCATACAACCTAAAGAACGAAGACGGCACCCGTGTCCTTCACACGGGACAGCCACCCCGAGCGCCATCGGAACACCCCGCTTCCTGCAGGCCCCAGTGATGACCGTACCTTCCAGAGCCTCCCGGACCCAGTTGACGAACTCCTTCCTCTGGGCCAGCTCCAGCAGACACTGGTACCGGGCCTCGTCGATGTCCTGCAGCAGCTGCTTGGCACGGATGATCCCCTGATTGATCTGGGCCAGTTTTTCATGACGAGAGTTCTCAAAGGTGTCAGTCTGTAAGACAAGGGCTGGAGCTGGTCACCTGGAGCCCAGGGTCTGGGAAGGAGTGCTGACTGACCCAACGGCCCCGGCCCTCCTGGATTTGCGGCGGCCAGGATGCTCTCATCCCAGCACTGGACAGCGCCCCCTGCTGTCCAGGGGTAACTCCTACAGCTGTGTAGCACATTCTGCTAAGCAGCTTCCACAAGAACCTGCCGGGCACATATTACTTTCCTGTCTTGTAGGTAGAGAGCCCAGAACCGACCCACTCCAGAGCCCACCGCTGGAGTTCAAGCCATGTGTGTGTGTGATTCCAATCATCGTCATCCCTGTCTATACTATCATATAGGTCACAGTGTACCTCATCAATGCTCGTCCTAAAAGAACAGAGGCCAAAAGACTGACTTCCGACAGGGATCACTCGTCGCGCGCCGCCCGGAGATGGGAGCAGAGTGGCCACAGGCAAGTCTATAAACATCTAACGACTCAAAGGACGTCTCAGTCCTTCCCTGTGTTCTTGACCTTTGCGCCAAGAAGCAGTCACCCACTTTATGAACAAGAAAACCAAGCCCCTGCCGCAGTCAGCATCAGCCACGTACGAACCAGACACTCCTGTCCACTTTGTAAAAGCCAGAGAGCCCGCGGCTCCCGGGAAGTCTGAGCTGGGACCCCACCCCCACCCAGGAGTCCCTGGCGAATAACTTACAATTCGTAAGAGTAAGTGGAGGACACTGAAGTCTCCGGTCAGGCCCAGGTTCTCTTTGATCTGCAAGATGACATTTGCCGCCCTGGCAGCCTGGTGCAGGTGGTGGTACTCCCTGATCTGCCCGACTCGCGCCTCGATCCAGTCCTCCTGGTCCCCGGGGTCCAGGGCACACATGACGCGGAGGTCAGAGGTGAGGTCGCTGTATTTATTCACAAAGACGTTGAAGATGGCTTCGACTTCCCCCAAGGTGACCTCTCCTGACTTCAGGTCCTTGTACAGTTTCTCGAACTTGCAGAAACTTGGGAGAAACAGCCTCTTATACGCACATTCCACGTCCATCACTGGCCGTTCCGACACCTGCCCCGGCGGCCTCCGCAGCCTCGCGGCGTCGGCCCAGAAGTTCCGGAAGACGTGACTGTCCTTGAGCCAGTTGATCTCTGTGGCCATCTTTTGGACGTTGGAGCTCAGGTGGTAATGGGTGCTCATGCTCTGGGGTGAGGAAGTGGGCGGCCTGTCCAACAGCACCACTGTGTCCAGCGTTTTCCGGCCGAGGTCCTCTGCGTGTCTCTCCGCGATCGCACTGCAGTCCACTGGGGAAACCGGACAAGAACGTCACAGTCAAACCTCCAGGCCGGCACGACCTGCCCTGCTGCTCGGAGGAGACTCAAGTGAACACCCTCCACCCTCGTCGGCACTTTGTTCTCGGTAAGAATCCGGACAGCACTGCCCCCGCCCCGCCGCCCTCTCGTCCATCAACTTTTACAACAAAGAAAACGTTGCAAGTTCCGGGCTGAAGACAGGTGCCCACGTCCCTGCCTGTCCCACCTGCTGCAAGGCCCGAACAGAGAGACTTCGGCAAAGTCACGACCGACAGGGCAGGGAGGGCAGACAGGAGCTCGGGGCAACAAGATGCTGGACGCTGGCGCGGGTGGACCCGGGTGGGTCCACGGGGAAGCTGGGGTGGGGGCGTGGAGACGAGGCCACGAGGGAGGACGGGCTGACCTCACCCTTCCTCCGCGGCAGCGGCAGGAGGTCACGTGCCCGAGACGGCACGGAGGGTTTAGGAACCGGAGGTCTCGGGTCCATGGGGGAACAGTGGCCTGCCCAGACCTGGTGCGGGAAGCCCTGCAGCCCACCTTTCTCTCCTGACCCCCCGACACCTGGCAGCAGCCTGTCCCCTCCAGGCCAGGACGGACGTGCGAGACGCCCCAGCGACAAGACCTTAGGACACAGGCCATTCGCGGCCACAACCTACTCTGAGTTCTCGGTCAGCTTGCGAGGCTGCTCACTTGTCTTTTTTGTTAATCCTCACCCGAGGATAGTTCTGTAAATTTTTAGATACAGGGGAAGGGAGGCGCGGTGGGGGGGGGGACATTGATGTGACAGAGACACATCAATTGGCTGTCTCCTGTATGCACCCCAACCATGGTGTAGGGATCAAACCTACAACCCAGGTATGTGCCCCTGACCAGGAATCGAACACGCGACCCTTCAGTGCGCGAGCCGACGCTCTAACCACCGAGCACACCGGCCAGGGCATAGGCTCCTCTCTTTAACCTAAAAAGTAAACCCAGACAACCGGTACCAGACTGGCTTCAGAACTCTTCTTGAAGACCCGTTTCACAGATTCGCCCAAAGGGGCTGGTTCCAGAAACCACCTATGAATTGGCCCCTGCTGGGATTTTCACCACGAGCACGCTTCCTCTGGGAGCGGCGTGGCCGTAAACACAGGAGAGGGTGACAGGAAGACTGGACACCATCCGGTGGCTGGGACACCTTCCCGGAAGCCCCGACCGCCTTCCACAGAGAGCAAGGACTGAGCAGACCTCAGCTTCCCACTTTTCCTAGCTCCTGGGGATCCACTGATGGAAGGGCGTCTCTTCGGACAGACACCTTCACTGCACAATGAGCCTGCAGCCTCCCCGGCTGAGCGCCAAGCAGAGGTCAGCTACCCCGCCAGCCGGGACTACCTGAGAGGCCCAGTGACCACTGAGTGTGGGCACGACTCCGCCGTTCCTGCATCCGCTAGCGATGGGCAGGTCTACAGGACTGCCTCCCCTGTCCTGTCTGCCTCCACCACTGCCCGGACAGGGACTTCAGGAGGAACCCCCAGCTGTGTCACGTGGCTGAGATGGTTAAGCAGATTCCCACCCCAGGGAGCCAGAGGAAACCACGGGAAGAAGAACCCCTGTGTGAGCAGCACAAGGAGGATCTGATCCCGTTCTGTGAGAAGGTCCTGGAGCTGTTGTGTCCCCAGTGCAAGGTCTGGCCTGACCAGCCACATCGGCCCCTGAAACCGATTGCGGAAGCTGAGCTCGTCACAGGAGGAAACTCCAAAGCTCCCACGGAGCCCCCGAGGATCGATGTTGAAGATGCGGAAGTGGGTTCTGAGCACCAAGCGGCAACAGTTTTGAGAGCAGAAAGAACTGCACGACGGATGGACAGAACGTTAGCATTCCCGGGAAGGAGAGCACGATGAGACTGTTGCCAGCCTACCTACAGACGAGAAGGATGCTGCAGAGAAACTAACGGAACACGGAAGGCAAATTTCAAACCATATGTTCACACGAAACCATCTGTTCCATGAAATGGCAGAGAAGTGTTTGCAGACAGACCTGGGTTTACTCACAGGTACTGAGAGGATCCACAACAGGTATGAAAACCTAGAGCCTTTTCCTATGAATTAAAGAAGGAGAGTTTCACGCTCCCCCTACATTATTTTGGTCTGCATAAAATGATCAGCATGTTTCAGGTAGATCTGACCCTGGATGCTGAACCTGCCCATCCGAGTCTCATTGTGACAAGAGGTAGAAGAAGTGACATACAGGACACGAGAGGGTCTTCATGATCCCCAGGCACTAACTCCTCACCCCGGTGTCCTGAGTTCGAGGGATCTGACGCTGGCAGGCACTTTTGGCAAGTAGAAACTGCCAGGACAGGTGACCGTTTCCTAGGTGTGTGTAAAGAATCTTTTCCCCAAAATACTCCCCTAGCACCACCTCCAAGCAATGGATGCTGGCATCATCAGCTCTGCACTGGTACCCACGGTTCATGCCACACAGGCTACTGCAGCTTGGCATGCATCTGGACTCTGCGTTGGAGAGGTTTCAGTTTATAATTTAAAAAACAGGTCATGTATGCGTAGCGTCACTGATCGGTTTACAGAAAAAATTGTGCCTTATTTATCTTGTGCACATTCTTCAGAATCTCTTAGAATCACTATCATGAGAGAGAAACAACTGGAAAAAAAAATTAAAACCAGAATCTCCAGACATGAGGGGAGAGTCAGGTGAACAGTAGATACTAACATTCACCAACAGGTAAGATGACTCAGAAGCAGTAAGAAACTCTATAAAAATAGAAAAGTCGGGCCCTGGCTGGTTTGGTTCAGTGGTTAGAGCGTCGGCCTGCGGTCCCGAGAGACCCGGGTTCGGTTCCCGCGAAGGGCACATACCTCGGTTGCAGTTTGTCCCCGGCCCTGGCTGGTTGTGCGGGTGGCAGCCACTCGATGTGTCCCTTCACGTCGATGTTTCTCTCTCTCCCTCCCTCCCTCCCACTCTATCTGAACAAAAAATGGAAAAAAATGTCCTCGGGTGAGGATAGAATAAATAAAAATAGAAATAGAAATAGAAAAACCTCTAAACCCAAGTGTCAGTAACCTCAGGAAGAGAAAACACCGTGACCGCGAACAAGCACAGGAGAGCAGAGAGGAAGGCTGTCCAGAGAGAACGGGTGTCCGTCCGGCGGCAAAGCTTCCTGTCCGCTGAACTGTGAGAACAGCGACGAACAAACCGGCGCACAGGCTGGAAGGGGAGCGGAGCAGAGCGCTCGGACAGGAGAGCGAGAACCAGAGGCGCGGGAGAGAGGACCGTGGAGCGCGAGGACCCTCCGGAGGTCCAGTCTCCAATCCGTGTCAGTCCTGGCAAGAGACAAGACACCCAGTGAAACAATTCAAGAGAACGTTCCAGAACTCGAGGACTTGAATGTCAAGACTAGAAAGACCCACCTAAGCATGCGCAGTACAATGGACAGAAAATGAACCCAAAGGCAGGCCCACATTCCAGTAGACTGGGACCAAGAGAGGGAAAAGGCCCCGCAGGAGGGACCCGTGCTTGGAACGGCGTCCAGCCTCACCATAGCAACGCAGCACAGACGGCAGGGCCCCATGTCCCCCCGTGAAGGGAAAGGACCGCCCGTCCGTCATCGTGACAGCCCAGCGACCGCCCTCGAGTGGGGGTTGACACCCTCAGACCCGCCGGGACTCAGGAATGGAGCCCCCTGCCCCTTTTCTCGGAAGCGTCATGGAAGATAACATTCAACCAAAACCCAGGAGTGAGACAGGATGACAGGATGCAGGAGACAGACCCACGGAGGAGGGGGGCCAAGGACAACCTCAGGATGCCGTGTGGGGGGACGGCTCCCAAAAAGAGCAACCCAAGCACATGCGAGGAAATTACAGTCTGGAGTTAAATGTATGGTCGTCATCATCATCATCATCATGTTTAGTAAGAATAGCATTTTAGGACATTTTAGCATTTATCTTCAGATAGAGCGGAAGGGAGAGAGGGAGGAAGAGAAAGAGAGAGAAACATCGACATGAGAGAGACACATCAACTGGCTGCCACCCCACACCGGAGCCGGGGACACACTGCCACCGAGGGACGTGCCCTTAGTGGGAACCGAACCCGGGTCTCTCTGGTCCGCGGGCCGACGCTCTAACGGCTCAGTCAGACCGGCCAGGGCTGAGTCGAATTTAAAATAAAACCCACTGAAAACACAGCGTAGGCCAAGACGAGGATTTTCCTTCTGGAGAAAACCCCGTCTGTGCAGGAAGGTAAGGAGGTCGCGGTCGCCCTCCCGGCTCCACAGTCTAGGTGTGGTCCGCGGCCCTGGCCACGCAGGCCCGAGAGAGAGCCAGCGGCGGATGCCGGGAGCCCGAGAGGTCACAGAGTGTGCGAGGCCGACACCGGAGGGACCCTCAGCCCTCGTCCCCCACAAGGCGCAGCGCTGCCTCGGGAAAATCAAGGAGGGGTCTCGGTGTGCTGCGCAGAGATGGCGACAGGTAAGAGCAAGGTGACTGACGAGTCTGGCGCGGTTTGGAATGAGCACCTGACAAAGAACCTGCTCTCCAAGAGAAAGACTGCAGAGGTGACAGGTGTCCGGGGTGTCTCTGACCCCGCCCCGTCATTCGTGGGGACTCCCTGGGCTCTCACCGGTCACCCAGGTGGACACCTCTTCGCACAGCTTCAGGAGACTGTCCACACAGCTCTGCTGGGTCTTCAGAAACTTCAGTTCTTCCCACCTGCAGTCCAGCACGTCCCTCATGTCGTATGCCTGCTCCCGGGGCGAAAGACCTTTTCTCTCTGGGGAGGAACGAGAAGAAGGAACTCAGAACAGACGTGACCTTTTCCACGGCGACCATTTCTTCCCTCTCTCAACACGCCGCACGTTCTGGGGCGGAGCGAGGGGGCGCAGGCCGGGCCCCTCCGTCCAGGTGTCCGTGAGCTCAGCCACGTGGACGCAAGCAGAGGAGCACCCCGACCTTGTCATGATCGGACCCCGTTCCTGTCCTTTCTCTTGAGGATCAGAAACCAGGCCACAGGCGATGCAGCCAGGTGCTGACAGAGACGTCTGTGCTGCCGCAGCCGTCCTGAGACGCCGGCACGCCGGGGCGGGCGTGGGCACAGCGCAGGCACCCCACCTGTTCCCCCACTCTCCCGCTGTGCTGTGGCTCCGTGGGGAAATGCTCCTATTTATAAGGAAACACACACTGAATCTGCAGGAAGGGAGGGTCGTCCGGGCGGCAAGTTATTCTGCAGGGGTGGGGGGCTTTCTCAAAGGGGGCTTTCCAATCTAGTTACCGCCTTTCCTAACGTTGTGCGGGTTTCAAGATAAATAATAAACGCAGTCGTTAATCTTTTCTTTTTTTCCAAAAGAAAAAAAGAAAAGAAAAGAAAGAAACCACCCCGTCAATTTAAGGGCAAGAAGAGCCCCTCACTGTAAAGGGGACGAGACCCCCCTTCTGCTAAACCCCGAGAGCGCAGACACCACGGTCCCCGCCTCGCAGCCTGGCGTCCGCGCTCAGCTCCGCACTCACTCAGGTCCCAGATGTCGAGAAACTGAGTCCTGTTGCTTCTGATCAGCTCCAGCTGTTCGACCAGCACCGTCCTGCTCAGGAGATCGGCGGTCACCTTGGTGAACACGGAGTCGGCGGTGGCCATCAGCTCCTTGCCTTCCTCGGAGATGTGTGCCAGGATTTTCTCATTGGTTCCTGCCCAGGGAGAGGACACAGTAAACACCAGCGTGTCCGATTCACGCCCGCCTCCCGCCACCTCCGCAAGCCGCTCTGTCCCGACGCCCAACCATCCAAGCAGAGGCCACGCCCAGTCTCCGGGGCTGCTTCTCCCCTCACTGGGGAGGTTTGGGTCTTACCCAAACTCACTTCCCCAGCACTTCCTTGGTCCAGCCAGGAGAACCATGTCCCTGGGGCTTTTAAAACCCATGTGCCCTTCCGCAGTCTCAAATCACACATCATCTCCCCTCAGACCCCCATCTCGAGAGCCCCCAGGCAGAAGAATGAACCCCGCCAGGCGACGGGACGCAGGTGGCAAGGGACCAGGTGGTTCCCTGGAGGTGTTTTCACGGCCCGTGGAAACACACATCGACCAGGCCCACTCCGCACTATCTTGCAAGATTCTGAATGTGAATTTCCGGATCAATCTAGAGGGCGAGGCTTTAAAATAGACTTGGTTTAACCACCAGGAGATTCCCCTCTAAGCGATACCCGGGTTACAAGATCAAGAGAAGACCAAGTCCCTCTGTGCCACTGAAAATCGACACAGCAGCTTTGTTGCTGCGAAACCCTGGGGGCATCCCAGGTGCCCTTCAGTGGGTGAAGGGACAGATCTGTGGTCCATCCGACGGCGGAATATTGGCTGGTGATGGAAGAAAGACGTGAGCGGTGGAAAGGAAACTTCCGTGCGTGTTGTTCGATGAGCAAAGCCAGTCTGCAAAGCCCACGTAAAGATTGCGAATACATGCTGTCCTAAGAAGCAAAACTGTGGTGGGGGTGGGGCACGAACAGGCAGAGCGCGGGGCGTGTCAGGGCAGGGAGATGGCTCTAGACCGCATCGCAACGGCAGCGCCCATCTTTGCCCATCTGTCCCAAGCACAGAGACACGACGGCAAGAGGGGGCCTCGGTGAACTTTGGCCCTTCAGTGTTAACAATGTGTCAGTGTCAGAGGTGGTGAGGGCTGGACCACACCCAAGCCAGTGAGGGGAAGTTCTGCGCTGGGGCGGGGGAGGGGTGAGTAGGGAACTGTGTACTTCATGGGTCGTTCCTCTATAACCCTAAAACTGCTCTAAAAATAATGGCTGTTGCCCTGGCCGGTTTGGCTCAGCGGTTAGAGCGTCGGCCTGCGGTCCTGAGAGACCCGGGTTCGGTTCCCGCTAAGGGCACGTACCTCGGTTGCAGTTTGTCCCCGGCCCTGGTCGGTTGTGCGGGTGGCAGCCACTCGATGTGTCCCTTTCACATCGATGTTTCTCTCTCTCTCTCTGTTCCTCTCTCTCCCTCCCACTCTCCCTGAACAAAAAATGGAAAAATGTCCTCGGGTGAGGATAAAAAAAAAAAAAAAATGGCTGTTGCTTTAAAAATACACAATCTTTTTGTTTGTTTTTTGTTTGTTTTTTATCCTCATCCGAGGACATTTTTCCATTTTTTACTCAGATAGAGCGGGAAGGAGAGAGAGGAAGAGAGAGAAACATCAATGTGAAAGGGACACATCGAGTGGCCGCCACCCACACAACCCAACTAGGGCCGGGGACAAACTGCAGCCAAGGTACGTGCCCTTAGCGGGAACCGAACCCGGGTATCTCTGGACCACAGGCCGACGCTCTAACCGCTGAGCCAAACCGGCCAGGGCTACACAATCTTTTCATGTGAGCTTTTGATAATGTTCATAAGCCCTAGCCGGTCTGGCTCAACGGTTAGAGCATCTGCCCTTGGACCAAAGAGTCGTGTGTTCGATTCCAGTCAAGGGCATGTACTTCGGTTGTGGTTCGGTCGCCAGCCCTGGTCGGGGTCGTGCGGGAGGCAACCAGTCGATGTGTCTCTCTCACATCGATGTTTCTCTCCCTCTGTCCCTCCTACTCTAACTGAAGATAAATAGAAAAATATCCTTGGGTGAGGATTAAAAATAATGATGATGATGACGATCCCCATAAAAGTCCCACATCAGTGATCTTATTTGATCCCTACAAGAACCCTGACATGGAGACAGCCTAGCTTTTATTTTGGCTCTTCAGCAATTTGATGAAACTGAGGCTCAGAATCAGCCAAATTGGGATTTTTAGATCTAAATCCAGTGCTTTTCCACTAAACCTGGACCTGAGGGCTCACACATACACCTGGATGTGCTGTGTGCCGGGCCATGGGGATCTCCGCTCTGCCTGCAGGCGCTGGGGCGTGGGGGGGCCGACAGCCAGACACACTCAGCTTTCTGTCCAGCTCAGCAGCAGGGGACTGTGCATTTGTCCTCAGAACAACAGAGTAGGTTTTATTTATCTATCTTTTTTAAAATCGATTTTAGAGAATGAGGAAGGGAGAGGGAGAGAGAGATAGAAACATTGATGAGAGAGAACATCGATGGGCCGCCTCCTGCATGCCCCCCACTGGGGATCGGGCCCACCACCTGGGCGTGTGTCCTGACCGGGAATCGAACCGGTAACCTCTTGGTGCAGGGTCGATGCTCAACCACTGAGCCACACCAGCCGGGCTAGGTTTTATTTATGTATTTATTTTTGTTAACCTTCACCCGAGGATATTTTCCCATTGATTTTTTTTAGAGAGAGCGGAAGGGAGAAAGGGAAAGGGGGAGAAGGAGAGACATTGATGAGAGAGAGACACATCAACTGGTTTCTTCCCGCACACACCCCAACCAGGGCGGGGATCACACCTGCAACCCAGGTACGTGTCCTTGACGGGGAACAGAACCCGAGACCCTCTGAGGCACAAGTCAATGTTCTCACCACTGAGCTTACCAGCCAGGGCCACAGAGTGGGTTTTAGAGCCAGACATGCTTGGGTTCTGAATGCTCAGTGTCTTGGAGACCTTGGGTAAGTCACACCCCTACCTCTACCTCTACCTGAAACACGGGACCTCCAGGGCGCACTGTCAGAACAGCTTCAAGGACACAGCAGCTGGTGCCGAGCAGGTGCGCCAGGGGCGGCGACCTTCCGTATTGGTTCTCGTGCACACACAAGACAGCCTGGTCCTTGCTGGGCCCCTGCATCCACCTGCTTCCTTGCCAGACAGCAGCCCTTCCTCAGTGTGTTGTCAGGACACCGAGGGGACCCCCCAAACATACCGTACAATTTGTAGAGATGCTTGACGTCCGGCCAGGTGAGCAGATGCTTCAGAACCTCCCCCAAGTCATGCACGGCCTCCCCATGGCTCCTCGGCCACGACTTGGTGATCACAACAGACACGAGAGTCCCAAATTTCCGCAGGTCACTAAGAGACAGTGCCCCGAGGACACTGGTCTGAGACTGTAAGAAAATGAGTGACGAGGAGGGAATTTAGATAGTGTTTTTTTTTTTTAATTAATTAATTTATTTATTTTTGGTTAATCCTCACCTGAGGATATTTTTCATTGACTATTTTAGAGTGGAAGGGAGGGGAGGAGAGAGCGAGAAAGAGAAATATCGATGTGAGAGAGACACATCAACTGGTTGCCTCCCGCACAACCCCAGCCAGGGCTGGGGATCGAACCTGCAACCGAGGTACGTGCCCTTGACTGGGAATCAAACCCACGACCCTTCGGTCCGAGGGCCAACAACCACTGAGCCAAACCCACTGGGGCAAAATGGGTGTGTTTGTTAATAATAGAAGTAACTTACTCAATAGTGTTTCAGAAATCTTTTGTGACTAGTTTTACAAGACTTCAGGGATAAAAAAGGAAAAAAAGCAAGAAGCAAATACTTAACTTCTGTAGGGCATTTTGCTCCCCTGGGACAGGTCTGGAGCGAGGAAGACCAGAGCCGCACAGACACCTCCCACAAGTCACCCCCTCTGGCTCACTGCCAGCCCCCGCGCTGTCCCTGGACTGTCGCATCAGGAAACAGTACCCACCGCCTCGGAATCTACGGCGTCCTGTACTTTGTATTCCCACACTGCCATGCTTCCCAAGGCTGCCCGCACACCGTAGACATTTCAGTGCACTTTCTGCAGCCCCACCAAGAAACAAAATGTTTAGGTTCAAAGTTTTTACAGAAAGTTTCAGGAATTACTTAAAAAAAATAAAATAAAGAGGTCGGGTTTGTTTGCAATAGATACTTCCTCGTGCCTAAAAGGATAAAAGCCTTCTCCAGGAATTTAGGAAAAGGATGGAACACCATGACCAAGTGGGATTTATCCCAGGGACGAAAGGTGGGTTTAATGTAAGAAATCAGTTAAGCCCTGGCCAGTTTGGCTCAGCAGTTAGAGCATCGGCCCTCGGACCAGAGAGTCCCGGGTTCAGTTCCCGCTACGGGCACGTACCTTGGTTGCAGTTTGTCCCTGGCCCCGGTTGGGGGTCATATGGGTGGCAGCCACTCAATGTGTCTCTCTCACATCGATGCTTCTCTCTCTCTCTCTCTCCCTCTCTCCCTCCCGCGCTATCTGAAGATAAATGCAAAAATGTCCTCGGGTGAGGATAAAAAATAAAAAAAGATATCAGTGAATGTAATACATCAATCATATCAATAGAAAAAAAATAACTCGACGATCTCAATAGACACAGAAAAAGCATCGGGCCCTGGCCAGTTTGGCTCAGCGGTTAGAGCGTCGGCCTGCGGTCCTGAGAGACCCGGGTTCGGTTCCCGCTAAGGGCACGTACCTCGGTTGCAGTTTGTCCCCGGCCCTGGTCGGTCGTGCGGGTGGCAGCCACTCGATGTGTTCCTTTCACGTCGATGTTTCTCTCTCTCTCTCTGTTCCTCTCTCTCCCTCCCGCTCTACCTGAACAAGAAATGGAAAGGTGTCCTCGGGTGAGGATTAAAAACAACAACAACAACAACAAAAAAAACATCGGACATATCCAACAGCCTTTCATGATAAAAACACCCAAACGAGGACTGGAGGGACTCCCCACTGGGTAAAGGGCATCCACCATCTACGGAAGCCCACAGAGAACTTCCTACCCAAGTGGAGAAACAAGACAAAGATATCTCCTCGCCACTTCTATTCTACATGGTCCTGGAGGATCTGCTCACGGCCACCAGGCAAGGACAAGGTACAAAAGGCACCCAGATTGGAGAAGGAAGAAGCAGAACTGTCTCTGTTCACAGATGACATGACCTCACACGTAGAAAACCCTGAAGAACCTCCCGTCCCACACACCCACACAGGAGGCTGCCTATGTGAGCTGGTATGGAGCGGAGCATCCTCTCACTTTGCAAAAAAAAAAAAAAAAGACCCTAAGTGAATGCATAGGATCAGACAATTTTCTTCCTTAAATGTTTTGTCAACCTTTGGTGTCTTTTTCTTTTTTTAATTCTCACCCAAGTATATTTTTCCATTGATTTTTAGGGAGAGCGGACGGGAGGGATGGGGGAGGGAGAGAGAGAGAAAGAGAAACATCAATATGAGAGAGGCACATCAACTGGTTGCCTCCCGCATGACCCCCACTGGGGCCAGGGATCAAACCTGAAACTGAGGTACGTGTCCTTGACCGGGATTCGAACCCTTGACTCTTTGGTCCACTGGCTGATGCTCTAACCGCTGAGCCAAACCGGCCAGGGCAGCCGTACCAAGCAGTGTCAGAGACAACAAATACCAGGAGCAGGGTTTTCACGGGGACCTTTAGGAGTGGCCTGTGACTCCCGCCAGGCTCAAGGTCACAGGCCTGTGATTGACGGCACATCCCTGTCATGCCACCGCAGGAAGCGGAGCGGCATTTCGAGGAGCTGGTCGAGGGTCCTGGGTTCCAGAACCAGCCCTGCAGACTCGGACGGGGACGCCCCGTGCCCTGCTGGCGGTCGGAGCCCAGTCTCAGAACGGGCGGGCACGTAATAGCCCTTCCTGTCGACATCGGAAGGCAGCGGTAACCCCGAAGGGGTCCCGGTGGGCGAGCCTGCTCACCTGGCAGGCCACGCTGACGGCTTCAATGACGCAGTTCTCCAAGCACTTGTACACGCTGTCCTCTGGGCCCTCGGCCTCCCACTGGGTGTTGCAGTAGGCGGAGATCTGGGAGGAGAGCGACTCCTGCAGGCGCAAGGGGAGCGATGAGAGCCCTGGGCACGGCCCCCCAGCGCCGCGGGGCACGGCCGCCCTCCTGCTGCTTCCTGTCCCGCTGTTCAATCAGTTCCCCGCTGCTCGAACCTTCTGCCCCCGCAATGGCCGTGACACCAGCGAGACTGCGGTGCAGTCGCTTCCCCACTGCAGTTTGCAGAAACAGGGAGGGCTGGAAAACGGACTCGATTTCTCCTCGCTCGCGTGTTCCGACCGAGACCCGTGGGACGTTACCTACCAAATCCCCACGTCATGCTTAAAAACCAGCTTCGACTTTCCCAGGGTCACGAGCCTGAACTAAAAGGAATACTTTCTTGTTGCCTGTCGCCGGGTTTCATAGAGTCCTGTCACCTCCAGGCCACCCGGTGGCAAAATCCTGTTCCCTTAGTCTTCCCTGGAAGGCCATCTGGGGTCGAACAGCAAGTGGACCGGGAGCAGACACACAGTCCCATCTACCTATCCCCGTGCCCGGGGGCTGTCCCCCCTTCAAAGGACCCTGCATCTCGCCGGCTGTCATCAGAAGTCTGGTCCTCTCATTGTGCCTTTGCCCCCGAGAGGCACCCCCCGACCTGGGTACCTGTTTGAGCCTCCCTTCCATGTCCCTCAGCAGGGACTGCTTCCAGAGGTACTCTTCGGGGAACTTGATCTCCACCAGCCGCCGCCAGACCTGCAAAAGCCACAGTTGAGTGACAGCGCCCATGACAAGGAAATGCCACAACGCCACAAGGAAAAACTCCACCCTGGCCGGTCTGGCTCAGCAGTTAGAGCGTCGGCCCGTGGACCAGAGAGTCCCGGGCTCGGTTCCTGCTAAGGGCACGTACCTCGGTTGCAGTTTGTCCCTGGCCCCGGTTGGGGTCGTGGGGGTGGCAACCAGTTGATGTGTCTCTCTCACATCGATGTTTCTCTCTCTCTCTTCCTCCCTCTCTCCTTCCTGCTGTATCTGAAGATAAATGCAAAAATGTCCTCGGATGAGGATAAATTAATTCATTCATTCATTTAAAAAACAAGGGAAGACTCCTATGGCAATGCGAAGGGCGCTGGACTGTGAGGTCACCTGGCTTCGGATCCGCGGCTGTCACCGAGCAGTCGGCGGGTGTCAGGGCCCCCACCTTAGCCCAGAAAACAAAGGGCCCTGATTGGACAGGTGACCACGCCAGTCCTCTGCTGTGTAAACTGGTTTTCATTTGGAAAACATTTCCCGCCAATGTTTTGTTTTGAAATATGACGCGGCGTGATGGACCTCCAGCAGATTCCAGCTGTTAACCCCGAACACGACTCCCCCTCTTCAGTCGGTCCCTGGGCGTTCCCGCTGCTGAGCCCCTGGGAGGGGGGGTGCCAATGCCATGTCGCTGGGCCCCTACGTGCTTGGGCAGGTGTCTCCTACCGTGTGGTCCCCCCGCTACACATCACAGTGGGTGGCACGCTCAGGACAGTGCACGTGGGTGACACAGTGCTCTAGGAGGGTCCCTGTCCACAACCCCCATTGTCCACGCACATGGTGACTCTCTGGGTCCAGGATGCAGGCCGGGGACAAGCTCTGCATGCGGTGATCGCATCTCTCTCCCAGGGGCGTCCTCGGGGGCCCTTCTCGTACAACGCGGAGCTCTGAAAAGCTCAGGCTGCCTGTTCCAGAGACCGTCTCTCAACCTACTCGCCTCCAAATTCTCCCATGATTAGATTCAGATTGAATTCTCTTCGGTGGGTTGAGCCACGCTGACAACATGCTGACGGACATCAGCACCTCCCTGTGACCACGCCCCATCTCAGGGAGGCTGCTGCCCCTGAGATCCGATGCCAGGAGGCTGAGGGTCCTGGTCTGGTCGGCCTGAGGGTTAGGTCTGCCCTTGGCTACCACGTCCTCGGTCACATTTCCACGTCCTCGGCCACATTTCCACGTCTTCGGCCACATTTCCATTCCTCCACTGTAAAATGCTTCCTGTGGTGCTGGGGGCGGAGGGCTCTGCATCCTTGCTCCCTAACACTTCGCCCTGCGGTCCCAGCATCCTGAGTAGATCAGCCTAGGTCAGTGATGGTCACAGTGATGGTCTCCCATTGTAACTGCTGCTTTGACATTTATTAGCATTCCTGCATACACTTTTTTTTTTAATAAAGAGCTTTCTTTTCTCCGTCCCCTTTCGTCCTGTAAACATCTGTAAAGGATCGATGAAGTCGAGTATCATCACACTGACACACATTTGGCTAGTGAGGGCCCCTTTGGGCTAGCTTCTGCTTCCTTTTTTTTTAATCTTTTTTCTTTATTGATTTTAAAGAGAGGGGAAGGGAGAGGGAGAGAGAGATAGAAACACTGAGGAGAGAAAACATCGACCAGCCGCCTCCTGCATGCCCCACATTGGGGATCAGACCCACAGCCTGGGCGTGTGCCCTGACCGGGAATTGAACCGGCAACCTCTTGGTGCATGGGTCAATGCTCAATCACTGAGCCACAACGGCCGGCTGTTTCTCTTTCTTTAAAGTGAGGACACATTTTTGCCCTGACCAGTGTGGATCAGTGGTTGAGCACCGTCCCATGCACCAAGAGGTCCCTGTTCGATTCCTGGTCAGGACACGTGCCCAGGTTTCAAGCTCAATCCCCAGTAGGGGGCGTGCAGGAGGCAGCCCATCGATGTTTCTCATCAATGTTTCTCTTTCTCTAAACTCAATAAACACATATTTAAAAAATAAATACAGCCCTGGCTGGTTTGGCTCAACAGTTAGAGTGTTGGCCTGCAGTCCAGAGAGATCCGAGTTCGGTTCCCGCTAAGGGCACGGACCTCGGTTGCAGTTTGTCCCCGGCCCTGGTTTGGTCGTGTGGGTGGCAGCCACTTGATGTGTCCCTTTCATGTTGATGTTTCGCTCTCTCTCCCTCCCACTCTCTCTGAAAAAAAAAAAAAAAAGGAAAAATGTCCTTGGGTGAGGATAAAAAAAATAAATAAATACAAAACAAGATGGAAAATTTCAGATCTACAGAAATGTTGCAGCGAAACCACTGAGAGTTCCCCTCTGCTCATGTCTTCCCCAGCAAGGACCCCTGCCAGGGCCGGGAAATGCACCGACAGTCCCACGATCTAAAACGCAGACTTGATCGGACATCGCCGCTGTTTCCCACGCATGTCCTCTGCCCTCCCGGGGTCGCAGCCAGGAGCGCACCCCGCCTCCAGGCCTGTTTCCCGCTGAATCGGCCGCTCCTTCCTGAAGCAGGGGTCTGTCCGTGGGAACCGCCCTTAGAAGCCACGATGGGCTCTCAGACCCGAGTGTCACTATTTCTAGGTCCTTTCAGTGGGTGGAGTTGGAACTGTTTTTGTTTTTTTCTTATCCTCACCCGAGGACAGTTTTGCACTTGTCTTCACATAGAATGGGGGGAGGGAGAGAGAGAGAGAGAAACTTTGACATGAGAGAGACACATCAACTGGCTGCCACCTGCACAACCCCAACCGGGGCCGGGGATGAAACGCAACCGAGGTACGTGCCGTTAGCGGGAACCGAACCCAGGACTCTGGTCCGCGGGCTGACGCTCTAACCGCTGAGCCAAACCGGCCAGGGCTTCCTTTTCCATTACAGTTCACACTCTATATTATTCTGTATTAGTTTCAGCAAAGTGGGTAGAAAATCATGTACTTTGCAGAGTGGTCCCCCCCTGCTTCAAGCCCCCACCGGCCCCATGCACGGCCACCACGCTATTACGGACTCCGTCTCCGGTGCCGCATCCTGCGACTGTTCTGTAAAGACCGACCCGTCTGGACTGCCGGACCCCTTCACCTTTCCACCCAGCCCCCCAGGCCTCCTCCTTGTTGGCAACGATCGGTCCGTATCTAGGAGCCGCTCCACCTTGTTTGCCGGTTTATCTTGTTCGTCAGAGTCTAGGTATAAGTGAAGTCATATGGTGTTTGTCTTTCTCTGGCTGATTTCACTTTCTCTGGCTGATCGAACCGGGACCTCTTGGTGCACGGGAAGGGATCATACCCTCTAGGTCCATCCATTCTGTCGCAAAAGGCACGACTTCACTCTTTGCAACGACTGAGCAGTGTCCCACTGTGAACGCCCAGAACTCTTTCATCCACTCGTCCCGACGGACACTGGGGCTGCTCCCACGTCTTGGCTGTTGGACACAGCGCCGCAACGGACCCAGTCATGTGTCACTCTCCTTCCCGAGCTCCGTCCAGCCCACAGTGCTGCCGTCTTCCCGTCCACACACCCCTCCCACCGTGCGGGAGAACCCGCTCCCGACAGCAGCGAGCCAGGCACACGCGCCCCGTCTTACACACTCAGAGCACAGCTCCGCGACCGCCACGCGCCGCACTTCCAGCGAATCGAGGCTGCCGTGGTCCCCTCCGCTCTGAGGGCCTTTCCCCACCGCAGGGACAGCTGATGGGTGCGGGGACGCAGGGACGGCAGATGGGTGCAGGGACGCAGGGACAGCAGATGGGTGCGGGGCATTTGTCTCTGTTCCGTTGTGGGATTTCCTGACCATCCTGCTGACGTCGGCAGGCTGCAGTCTGGCTCGGTGCGGTCAGAGGGGCCTGGGTTGGGCGGCTGGTCCCCCTTTCCACGACTGTGGCCTGGAGCTGGCGGTCGTGGGGACGCAGCCGAGCTGCCCACTGGGCTCTGAGGCTGAAGGCGAGGGGCCTGTTCTCGGGGCGCTCTGCACGAGCCGGGGTCCGCCTCCTCCAGCTCAGGTTTCCTCCTCTGTGAAACGGGGACAGCTCAGGACGCTTTCATGGTCACATCACCATCACCGCTCCGAGCTCAGTCCTTCTCGTCCGTCCGTCCGTCTGAAACTTGCCGCGATTACAGACGCTTTTCGAATCCTTTCATTAAAAGTCAGAAGCTGAGTGAAGTGTTCAGCTTTCTCGCTGTCTTCCTAGAGCACCTGTTCTGGCCCCGCCTGTGTCAGGGGGCACCACCTGCACACACTTTCTGTCTTCCCGGGAGGCAGGCGTGGACCTAGAGGCCTGGGTCTCCCTTGGAGGCAGAGAAACGGCTGGAAATGACGTGTGAGCCGTCGATACGGGTGACAGCGCCCCCGGTGGACACGGGGAAGAAAAACCTCAGCTTGGTCCACAATGCGACCAGGGAAGCTGCTCCCGTAGTGACCACGTGTCGCATACCTGTCACGGTCCCGCTGGCCACGGGCCAGGCGAACAGAGCAACCTTGATCATGACCTTTGTCTGCTGAAATTTTCCAGAGGGCCCTCACCCCTCTGGTTTCTGAGGGAACGAGGGGAAAGGTTTTGCTTTCTAGAAAAAGATGCGTGGGTGAGACTGCAGGACCGAGCCCAGTCCACAGCCAGAGGCGTCACGCTCCGTGGGGACAAGGCCTACAGAAACCTCACCTCACGGGGAGACATCTACGAGGGGTCCGCGGTCTGCCCGACACCCTGGCCCGCGTCGTAACTTCCGGTACGCGGAAAGGGAGGCGCTCCGAAGCCAGCGGAGCGGGAAGGGCTTCCCCGCGGCCTGTGCAGCCCCGCCGGCCGCTCAAGGTGTCACCGCGAGCTCGAGGCCGAATCCACGGGAATCCTCGGCCGCCCCGGCCCTGCACCCTGCTCCGCGCCCGAGAGGCTCTTCATTGCCTGGGGTCCTGGGGACCCTCCCACCTCCCTGAGGCGGACTTCTCTCTTTCCCGTGTCCAGATGCCACTCTGCCCAGTGTCCCTTTCAAGGAGTCCCCGCTCCCACCTCCTCTACGCCCACGCCATCAACTTAATTCATAACCTCAGCCCTGAATCAGGCCCCAAACACCCCCCTACAAGCCCCCGCCCTGGACAAGGTGTGCCCGCCGCCAGGGCGCCCCGCAGGCTGGGTCACCAGCACCTGCCTGGCCTCCCCGAACCCGCTGGGGATCGGCACAGGATGGGGCGCCAGTGAGGTCCCAGTGCGGGGGAGGCAGACGGGCCCACCTGTCGCCTCCCTGCAGCCACACGTCACACGCCGCGGCTCACCTGGATCTCCAGTTGGTACGTGAAGTTGGCGGCGGTGGCCTGGGAGCTCTGGAGCATGCTCTTCTTGAAGACTCCCCGGAGCCACTGCTCCGTCGTTCCGAGGGTCTGCTGGACCACGGTCCTCACGGACTCCTTCGTTCCCGGCCCACTTCCCTGCGCATCCGCTGGATCCTGTTCCCACGGGGGGGGGGGGGATCGTCCTGAGGTGTGGGGAGAGACCTCTGGCCCCCACGTTCAGGGTGGACGCCCGATAAGCCACATTTAGGTCACACAGACGTTCACACACTGGCCTCGCCAGCAACCCGTTTCCAAAGCACTTTACTGTCCCCAGAACTTCCCGGTTCACCCGAGTGGGTGACATGGGGACAGGTGAGGACAGGGATGCGTGCACATGGGCACTGAGCCTCCAACGACAGCTCAGGGGAGTCGGCCGTCTCATCCCGGGCCCATGGGCTCTGCCCCAGGAAAAGCCTTCACGCTGTCTCCAGACTCGGGGGAGAGACGCACCCCAGTGCAGCTGCCGGCAGCTCGGAGGCCGTGGGGACACCAACAGCCCACCTGTGAGCACGGAGTGAACCCACGGCCCCTTCCATCGCACTTTCCTTCCGTGCGGCTGCTCCCTCCCACCTCCACTCCCTCCACACCCCATCCCTGGGCCCAGGCCTGTGCGATGCCTCCCTCCCTCCCTCGTTCCACGAAGCACTCACTGCGTACTCCGAAGCCTCTCCCAAGGCTCTGTTCTGCATTCCAGAGAGCCCCCCAAATTGTGTGAGCATCAGAACCCACAAACTGGGTCTGCGGGCCCCTCTCCCGCCCTCCAGAGATGCTCCCTGAGAGCACCCCCATGCCCTCTGCCCCAGGGCAAGGGACACTGGCAAAGCGCGGCTGTTCCTGCCTGGAGCTGACAGGCGGACGGACAGACAGACAGGACACATGGTCATTAACCGCGGTAAGTGCCAAGGCAGGCAGGTACAAGGCATTTCCAGGCACCTGCAGGGCACTGGACCCAGCCTGGGGGGCGGGGCGGGGGAGGGGCTCTGCCCTGACAGGTGAGGGGTGGGCAGAGCGGGTGGGGTGGGCTGAGGTGCCGTGAGGCTGAGGCTGGAGCACAGCACACCAGGCGACAGTTCTCTGCTGAGAACTGGACGTGCCACCCTTGCGCCAAGTCCCCGAGCAGCACAGCACCTTCCGGAACAACCCAGAAGCTTCCGCAAGTGTGCACGCCCTCCGTGCTGGCCTCGCCTAGACCTGGGCTTCACCCCAGACACACTTGGCTGCCCGCAGGCCCTCCAGACGGATGAGAGGCCCCTTGTCCCTTGTTCTGCACGGATTGTCTCCTGTGGGGAGGCAGCCCTGCTCCAAGGCCCTGCCCTTTGCTCCCAGAGCCCCCGACAAACAACCTGCTTCTCATGCACCCCCACCCCCGTGCTGCCTGGGCCGTGTCTGTTCATCTTGGGGTCCCTGCAGCCAGCACAGGCGTAGCTCAGAGCCTGCAAATCTCCACGGGAACCTTCCCCTTCTCTCCTTGCTCCTCTCCTGCTGGTCCTTGGACCCCACTAACCCTTTATATCAGCACCCAACCAAAGCCCCCAAGCTCACCACGGCCCTCCGCTTGGCTGCGGCTCCGCAGGGTTGTGTTTTACGGCTCGGGCGGAGTATTTCAATCACCCTGTGGGTTATCTAATCTGAGATCCCAAACAACCTCTAAGAGCCCTCCAGAGCTGAGCGATGGCTCACACGCAGCCGACATGGAGGCTGGTCCTGCCTAGGGTTCTAGCGCCCAACTCGGGAGCCCACAATCCCCTCACCAACCGTGTCGATGACAAACGCGTCTCTGGCACCTTAAAGAGAAAAACCCAAGCCCTGGCCGGTTTGGCTCAGCGGTTAGAGCGTCGGCCTGTGAACCAGAGAGACCCGGGATCGGATCCTGCTAAGGGCACGTCCCTCGGTTGCAGTTTGTCCCCGGCCCCAGTTGGGGTTGTGCGGGAGGCAGCCACTCGATGTGTCTCTCTCACATCGATGTTTCTCTCTCTCTCTTCCTCTCTCCCTCCCGCTCTGTCTGGGGATGAATGCAAAAATGTCCTCGGGTGAGGAATAAAAATAATAAATAATAAATAAATAAATAGGAAAACCTGAAAGGGATAACGTCACAACACATCATTCTTTCCCAGCACCGAGGCTCAGTTCCGAGGTGGAATACGGGGCCCAAGTGAACGGTGCAACCATGACATCCGACACCACCTGCACACTGCAGCTGGCGAACTCGGGGGGTGAGGACCCCCCACACTGCAGCTGGCGAACTCGGGGGGTGAGGACCCTCCACACTATAGCTGGTGAACTCGGGGGGTGAGAACCCTCCACACTATAGCTGGTGAACTCGGGGGGTGAGGACCCTCCACACTATAGCTGGCGAACTCGGGGGGTGAGGACCCTCCACACTATAGCTGGCGAACTCGGGGGGTGAGGACCCTCCACACTACAGCTGGTGAACTCGGGGGGTGAGGACCCTCCACACTATAGCTGGTGAACTCGGGGGGTGAGGACCCTCCACTCTGCAGCTGGTGAACTCGGGGGGTGAGGACCCCTCCACACTATAGCTGGCGAACTCGGGGGGTGAGGACCCTCCACACTATAGCTGGTGAACTCGGGGGGTGAGGACCCTCCACACTATACCTGGTGAACTCAGGGGGTGAGGACCCTCCACACTATACCTGGTGAACTCGGGGGGTGAGGACCCTCCACACTATACCTGGTGAACTCGGGGGGTGAGGACCCTCCACACTATAGCTGGTGAACTCGGGGGGTGAGGACCCTCCACACTGCAGCTGGCGAACTCGGGGGGTGAGGACCCTCCACACTGCAGCTGGCGAACTGGGGGGTGAGGACCCTCCACACTATAGCTGGTGAACTCGGGGGGTGAGGACCCTCCACACTATAGCTGGTGAACTCGGGGGGTGAGGACCCTCCACACTGCAGCTGGCGAACTCGGGGGGTGAGGACCCTCCACACTACAGCTGGTGAACTCGGGGGGTGAGGACCCCTCCACACTATAGCTGGCGAACTCGGGGGGTGAGGACCCTCCACACTATAGCTGGTGAACTCGGGGGGTGAGGACCCTCCACACTGCAGCTGGTGAACTCGGGGGGTGAGGACCCTCCACACTATAGCTGGTGAACTCGGGGGGTGAGGACCCTCCACACTATAGCTGGTGAACTCGGGGGGTGAGGACCCTCCACACTATAGCTGGTGAACTCGGGGGGTGAGGACCCCTCCACACTATAGCTGGTGAACTCGGGGGGTGAGGACCCTCCACACTATAGCTGGTGAACTCGGGGGGTGAGGACCCTCCACACTATAGCTGGTGAACTCGGGGGGTGAGGACCCCTCCACACTGCAGCTGGTGAACTCGGGGGGTGAGGACCCTCCACACTATAGCTGGTAAACTCGGGGGGTGAGGACCCTCCACACTATAGCTGGTGAACTCGGGGGGTGAGGACCCTCCACACTGCAGCTGGCGAACTCGGGGGGTGAGGACCCTCCACACTATAGCTGGCGAACTCGGGGGGTGAGGACCCTCCACACTATAGCTGGTGAACTCGGGGGGTGAGGACCCTCCACACTATAGCTGGTGAACTCGGGGGGTGAGGACCCTCCACACTGCAGCTGGTGAACTCGGGGGGTGAGGACCCTCCACACTGCAGCTGGTGAACTCGGGGGGTGAGGACCCTCCACACTACAGCTGGTGAACTCGGGGGGTGAGGACCCTCCACACTACAGCTGGTGAACTCGGGGGATGAGGACCCTCCACACTGCAGCTGGTGAACTCGGGGGGTGAGGACCCTCCACACTATAGCTGGTGAACTCGGGGGGTGAGGACCCCTCCACACTGCAGCTGGTGAACTCGGGGGGTGAGGACCCTCCACACTTCAGCTGGTGAACTCGGGGGGTGAGGACCCTCCACACTATAGCTGGTGAACTCGGGGGGTGAGGACCCTCCACACTATAGCTGGTGAACTCGGGGGGTGAGGACCCTCCACACTGCAGCTGGTGAACTCGGGGGGTGAGGACCCTCCACACTATAGCTGGTGAACTCGGGGGGTGAGGACCCTCCACACTGCAGCTGGTGAACTCGGGGGGTGAGGACCCTCCACACTATAGCTGGTGAACTCGGGGGGTGAGAACCCTCCACACTATAGCTGGTGAACTCGGGGGTGAGGACCCCTCCACACTGCAGCTGGCGAACTCGGGGGGTGAGGACCCCTCCACACTGCAGCTGGTGAACTCGGGGGGTGAGGACCCTCCACACTGCAGCTGGTGAACTCGGGGGGTGAGGACCCTCCACACTACAGCTGGTGAACTCGGGGGGTGAGGACCCCTCCACACTGCAGCTGGCGAACTCGGGGGGTGAGGACCCCCCACACTATAGCTGGTGAACTCGGGGGGTGAGGACCCTCCACACTGCAGCTGGTGAACTCGGGGGGTGAGGACCCTCCACACTATAGCTGGTGAACTCGGGGGGTGAGGACCCCTCCACACTGCAGCTGGCGAACTCGGGGGGTGAGGACCCTCCACACTATAGCTGGTGAACTCGGGGGGTGAGGACCCTCCACACTGCAGCTGGCGAACTCGGGGGGTGAGGACCCTCCACACTATAGCTGGTGAACTCGGGGGGTGAGGACCCCTCCACACTGCAGCTGGTGAACTCGGGGGGTGAGGACCCTCCACACTATAGCTGGTGAACTCGGGGGGTGAGGACCCTCCACACTGCAGCTGGTGAACTCGGGGGGTGAGGACCCTCCACACTGCAGCTGGCGAACTCGGGGGGTGAGGACCCCCCACACTGCAGCTGGCGAACTCGGAGGGTGAGGACCCCCCACACTGCAGCTGGCGAACTCGGGGGGTGAGGACCCCCCACACTGCAGCTGGCGAACTCGGGGGGTGAGGACCCTCCACACTATAGCTGGTGAACTCGGGGGGTGAGGACCCTCCACACAGCAGCTGGCGAACTCGGGGGGTGAGGACCCTCCACACTGCAGCTGGCGAACTCGGGGGTGAGGACCCTCCACACTATAGCTGGTGAACTCGGGGGGTGAGGACCCTCCACACAGCAGCTGGCGAACTCGGGGGGTGAGGACCCTCCACACTGCAGCTGGCGAACTCGGGGGGTGAGGACCCTCCACACTACAGCTGGTGAACTCGGGGGGTGAGGACCCTCCACACTGCAGCTGGCGAACTCGGGGGGTGAGGACCCTCCACACTATAGCTGGTGAACTCGGGGGGTGAGGACCCCTCCACACTGTAGCTGGCGAACTCGGGGGGTGAGGACCCTCCACACTATAGCTGGTGAACTTGGTGGGTGAGGACCCTCCACACTATAGCTGGTGAACTCGGGGGGTGAGGACCCCCCACACTATAGCTGGTGAACTCGGGGGGTGAGGACCCTCCACACTATAGCTGGTGAACTCGGGGGGGTGAGGACCCTCCACACTGCAGCTGGCGAACTCGGGGGGTGAGGACCCTCCACACTGCAGCTGGCGAACTCGGGGGGTGAGGACCCCCCACACTGCAGCTGGCGAACTCGGAGGGTGAGGACCCCCCCACACTGCAGCTGGCGAACTCGGAGGGTGAGGACCCCCCACACTGCAGCTGGCGAACTCGGGGGGTGAGGACCCCCCACACTGCAGCTGGCGAACTCGGGGGGTGAGGACCCTCCACACTGCAGCTGGCGAACTCGGGGGGTGAGGACCCTCCACACTATAGCTGGTGAACTCGGGGGGTGAGGACCCTCCACACAGCAGCTGGCGAACTCGGGGGGTGAGGACCCTCCACACTGCAGCTGGCGAACTCGGGGGGTGAGGACCCTCCACACTATAGCTGGTGAACTCGGGGGGTGAGGACCCTCCACACAGCAGCTGGCGAACTCGGGGGGTGAGGACCCTCCACACAGCAGCTGGCGAACTCGGGGGGTGAGGACCCTCCACACTGCAGCTGGCGAACTCGGGGGGTGAGGACCCTCCACACTACAGCTGGTGAACTCGGGGGGTGAGGACCCTCCACACTGCAGCTGGTGAACTCGGGGGATGAGGACCCTCCACACTACAGCTGGTGAACTCGGGGGGTGAGGACCCCTCCACACTGCAGCTGGCGAACTCGGGGGGTGAGGACCCCTCCACACTGTAGCTGGCGAACTCGGGGGGTGAGGACCCTCCACACTATAGCTGGTGAACTTGGGGGGTGAGGACCCTCCACACTATAGCTGGTGAACTCGGGGGGTGAGGACCCTCCACACTATAGCTGGTGAACTCGGGGGGTGAGGACCCCTCCACACTGCAGCTGGCGAACTCGGGGGGTGAGGACCCTCCACACTATAGCTGGTGAACTCGGGGGGTGAGGACCCTCCACACTGCAGCTGGTGAACTCGGGGGGTGAGGACCCTCCACACTATAGCTGGTGAACTCGGGGGGTGAGGACCCTCCACACTGCAGCTGGCGAACTCGGGGGGTGAGGACCCTCCACACTGCAGCTGGCGAACTCGGGGGGTGAGGACCCCCCACACTGCAGCTGGCGAACTCGGAGGGTGAGGACCCTCCACACTATAGCTGGGGAACTCGGGGGGTGAGGACCCTCCACACTATAGCTGGCGAACTCGGGGGGTGAGGACCCTCCACACTGCAGCTGGTGAACTCGGGGGGTGAGGACCCTCCACACTGCAGCTGGCGAACTCGGGGGGTGAGGACCCTCCACACTGCAGCTGGCGAACTCGGGGGGTGAGGACCCTCCACACTGCAGCTGGCGAACTCGGGGGGTGAGGACCCTCCACACTATAGCTGGCGAACTCGGGGGGTGAGGACCCTCCACACTGCAGCTGGCGAACTCGGGGGGTGAGGACCCTCCACACTGAAGCTGGCGAACTCGGGGGGTGAGGACCCTCCACACTGCAGCTGGTGAACTCAGGGTCGGGGAAGACCCCCCACACTGCAGATGAATCCCTGACGTGCATGCCAGGGTGTATCTCAGAGACATAACGGGCGTGGAGAAAGTAGAAGCAAAAAGCAGGAATTTCAAAGACAAGGGAGCCCCTGCATTGGGAGAAACCAGTGGGAGGGGCACGGGAGGGGCTAGAAGTGGGAGGAGGGCAGGGCACCGTGCCGGCACGGGGGGTCGGGGGGTGGGGGGGTGGGGGTGGGGGGGGTGGCGCATGTGGCCTGTGCTACTGCATCTAAGTTCAAGTCCACGGGGAAAAGCTGAAGTGGGAAAGACCATCCGCTGATGAGCAGAGGAGTGTCACCTGCTGCCTTGGCCACATGCTCTGCTCTGTAACTGCCCAGTTACCTGACACTCTGCCCTTTAGCTCCTCCCTCCCTCCCAAGTAAGACCGATCAGAACCGGGCGGACCCACCCGGCACCAGCAACATCGTGGACAGAAGCAGCCGCTCTGCGTCATGCCCGCAACCCTCCAGGCGGCGGAGCGCCTCTGCGAGGGAGGGTGCCCGCAGCCCCGTCCCGTGCTGGGCACGGCGCTGTGCTCTGCTTACCGCCAGCGGCTTCAGACTAACGATGGCGCGGACGATCTCGGCGGAGGAGGCCGGCACCTCGTAAAACGTCTCGCTTTTCGTGAGTGTGCAGACAGTCTCGTGAAGCTTCAGGCACACGGTCAGGTAGGGCTGTGCCGAGGTCTCCTGGAGAACCCTGCCCGCAGGGAATGAAGAGGGGTCACAGAGGGCCCGGGAACAGGACGGCACCCATCACCCGAGGCGAGTTCCTTCCCTGTAAAATGCCAACAGGTAGCCCTGGCTGGTGTGGCTCAGTGGTTAGAACGTTAGCCCTTGCACCAAAGGCTCATGGGTTCGATTCTGGTCAAGGGCACATACCTGGGTTACAGGTTCAGTCTCCAGCCCTGGGCAGGGGTCGTGTGGAAGGCAACCAATCGATATCTCTCTCACATGACTGTTTCTCTCTCTCTCTCTCTCTCTCCCCCCCCCCTCCTTCCCTTCCACTCTCTTTAAAAATTAATGGAAAAAATATCCTCAGATGAGGATAAATAGATAAATAAATACATAAATAAAATACAAAGAGGAATGGCATTAATTTGATCCCATATAGGATAACATCAGGGAAATTTCATCCATCTCTCGAACTTGCAACCAAGACAAAGGACATAGTCCTTGGCGCTGCCTCCCTGGTGTGACTTACTGCAACAGAAAGAAGTCAAACTATCCCAAGGGTCTCCGCTTACTTGGAAAAAAAGCTAGGGATGTACATTACTAGAGAGTAAACAATCAGGTCCACTTGAAAACAATTCTGAGACCGTGGGAGGGAGGAAGGCTGGACGGCCGTGTGCGACGGATCCTCCGCCAGTTGGGGACCAGGTGTCTGAGGCCTGGCACGCAGAGGTGCCACCTACTGAGTCGCTCAGAGTGAGGCTTAGAAGGCAGGAGCAGGGACGTCCGAGTGAGGCGGCCGCCAACGCACAGAGTTCGCTGAGGTCCCTGAAGTCGCCTGACACCCCCACCTCTGGCCTGAACACCTCAAGAACTCAGGTGAGGCAGACGGGAGGGGCCTCAGGATCTCAGAAATCGCCCGCCTCCCACCCCGTGAACATCACCGTATTCTGCACACTGTCCCCTCCAGGTGTCAGAGGTCACACCAATGTGCTAAAAATTCTGGATAACTGCGTAAAGCCACCTGGACATTTACGTGTGAAGACAGAGTGTGGAAGGGACGCAGGGTCCCAGCGTGGGTGTGCAGTGTGGTGACAATAATTTAGAACTCAGTGGAAAGTGCATAGGAGACAAAGACCAGATGGAAATAACCCCAAATCTCAGCCGTTTAGAGCTATGATTTCCCCTTAAGAAACAGGACAGCTGCGTTGATGACTCAAAGGAAGGACCGGGGTATATACATCGGGTTGTGGCTACAGCTATGGGACCCCCAGGGAGGGACACCTAGCTCCTTTCCCTTTTCTACTTACTTGTCCTGAAACATGTTCAGGAGGTGCAGCAGCATTTTAAAAAGACTCTCAATGTCCTAGGTGGTGGAGAAAAGAAAGTCAGGGAAGGCTGGACCCCGGCAACCACAGCCTTTGCTGAAGCAGACCTGCCAAAACCCAGCAGACAGAAGGCCCAGCAGCGAATTCTTTTGTTGCTACAAACGACTTTTCAGGTGCTGGGGCACTAAACTTGATCCTTTGGAAATAAGATTCGGGATTTAAAATTATACCGTTGTTTCCACCCCCAACACGGGAGAGGAAGCCGGAAGCTGTGACGTGGACCAGCGCTCAGGGGTGACTTCGCACCCTGCCCCCCGCAGACGTACGTACGGAGAGGCTGGAGTTTTACTGGAACAGCAGAAGCGGGGACCCCTCCCCGTTCCCTGCTTCACCCTGGCTCTACACAGTTACTGTGGGGCCGCTTCTGCTAAGCGAGAACTCCAGAGCCTCTGGCAAGGACAGACCTCCAGGTTTCTCTGGGAGATCTCCCTCAGTCCCTGAAGCCGGTACAGGGTCCCCACGAGGCAGTCCAGGACTCGCGCCGGACAGCTCCGCAAGTAGTCGGTGAATTCTCGGAGGTAGGCAGCCAGGTTGCTCAGAGGCAGCAGACTGAACCAGGACCGGAACAGGTGTCCATCCACGGCCAGCAGGTGTTTCTTCTCCTTCATCACTTGGAGCAACTGCTTCCTGTGTGAGGGGACACGGGGGCGGAGATCCGGGAAACGGACTGAGTGAAGTCGCATTAGGAGGGGGCGAGGAAGTTCAGGCTTTGAAAAGTAATTTAAATGCCAATTAGTAGATCAAAAGAAAGGTAAACAATAACATGTTCAGGATTCATAATCACGGTGAGCCTTGAAAACACGATGCTCAGTGAATCAGCCAGACACAAAAGGACAAGCGCTGTGTGACTCCACTCATGGGGCACACCCGGTGTGGTCAAGGCCACAGGGACAGAAAGTAGGAGGGAGGCAGCCAGGGACTGGGGAGGGGCTGGGGAGTGAGTGTCTCAAGGACACAGAGCTTTGGTTTGGGAGGAGGGGCCAGTTCTGGAGATGGTGGTGGTGACAGCCACGCGGCCACGTGAATGTGTGGAATACTCGAGCCGTGCCTGCAAACACGGGAAAAGCGGTCAATTGTATGTTGTGTCTGTTTTACCACAGTCAAAAAACGCTAAGAATGAAGCCTTTCCCAGCTCTGGAGAGAGAACTGATACATAACATTGTGTCCCTTCCAGGTAAGGGTGAGTTGGTTCGATACATTGTATCGTGCGCCGTGTGGGGCGCTGGGGCCTTAACCACACCTCCATCCTGCTGCTTAGCCAGCATCCCCTGTGGTGGCGAGACACCTGAGATCTCCCCAGCAGCCTTCAGGTGTCACCAAGATGTACGTTAGCCCCGCAGACCTCACCTCATAGCTGGACATGTGTCCTCTGACCGACGTCCACCCTTTTCCCCAGCCCCGGTCCCTGGTAACCAAAATCAACTGTTTCTGTGAGTTGGACTTTTTAGATATCGATGAGTGAGATCAGACAGTCTTTGTCTCTGTCCGACTCACCTCACTGGGCATAACACCCTCAGGGGTTATCCACGTGGGGGCAAACGGAATAACACTGTTTTGGACACACACTTCTTTGTGATCTACCCTGTCTCCACAGGGAGACTGCTGTGAGCCCTGCTGCAATGGCCAGGGGGTGCAGAGGTCCCTGAGGTCGCTTCCTGGGGATAGCTGGATCACACAGGGTAGTTCTTCACTTTCTGAGGAACCCCCTTACTGGTTTTCAAAGAGGGTGCGATAGTTCACACATGATACGCTCTGGTGACTGAGTGAGTGCCTTGGATCAGAGTGGGAGCGAGCCCAGGGCAGGTCACAAAGCAGGGTGCCAGAGAGGTGGCAGAGGTTGGAAAACAAGTGGCTAAAGGGGCAGGACAGAAGAAAGCCCACTTCTGCCAATAAGGCAGGCTCCTAGGGCCACGGCTGGTATCTGGCCACGTCAACGGCTGTTTCTTCCACCGGTCCACACACTGAAGGGCATTCGCTCTACGCGGCACCATCTACGCAATCTTACTAGGTTTTCATTTCTAAAGGTCCCAAAGGTCGTGAAGGAGGAGTCACTTATTTTAGCTCACGCTTTACTAGGCCAGAGGCCGTGGGGCTGGGGGCGGGGCGCGCCCCGGGAGCAGTTTCCCGGCAGGTGCTCGGGAGTGAGGGCCTCATTCACGGGCTTTTCTTTGACCCCTGAGCTTAAACTGGACTCCCCGTTTGCTCTTGCAGTTTGTCACGGGCCATTTTTGTATTTTTCTGTATATTTCTTCTAGGTTTCAGATTCTTTAAAGGAGTCATTTCCCGAGAAGGGACGCACTACTTGTGTCCCTAGAAGCGGGACCAACGCGCCACGGAGCGCACCGCGGTGTTCACACCACTTACTCGTGTGCTCTCGTTTCCCGACGCTCCGAGAAAGAGATCCCTTCGAGGGCTGCCCAGGTGTCCTCAGACTGATGCCTGGAGTGCCTTCCTCCAAGGCACTGCCCCACACAGTGGTGGAGCACAGGCAGAGTGCCCACCCAGAGGAAGACCCCTTCGTCCATGCTGTCTTGGCACAGGCTCACCAAGGACTCTCGCCACCTGGAAATGGAGCAGAGATCCCGTCGTGAGCTGAGTGCCAACCTGGCTCACCTGAGGCCTGACGCCCCCGGGAAGGGCCGGCTCCTGCACAGGAGCACCCAGGGCGAGGGGGGGGGCTTCGCAGAGACAGGCCTGGGGAGAAACACATGCAGGGAAGACGGGCACCCTCTACATCACCCCCCAATGCATGGGGCACCAGACAGGCCCCCACTGAAGGCCCACAGCAAACTCCATCTTCCTTGACAATAGGGGAAACTGAGGCTCAGGTCGGCTAAGTACTCTACACATAGCCATCCAGTGTGAATGGATAAAAATTACACCTATTTATTTATTTTTATCAGATCAGCAAAATTATATTTTGGGGGTGCCGCAGAATTTTAGTCATTACTTTATGTGCCATGAGGTGATAGGTTGGCAACCACTGGGCAAGAGGAATGAATGTTGAAATGACAACAGTGAGGGTAACAGTCCAGAGACTTTTATTTCTTCTATGTTTTCATCCGTTCTATGGCCAGCACTTACTTTTATAATTGGTGAAAATCATTGGAAATGGCTAAAATCCTCTCTCTCTCTCTCTCTCTCTCTCACACACACACACACACACACACACACACACTACCTCTGAGACGTTCCAAAGATGTCGCTTAGGTCGGCGTGCAGGTGGCCCGGGGAGAGGGCCGCCGGGCACAGGAGGCTGCAGAGCGAGGCCAGGTCGTGCCGAGTCAAGGACAGCTGCAGCTCCTTGGCCAGATGGAGGACGATCAGCCCCGTCCTCAACCTGCTCTTCACCGGGAGGTCTGCAGGTAGAGGCTTCTCACTTTTTTCCAGAAACGGTGCCATTTTCTTTTTTAAATGCTCCCATAGGTCTTTCTTCACCTGACCCGGGAGAAAAGGGACACCCCGAACGGTGGAGCAGAACACGCATGCGCTGCCCCGTCACTGCCCAGAGGCCCACATCCCCGAGGGGCAGGGACAGCTCTGGGAAGGGGTCCCTGCCTTGCACTGCCTCACCACTGAACCCCAAGCACCTCCGTCTCCAGGCCTCACTGCCCTGGACCTTTGAAAGCCGCCACCAATAACGCCATCCAGAGATCCCCGCGAGGGGAGGAGCTTTCAAGTGAGGGGGCCCTGAATGCTTACGAGGGTTCAAAGGCTATCTTAGATGTGGCCCCAGATGTGTCTCCAAACTGCCCAGACCACACCACAGGCCAGAGGGGGAGGCAGTGAGGGAGGTGCCACCCTTCTTTCTACTCTGCCTGGAGGTCATGTGTGGAGGTGGGACCAGTGGGGGGTGGGGCCAGGCGAGGAGGTGGGACGAGCGGTAGGAGGAGGAAGAAAATGGAAACAAAAAATTCCCCAGAGGAGGCATTTGGAGAAAAGGGGCAGAAGGTCTACCTGCCACCATCTGCACCTCCCCACTGAGTGTAGGGGTCCACAGGCCACAAGGGGGCTGCTCAGAAGGTAGAGGAGGGAGTGACTGGCCCCTGAACCCCAATACCTGCTTCTCATCATACTGCAGGGAGCCCCAGAACCGCTCCTGGTCTTCATAGACCACGGGCTTGTGGACAACAGAATAAAACTGGCGAAACTGAGCGAAGAAACTGTTGAGGTTGTTGGCACTCCAAGCCTGGAGGATGCTGAAGAGTCCGTCCAGCATGACGCCGGCCGCGATCTTCTTCCCGTTCACAATGCTTTTTGTTGTCTGGTCCGTGAAATTATTTAGGAATTTCCGTATGCTCCCAGGGGGCCTCATGCAGATAATGTCATCGTACTGATGCCAGCCTAGGAGGGAGGAGAGGGGTATCACAACCCACCCGGCCCGGACACTCTGCCCCGGCTGGCGCAGAATGAACAGGAAGGGAAGGGAGGACGGAGGGGTGGGGTCCGCCGAAGGCTGCCGGACTCATGCCAGGCGGGTTCGCGCCATGGGGCCTGGCCCGCGGGGAACACGCTGTGTCTAGGACAGTGTGCAGGCACCGCACAGGGGCAGGTGAGACTGAGGTCACATGATTCAGCTGGCCTGAAAGTACTAGCAACACCTCTTTGGCAACCACAACGGCTCGGCAAACAAGGCACACAGCTCCCTAAAGGAGGACTGCTCGGAGGGTGAACACTTTATACTGAAACCGTGTCACCTGCTAGCAAGTGAGCACCACTCTGGAAGTGACTCGATGCCACTGTCCTCCCTTTCAGGAACCGTGATGCCCACCCATGAAGGATAGTACAGGAGACATGGCAGATGGAGCCCTCGGCCCAGGGCTCACACACACACACACACACACACACACACACACACACGGCTGCATGCAGTGAGTATAAAATACAGCAGAGCCCAGCGGTGTGGCTCACTGGACTGAGCATCATCCCAGGCACTGAGAGGTCCCGGTTCGATTCCCGGTCAGGACACATGCCCGGGTTGTGGGCTTGATGCCCAGTAGGGGGCGTACAGGAGCAGCCCATCAATGTTTTCTCTTGATGTTTTTCTCTCTCTCTCCCTAAAAATATCAATAAAGAAAAACAACAATTTCTCACTATTAAAAAAAAATAAAACAGGAAAGATAGAAAAGATATAAACAAGAAGAAGAGCGGAGAATAGAAAACAAGAAGAAACAACAGTGTCTGTGATAACAGTGAGGCAGTAGGTGGGCTTCTCCCAGTGTCTCAGTCCCGGGCGCCTTTCGGGGAATCTCCTGGCAGGGGGTCACCCCCCCCTTCACCTGCCCTGTCACTACTCCTGCACCCCCGCACGCCCAACCCCTGCTCCCCGAGCAGCTTCCTTCCCTGTCCTTCCCTTCACTATAAGCCCTTTCCCTGTTTCCTCTTGCACCTGAGCCTCGAGGTTAAACTGAGGACAACCTGCTTCCAAACTCAGGTGTATTCCACATGGAGGCAGGGTGGGGCCGATGCGGAGCAGAGAGGACCCCACGGGCCGAAGGAGCCTCTGCGCGGAGGGAGATGCCCAGCCCGGCCCTGCACGTCCACGGTGGGCACAGGCCGGCAGTGACTCACCCCTGGAGCTCAGCAGCTTAGACTTTACGTGCAGACAGCGGTTGACGTGCACGTTCTCCCTCTCTTGACGTTTGTAGATGAACTCATACTGGACAGTGTCCTTGCCAAGCTCAACCACGTACTTGTACGGAATGGGTCTGTCCAGGTGCTGCTTGGAAATGACGGTGCTGCCCTCGACGAGGAGCCCGTGGCCATCTAATTGTCTGTGGACAAACGGGACACCTCCAGGTTACCAGCAAGGTCCTCTGGGAGTTTTAGTTCCTCTCAGACACAGCATGGCGTACCGACCGAGACCTGTGTCGCTCACTGGGCTGAGTGCCGATTCAGTCCATGTCTACACTGGACGACCGCTACTTTCCCGAAGGACTGCTCGCCAGCCCGGACACTCACTTGGTGGTGAACATCTCGCACACGTTACGCTTCCACTTGGGCTTCCCAAGTTCTTCTCCGCCCCAGACGAACATTCTGTGCTTGCTGGGGTCGAAGTTGAAGTCCTTGGAGATGATGGCATGGAAGTACACCGTGACTCCTTCCTGGGGGCTCAGGGGGCTGCAGCGGAGCCACCAGGAAACACGATTAGACCTGGATCTGTCTACCCACCCGTGTACACGCACGTACACACACAAACACGCACCTGCACACGCAGGAATACACATTCATGTACACACATACACACAAATAGCTCATGCAATCACAAACATGCACACACTCACGCATAAACACATACACACATGCACACACAAACATGCACACATGTACACACATCCATGCATACACAACATGCATTCATGCATGCATTCTGATGCGTGCACATATAAACACACATGCTCGTCCTACACAAACATGCAAATGCACACATACATGTAAACACACACGCACAGAGTCCTTATGACCTCACCATGCATTGACACATACCCAGCAAAAATCAAGTCCATCGACACTTCAGACATACTGCCCACAGTGTGGGTCCTCTCGTCTCTCCCTCTAAGGGCTGGGAGGGTGGGCACAGTGTGGGGGCAACCTCCCTGCTCTTGAAGTGCTGGGGGGGGCTGACTTGTGCTCTGATATGTGACAGCTCTCCCCTGAGTTCTGTCAGGCCCTGGCTGCCTCTGGGGCCACGTAACTGGGCACTCAGCCCGTGCAGGACACTGGCAGGCCCTCCGCTGCCTGGGAACCCTGAGAATGCCTCTGCGGGGTCGGCAGGCTGCCCCGTCCCCTCCATGCCAAGTGCACCCTACCTCCCGGGACCGGCGCAGGCATCTGCTTTCTGGTTCTGTTTCTTCTCAGTCCTTGCTGCAGCCTCGTCCTTCCTGTGGTCCCCTCCAGGTTTCTTCGGGTCCTCGGGCTTGGCCTCCTCTCCGGAAACGGCGGTCTTGCCCTTGGTGTCAGCTTCCTGGGACCCGACCCCAAACCCCAACCTTTAACACCAACCTCCAAGTTTGCCCCCAACAGTCTGGGGCACCCACCACGGCTCCGGGACCCCGCGCCCAACCCTCTTCGCCTCGTCGCTCCTGGGGCCACCGGCCTCCTGCTGATCTTGGGGCAGCCACCAGGCTCTGCCTCAGGGCTCTGCGCTGCCCTTCCCTTTGCCGGGGACACCCCCGCTCTCCCCGGAGCTTGCCCCTCACCCACCCAGGTGCCCACTGCAGAAACCCTTCCTCAGAGGGGCCTTGCCCAGCCATGTGCCCACCTCGGGTGCCCGCCAGCCCTCACCCTCTTCCCTACAGCACGTCTGAGGGGAGCTCCGAGGGAGAGCGGCTGTTCACGGCCCCCCCACACCTAACGCATGTTCGGGGGACAACGAGCCGTGGGAGGAATGAGGCCGGAGGGGCCGGCCGTGGGGCAGGCTGCAGGGATGCGGACACCCCCCGCAGGGTGGGGCACTACCTGGCGGGGTTCTCGGGAAGCCGGGGCGCTTGTGGGCGGTGGTTTCGGTGTTTGAGTCTTATTATGGGCTTCGCTCTCCGTCCCCTTCTCTGAATTCACTGGCTCAGCTGTGCCGCCAACTGCCTGGAAGAAATAAAGACCCCAACACATCAGGGCCAAGTCCTGAGCGTCAGCCTGCAGCCCGGTGGAGGGCGCCCCCTCCCACAGCCCCGATCTGGGAGCAGGTCCCGGAGGACGACGCCCTCCCAGACAGGGAGGCCACCGGGAACCACACTGCACAGCCAGGCGTCCAAGACGGAGCGGGCCTGCCCTGCTCAGCACACCTTCCCCACGACTCACCCCAGAGGGCAGGGCCCCAGCCGGCTGCCCCGCGGCCTGCGGCTCTTCCCTGGGCTCCGGCAGCAGGGGCTCCCGGGCGGCGTCCTCCTTCCCAGGACCACCTTCACCGGCAGGGGCGGTGGGACCAGCCCCCTCCTCAGCCTTCCCTTCTGGGGGTGCATGTCCATGAGTCTGATCCTGGGGTGCTGAGCTGCCTGGAGACTTGCCCCCCAGGGCGGCCTCTGGGCCTCCTGCAGCCACGCCCGTGCCTGAGGGCTGGCTCGGCTGGCTGGGGGGGGCCCCCTGCTGCGCCGGGCTTTGGGGGGGGGCTGCATCCTGGAACCCAGGGTCTGCCAGTGAATTCGGACTACAGGGGCTGGAGGGGGCCGGGGACAGGGACTCCAGCCCCGTGGAAGCTGCGGCTTTTCGGTTCTTTTTCCTCCTGCTTCTCCTTTTCCTCTAGACAGAAGAAGAGACACTGGTCTTACTCCCTCGGTGCGCTCGCCTCTCGCCATGCCGGCTCCCCATTCCCTTCCAGTTGCCCCAGGGGGCCCGCCACCTCTTTATCTCGGGAAGAATGAAGCCGAGTCACAATAGCAACCAGAGCCCTGGACGGTCTGGGAGCATCGGCCTGCGGACCAACGAGTCCTGGGTTCGATTCCGGCCAAGGGCACATACTTCAGTTGCGGTTCATCCCTGGCCCTGGCCCTGGTCGGGGTCGTGCAGGAGGCAACCACTCGAGGTGTCTCTCCCTCTCTCCCTCGGTCTCTCCCTAAACATCAATAGAAAAATACCCTCGGGTGAGGATGGAACAAACAAACCAGAGGACCAGGGCGGCGGACAGAGCTGAGGGCCCAGCGGCTGGCGGCCTTGCTTCGGAGGGGACGGCCCGTGAGGACGGGCTGGGACGTTAGGAGCCTGCGTGGGCTCCGTCGGGTGCACCATGTACACGCGACTGAAACAGGGAGGGACGAGGCAGGAAGGAACGGGCGACCGGCGCCACCTGCCCGCGTGCAGGTGCCCCGAGCCTCTCAGGACCCTTGCTCGAAGGCGGGAGTCCCCAACTATGGAACCAGAAACGGTGATTGTGTGGCAGGACCTTCCGAGGACCCCCCAGGTCAATGCGCTGGACCGAGTGTTGATCGGTTCCTTAAGTGTGAGTGACCCGTGACTCCCCCAAAGCCGCTGTGGGCCCTGCGCCTGCCTGGGTGGAGTCACCTGGGACAGGGGGACGGGAGAACATGGGGTGTGTGCCCATGAGGTGGGGTGCCTTGTTCGGGTCAGCTCCTGGGTTTCCTCCAGTAATCTTGACCAAACCTCCTGCAGGTCTGCCCACAGTGACGACCAGGACACAAGGCTGTGCCGGGCAACCTGGAGGGCCACCTCTGGGCCTGCTGCCGCTGCGTCTGTCTCCACACACTCACACACATGCAGATTCACACACACACGCGCGCAAACACGGACGTGCATACACAGGCACACACGCGTGCACGCGCACACACAAACACGACACATTCATTTGCTTGTTCCCTCTGCCCTCGGGAAGGGAAGTTTGAGAGTCTGCAGTTAGTGCTCTGCCCAGGGTCCAGAGCAAGCCCCGGCCACCACAGGTGCCAACGTGCCTGTGCCACTGGGCAGAGCCGTCCACGGGAGCTCTGCCTCCCCGAAGGCCCGACCGCTTCCTCTCCCAGCGGTGGCCGTGAGGGCCGAACCTCAGCCCTCGGGGGGCGCTCAGGTCTGGGCACGGCTTGGACTCCCAGCTGGCAGCCTGTGCTCGTCCTCGGACCTTGCTTTCTTTTTCCTATTCCCACCTGACGCTCCCCGAACGCTGCTTCAAGACCTCTCGGGGTAGGGTTCGGGCCCAGCATGCAGGGCTTGGGGCTGCAACCTAAGCTTTCCTTTGACGAGAATCGAGTTTCAACACGGTGTGTGTACGTGAGCTTTGCACATGCGCGTTCCTCATACACCCCGACGCGTGTCCCCTCTCCACCTGGCGTGTGACCCAACACCTCCTTCCGCACACGGGCACTGCAGAGTGCTTCCTCTGCCGTCACACCTCAGCGGGCAGGGGCCCGAGGACCCGAGCACCGCTCCCAGCTCCCGATTCTTCTCTGTGGAGCTGAGGTGACAGGTCAGGAGGTGGGGGGACACCTCTGCGCAGACGCTGTGGCTTTGAAGTGGCAACGAGAGCAGCGGTTTCCAACCTTTTTACCTCGCGGCACATGAACCAGTGACTCAAACTCTGCGGCACCCCAGAAAACATATTGTGTGCCGATTAAATAGGTTTAATTTTTTTTTTTTTTTTTCAGAGCAGGAGGGAAAGAGGGAGGAAGCGCGAGAGAGAAACATCAACACGAGAGAGACACCTCGACTGGTTGCCCACACACATGACCCCAATCGGGGCCGGGGACAAACCGCAACCGAGGTACATGCCCTTAGTGGGAACCGAACCCGGGACTCTCCGGTCCACGGGCCGACACTCTAACCGCTGAGCCAAACCAGCCGGGGCAAATAGGTCTCATTTTGATTCACAGTGGACGGCGACTCTTGTGTTAGTGTTGTCACTTTTTTATCTGACAATCTGAGGCCAACGAGGTCGGTGCCCCGACCACGTGGTCAGGTGTTGCCTGTTTCACAAACTCGCCCAGCGCCCCAGTGGAACACCGATGCACTGGGGAGACGTCTACACAGAAACCAGAAAGACCAGCTGACCCGCAGATTCCACACACGCCACGCTGGCCCGGTGGCTACAGCATGCCTCAGTTTCCCTATCTGTACAATGCAGACAACAGGCTTCCCTATGTTATTAGGACACTACGCGGACTGGGTGGGAGAAAGCACACCAGGCACCTTAGAGACATGTGGCACACATGCAGCCGGGCTGGGCAGGGTTCCTTCCCACACGTCGGGGGCCCCGTGCCCCGGGCCCCCGGGGTTCAAGCAGGATTAACTCTATTCCAGCTCCACAGTCACCCAAGCACCCCGGCCACAGTGATTGGTTCAGGGATGGGCACGTGACCCAACCAGAGCCAATGAGACTTGAGGAATGCTTCCCCCGGTAAAGAGATGCTCCCTCTGTCTTCTGTAAGAGCCTCCAAGGGAGGTGCTCTCCTGTCCCCGACCGCTGTAGGGGGAGTGGACAACTATGGACGCCACGATGTGGCACGTGGAAGGGTCCCGAGTGCTGGAGGAAGAAATCAACCTCAGAAAGGCAGTGCAAGGACACAGGGAGACACCTAGACTTGAGGACAGACATCTAGCGCCTGGATCAAGACTTGCCTGCAACCATCTACTGGAGGGTGTGTCAGTTCTGTGAGTGACAAATCCCCTGTATTACATTAATCTGAGCTGGGTTTTTAGTTATTTGTAAGCAAAAGGGTTCAATGATTAAAATACTCAAACCTCAAATTAATTAGGTTGTTTCCAGCCTAAGTCAAGGTAATCAATGTTCCCCTAGCTTTGGTCAAACAAGAGGTCAGGTTCTCATAGACAGACTCGAGCACAGAATCCTCAGGGCTCGAGACCACCGAGTCAGCGCGGTACAGGAGGCCACGGTGCAGACGCCCAACCCTCCAGGCTCCTCGGAAGGTGGTGGGAGGGGTCTGAGCTCACGAGCAGGTGCCGGCTGCCCCCAGGAGACCTGGGTCAGGCCTGCCACCCGAAGGAGAGGAGCAGTGAGCAGGGAGGAGGTGAGAGAACGTGCACCACAGAGAGGGCAAGACCCTGCGATCCCAGGCGGCTGTGGGAGGGGCGGCGGCGTGGAGCCCGCAGGAAATGTAGGTGGGTCCTTTGGAGGGACAGTGACCAGTCCCTGGAAGAGCCTGTCGAGGGAAGTGTGACCGTCCAAACAGCAGCCACCAGGGGAGGCCCAGACCACACTGCACCAGCAGCAGACTGGTGGATTTCAGAGCCAGACGGCAGCCCCCAGCCCAAACCCCCTTCTTAATAAAAACAAAACCCCACCCTTTGGGAGGCTTCTCCTCATAAGCAAAGACACTTTCATTACCTATGTGAGCTAGTTTCAGTCTAGATATTATTAGTGAGCTAAGTAACCCCATGGCTGCGGTAACCCCAGCACTGCGGTAGCCCCATGGCTGCGGTAGCCCCATGGCTGCGGTAACCCCAGCACTGCGGTAGCCCCATCGCTGCGGTAGCCCCATGGCTGCGGTAACCCCAGCACTGCGGTAGCCCCATGGCTGCGGTAACCCCAGCACTGCGGTAGCCCCATGGCTGCGGTAGCCCCATGGCTGCGGTAGCCCCATGGCTGTGGTAACCCCAGCACTGCGGTAGCCCCATGGCTGCGGTAGCCCCATGGCTGCGGTAACCCCAGCACTGCGGTAACCCCAGCACTGCGGTAGCCCCATCGCTGCGGTAGCCCCATGGCTGTGGTAACCCCAGCACTGCGGTAGCCCCATCGCTGCGGTAGCCCCATCGCTGCGGTAACCCCATGGCTGCGGTAGCCCCATCGCTGCGGTAGCCCCATCGCTGCGGTAACCCCATTTCTTCAGTAACCCCAGCACTACAGTAACGCCAGCGCTACAGAAAATGAACCAAATCAGGACCTGAACTTGCAGAAACCAGAGGCTGAGCTCGGCGGCACCCACCGCTCCACTGTGTTGAGAACCGGGGCCCGGAACCCCAGGCGCTGGTGGCGGTGACGGGAGTCGTGGAGGGTTCTGGCCCTCACAGGGGACCTGGGCCCTTGCCCTTTGCCACAAACAGCACCTCGTCCAGCTTGTGGCACTTTGGGCAGGTGAGTTCCCCGGACACAGGGGCTAGTTTCACCAGAAATAAAAGGATTGGACAGAAAAACAGACAAGGGGGGACGGGGACACAATAACTGCCGAAGTGTAATGTCGGAATCCGGCCACGAGAGCAGGAAGCCAGGGGCGGGGCTCTGGCCCAGCCCAGCCTCAGCGCCCAGGCCTGCCTCCCTGTCGGGGGGCTGGCTCTGCAGGCGCTGGGCCCGCTACTGCCGCAAACTCCCGGCACGGGCTGCAGGGGGCGTGCCAGCCACCTCAAGCAGGTTGTGTCCTTTTCTCCTTTTGCTGGGGGCGAATTAGCAGCCTCCGGCTCATCAGATGTGAAGGCAGCTCAGCTCCCTGTAGAAGCACGACCCCCCTCATTCCCACGAGGCGGGTGGAGCAGCGGCCCCTCCTGCAGAACCCTCAGACCGCTGGGCCGGCCCGGCCAGCAAGCAGGGGGTCCCGAGTGTAGGGAACCCCAGAAAGGGCTCCTGCAGGTAGGCAGAGCGAATCCATGTAAGGGAGGTGCCCGCGCCGGTCAGTGCCTGTATGAGTTGGCATGCTTGACTTGCCATGCAAGGGGGCCTGGCCTGGCTCCCAAGGGCTTCCACCCCAACGTCTGGGCCAGTGCCCCCCACAGGGCACGCAGCTCGGAGCAGGCAGCCAGGCGGCTAAGGCAGAGCCAGGCCGGGGCTGTCGGGAAGTGGGGCGGCC